ATTACCAATTGGTTGCGCAGGCGGTTTTTGTGTATCAATAAGCTAAAATAACATAGCAGAATCAATTGACAGGGATACTGTTCCCCATACATAGACTTAAAAACCGCCTAGTTCTCACTTACAATCGCTCAGACAGGATGATATATTAAAGTGGCCTTCACTGCGCCATAATCATAACAAAAAAAACTTTTTTTTACGGTGGCTTGCATCCTCCTTCTACATTCCCCCATTCATCCATCCCGTCATCCTTTTTGAGAATATTCATTCCTTTTGGGAATCGTCATTCATATAATATTACAACTCAAAGTAGACAGAAGTCGGCCCAGTATAAAAAGAAAACATATGTATGATTAATAACAATTACAATTTCAGTTAACCAATAAAAACCGAATATGTTGTATCAGCAATATGGTCCTGTCCGGATCGGCCGCCTATTGAGCTCGATCTGGACTGAAGGGATATTTCTGACAATCTTGGGCCGTCGGAATCCAGAAGATAATAATATCGTAAAAACATATATGCTAGTAATAATAGTTTTGCTTTCTTATAAATATATAGCTTGTATCATACCTCTCTCAAATAATTCCAAAATTGTTCATATATCCTGTCTCCTCAAGATTCTAATTAAAATTAGATTGGGTTTAATCTATAGATAATAATACAAGATATATTGGAATATACTTCTATAGCCGATTTTTATTCCACGGTATATATTTACAAATCATTCACAATCGCATTGTTATTTATATTTTTGTTAATACTTATAATGTATGATAGAAGCTATATATAATAATATAATTTAAACTATGTTTTCTAGTATGTTTCATAAATAACACACTATCCAGATCCATACACATTCTTCTATAATTATACTTAATGAAATTGGATCAAAAAGCATCAAACATTTTACACCAAAAAAGCAAGAGCCTACAGAAAAATATTACCGAGTCAAAATGAAAAGGGTGATATTCATAAACCAAAAGTAACTTTCGAACTAAATATATATAAACTGTTATCATGTTTTGGATACATTATCTTATATATGTTATTATTATTATTCAACACACTGGCACACACCAGAAGCTACTCCCGAACTATATACATATATGAGCCTCTATCATATTTTGGATATACTATCTTGTATATTTTATTATTATTATTCAACACACGGACACACACCAAAAGCTACTCCCAAAATATATATATATACGAGCCTCTATCATATTTTGGATACACTATCATATATATTTATTTTCCTTTTATTCAATATACGGTTACACACCAGAAGCTACTCCCAAACTATATATATATAACCTGCTATCATATTTTGGGCTTACTATCATATATTTTTCTTTTCTTTTATCCAACACACGCACATACGCACATACGCACACTCGCCCAATTGTCTACCAATACAATTGCTGCACTGATACAAAATATACATATTGTCTATTTCTTTTTGTGTCTTTTTACAACCTAAGGATTCTACTCGATAATTCGGACAGAATGCACTTTTTTGTAAATTGGTATTACCAATTGGTTGCGCAGACAGCTTTGTGTATCCCTAAGCTAAAGGAACATAGCAGGGTCCATTGACAGGGATACTGTTACCCATACATAGGTTGAAAGACCGTCTTGTGATCACTTACAATCGCCCAGAGAGGACGGTATATTAAAGTGGCCTTCACTGCGCCGTAACCAAAATAAAATAAAAATTCTATTTAACAATGGCGTCAATCCTCTTCCTACATTCCCTCCATCCCGCCATCCCACCATCCCGCCATCAACTTTACAAAACTACCAGAATCGCCACCACCAACAATATTATTCTTTTATTTTATAATCACTGAAAAATAAAAATCGAAATAATGGCCATATAATAAAACCTCAACACTCGGAAGTCATATACAATATTTCTCTATACCTGAAATGTTATATGTCACCATTCTCAGAGCTGACCTTCAACTCTCCAAGTCATATAGTATTCATACCACCATAATTCCGACACCTTCTTCGATCCCAATGACGCTCTTACTCATATTTAAAAATTTTAACAATCAACATTTGATATATGCTACTACATAATTTGATTTAGATTCACTCGTTTAATAAAGTGCGACTACTTCATACAAGGCTTTGTGTTTTATTAAACAAAAACATCAGGCCATTTGTAGGAGAAGTATAATGTACACAAAAGAACTGTTTAGGTAACATTTATGTGTACACCATATTTATGTGATTTGCGACCTCTATTATAATTCCCAATTTGGACTGTTAGCAGCTTCAAGTGAGTACTAACTCAGATATTATGGAAAACATTACCGAAAATAATATATATCTGTGATGTATATGTATTCAATTGTGAAACACATGGTTTATTATAAGAAAATGTCTGAGTATAGTAAAGTGGCTCAGAGTTTATAGTTTAAGTACAAACTATATTAATATATTTATATGTTTTATAAAAGAAGCTTCTTGTATTTTCTATCTACGTGTAACCTCACAATCGTTTTATCGTCTGAACTATATTTAAAGTAAGCACAGGAACTAATCGGATACATATATAATGACTATAATATATATATATATTGAATTTTACCCGACCAAACCAGGTTCTCTTTTTATTGTATTAATCAAGGCTTTTAAACTAGTACAAGCCATCTTTAATTATTCTTCTTCGTTTATATTATTTATTAACATTTTATTTTTATTTGCTCTATATATTTAATTTTAAAATTTGTTATCTTCGCATATCTCAAACAGTCAAATTTATATCAGCTTCTATCTGAAATATAAAAGTTTAGTAAAGCGTTATATTCACAAGTCTGAATTATTTTATTTTATGGAAAAAATATAGTCTTTTTTTTTTATCTTTGTGGCAACTTCGACAAGGATTTAAAATTTATTGATGCAAATACTCCCATAATTTATGTTAAAAAAAACTAAATTGAACTGATGGGTGAAGTGATTTTTTTTATCTAGAGTTGTGATGTTTGATTTTAAGAAAAGATAAAATTACCTGATCGTTAGAGATGCTCTTAGAAATAATCAAACATATAGAATACAATCAAAGAAAAGTATATATTACAGAACAATCTTCAATATATATATCGATTGTTTAAGTCAGGGGTATCATAAGAGTAAACTGATATAAATCGCAAGTGCAATGTCTTCTTTAAACACAATAAGAATAAACAAATATCAGAGAGAATTAAAGGGAACAAAGACTCCGTGTCTATAAATAAAATAAATTTATATAAAAACGGATTTGATTTAATCAAATCAAAGCAGATGTTTAAAAAATTCAATAAACAAGTGAAGGATAAATTGTTTTTAATATTTAATTATATTTTTTTTATTTTTCTTTGGATTTTATTTTCATTATTATTATTATTGATAATATCCAATATTTAACTGATATTTAGAATGTATACTTGTTCTCAATAAGTTGTTAAGTGTTTTTTGTATAATAGTGTTTTCCTTTTTTTATTTTTCAATAAAACTTGATATTCCAACATCAAATAAAATTATTAAATTCTTAGTTGATAAGATTCTTAGTTTTGTTTTATTTCAGTTAAATATATTTGAAAATCTTATATAAATCAAATAAACATATATATTTTATTAAACCTGATAAGATACAGCTCTTATAATAAGGATATATTTTCTTTTTCGTCTATCTTTACAATTCTTAACCAGGGAGCATATTGTTCAATTTGACATTTCATATTAAATCCGTGTCTGATAAAATAGGGTGTTTCAAGTTTAAAGATCTTGAAGAATTCAAGGTTTTTATTTTCTATCCATACTCTATTAATTAGCTAATAACATCTAATATGAAAATATATTACTTAACTTCCCTACGTAAAGTCCTGTAAAAAAAAATCAACTTCTAAAAATCTAAAAGAAACCTTTTGAAGCTTTTTGATTTACATATTTTTTACATATACTTTACTAGTTTCGGAATCCTTTTTGAAGCTGACTTACCTTTTACACTCGCCGATGGAAATATTTCAATTTAAAACACCCTAATGGTATCTATTCTGTCTTTTAATACTACTCGAATGGAGACTGAAAACAACACTTTCCCACTGCAGGAGTAAGTAGCGGATTTCAATTTTCAAGCTAATTCATACTCCGAAAATTCGATTTATTTAAAAGCCCGCAGCGCCTCTTATTCCACTCGTTTTTTATTGTCTCTAGCTCTTTAATGCACTTATTTTCAGCAAAAACGAATTACTAGAACGCGAGATAATCAAGCATTTAGTTGAATTACATAAAGTACAAAGATATAAATTTGTGTTATTTCAAACTGAGGTTCTAATTTCTTTTTTTCTGGACTTTGTGATACATTTTTTTAACTTTAATAAAACAGTACATATCACTGGAAAAGAGGTGCGGTTTTCTTATGTGTAAAACTGTAATTAATTATGTGAAAAGACCAGATTTTACAATTTGATCAGATAGTTTTTACAAGTGTATGAAGCTGGCTTAGTCATAGGTGGGAAGACCAACTTTCGAACATAAGAAAACGTCAGAACAGCAGGATAGTAGGATGTGTTTGCATTTTCTGTATATGGGTTTTTCCCATATGCACTAAAACGGCAACTCAGAATTATATTTTGTTTTAATATATTCTACCGATTTCCAATTAAAAGAACGATAAATGAAAGATCGATTATACGGATATGCCAGTTTTTACAAGGTTTTGTTGTCTTTGAATTTATTTTATCCAATCTTAGAGACTTCTTCTTGTACTGTTTGCTTCCATACACTTCTCCGATCTTTAATATATTTATAATAATTATTGGTTTCTTTTGTTTTTATTAGAAAGAAAAGAATATTCTTAGGTTTATAGTACAGTAATTATATTTAATATTCCGGAATGTTCTGATTAGTGTTCTATCCTTCATACAATTTGGAATGGCCAATATTCTGATAAAACAAGTATTCTCCAAACAATATCCCTCAGATAAAAGCCCAGTAGTGTGTTGCTTGCTTGTAAATAGTTGTTCTATAAAATTAGAAAAGTGTTAGCTGTTTGAACAAGAAATCGTGGATATTAAGAATATATATATGTAATTATGCTTGCAATATAATAGCTTACCAGAGACAAAAAGAAAAGGCGTCGTGAATGCGAACCATAGTACTCAATATACTTTCTTTGGCTATAAAAATGATGAAAAAAAATATTTTTTGTGAACTGTGTGGTAGAATATTTCATTTACCTACCTGAAGCAAAAGGATTTATTTGCAGACCAAGAGAGTACATAGGAGGCGCTGATATTGTCTTCAGTAAATGATATACATTAATATACAAAATAAATAATATTGTTATATGTACAAAAATAAAAATAAAATTTACCATGTCGATGACACTCGTGTGAAATGAAAGTTCTTGATTCGCGATGTGCTCATGAGAGGGAGGTTTATCTATAATAGAAATTATGTTAAGCCGTGTGCTTATTAAAAAGAGATAGATTAAAATAAAATAAAATATTACCGTGTTCATAACCGTGTTTAACAGTAGAGAGTAATTTCGGCGATATGGCCTATACGAAAGAAAGGAAAAAGTCAGAATAATTTTATAGGATGACGGCATAAAGTATATTTACTAACCTTAGCTAATCCGGATGGACATTGTGAAGGGGATGCATCAGAAGGTAACAAAACGCGATTGTCTATAACAATAGAAAACAATTATTATCATTTTAGTTATATATATACATAATATTAAAGAAGAAGATATCTTACCAAAAAAATCTGTGAATATAATAAATGTTGGAAAGAGAGAGAAGAGAGAAAACTTGTAAATGAAAAAAAAAGAACAAAAGACCAAAGGGCCAAAAGGCCGAAAGGCCGAAAGACAGAAATCATATATTGGATTGAGTTGAAAAAAGCATGTTCAAAGCCGATTTGCACCCCGTTAATTCCAGGAAGTATTAATAGAGATACGCGTGTTAAAGAAATCCTGAGTATTTATAGCAACAAGTGTAATATAATAAATGGGTTCTTGCTTTTACTTTTACCATCTTTCCGTTAACTACATTTTATTCTTTCGCTTAATACCTAACTTCTTTTGTATGTTAATAACACTCTATATATACAATGAATAGATATATAAAACAAATATAATTAACAATCAACTCATGTATAACATTTTATTTGATAGCTTCCAGACCATGGCCAACAATCGTCAGTCAATTGCCCCAGCTCCATCCCCGGAATATGCTGAGCTTTTAAGAAGGCTCACCGCTATAGAGGAAAGCCTCAAGACTATGGATTCCAACATTGGCATTGTCATCAAGGGCAACAAAGATTCATTGGAAATACTTGATAGCGTTGCCGATGCCTCTGGAGAACTTCTTGCACTTATTGCTCCTACTACTATACCTGCTTCTGCTTTTGTCCCTTTCGCAGCTTCTTCCATTGGTTCTACTCTGGATTGGCATACAACACCTTCTGAGGCTTTTTTTAGCATCCCTTCTGCTGCTCCTTCTGTTGCTCCTTCTGTTGGTCCAGTGGTTCTTACTGGTGCAAACCCTGGTGAACTTAGTAAACAGGATCGCAATAGAGTTTTAGTAAGTGTTGATATGTACAGTAGTTCATCAACATAATATCTCACACTAAGTATAGGCTCTTATCCGAGGAGAGTTGAAGAAACACAACTTCAAATCGAATAAGCCGGAACTAGTTGCAGCTAATGACAGCAAGCGCAGTTGGGATGTTAATGTTGATTACAGACTTCCACCCAACAGACAGCTGATGCATGACCTTCATGCATACCTGGCTCCAAAGGTTGTTGGGACTAGTGTTCGACAGGCCAATATTAGCGATTGTATATACACAAACTTTTGTGGAACGAGACGCCGAATCAAGGAATCGTATGAATCGCGCAAAAAGACGAATTCTCGGTCAAGAAAAGCAGGTCGAGAGACCGATGTATGTTAGAAGTATATTTTGATTGCAAATTAAATGTATTCATATTAATACATTTATTAAACTAGCATTTTGACCGTCGCGAGCTGACCTACCATACATTCAAGGCTGAAATTGATGTGAAGGTGGGTAAGAGCTGTGACGGACTCTTACAAAAAGAAGCAATGTCTGAGGGCGAATCTGAAGACGATATGCCTGGAGTCTCGAGCAACCGTGCGATTCGTACAGTGCGTCCAAGTTGGAGAAGCGATGAGGTAATTTCTTTTGTTTACATTATTGTATATAGCTTTTATTGTTTTTTTATGGATTTAAATGAAACAGAACTTTGATTAATCATTTATTTGTATTTAGTACAATCACTTTCTTGCGGTTGTTGATGATTTTATGCACAATTGCATGGACTTCAATTCGTGTCAGATGTTGAAGAGGTCCTTCGGTAGAGATGCTGTTTTAGCAGTCACGCCTAGATTGACGTCCCTTCTCCCTCACTGGGCTTTTAGAGATGAGTTTCAATAAATTTTGTTTTCTTATCCTCCACATCCTCCATCTGACAATGATAAACGTACCAACAAATACAAACACTATGATTATTCTTTTCTGTGTGCCTTTGAAAAAGGGAGTTATATTTTATTATTTTTTAAATGTATTGTTTTTTTGGCAAAGGAATGACCAGCATCTTTTTTACTTTTTTGCGTGTTGTGTGCTCAGCAGTTGCTACTTCTAACATAATTCTATGCACTGGCAATACACATTGGAAATCGTCAGGAGAAAATGTTGGAAAGCAGGTTTCAACGTGTTCGTACTCTCGCGATTTATCGTTTTCGGGTGTGTACCATTTGATAAATGCAAAAGTATGTTGAGAATTGTGAAGAAGTTGCGTTGGGCGGCGATGGGTGCGGAGCAAGGGAGTAAGGGATGAAGATGTGGGTGGAGGAGTGAAAGAATGGGTGAAGATATACTGTATTTGACCCGTGTATGCGATGATATGATCACCAGTACTTCCAATGAACTTTGCTTGTACAAGAGAGCCACGACTTCCAGATTCACCTTTACCCTTGTAGACCTGCCCAAGGATGTTGATGTATTTCAACAGTGTGATTGTATTGTCGACAAAGTGTGGTGATTCTGACGCTTGTTAAAAGTGAGCTAATTGTTCGTTGTTGTACGCAACTTTGTAGTATTGTAAGAGATGAACATAGTGAATGTCACTCATTGTGGTAGCGGATTTTAATGATAGAGGGAATGCGGAAGGAGGGAGAGGTTCGTTGCCTTTTACAAGTACATTTGGATCTTCAGAAGCCTCGACAAATGACTGTATGCGGAAGGTACGTTGACGGATGGATGGAATGGTGGCGGGTGTAAAGGAAGAAGTGAGTTTGGTAAGGAGAGGAAACGCAGATGTCTGGCGGGTACTCTGAAGGAAACTGTTGACAAGATCGTCTTTGTGCATATCTTCAATGAATTTCTTCATAAATGTTTCTTCAAACCCGATCTTCCTGTTTGTCTTCAAATTTTTTAGCAACCCATTAAATCGCTCAAACCCGAATAGCCAATAACCGTACACTGGTCCAAAATCACGAATTGTATCATGAAGATGGAGGTGTAGGTGCATATTACAAGTGAGGATTTCGGCGTTGTACAGCTCGTCACATCTGGTGCAAAAAGTTTGAAGAAACTGATGGGCAGTGTTGACTTCATCGAACGTGATTGTTGGCTTCATCAACAGACGGCATGCATTAACAAAGTTAATCCAGTTTTCGAATCTGTCTTTTACAAGAACATCTTTCAACAGAACTGGCGAGTATACGAGCACCCACGACTTCCACTCGTCTGCCTTCATATACGATAATTGTTTTCCTATTTTCGAGTTCAACGAGGTGTATCCACCAGGTACAATCATCGTTTCTGCAGTCTTCTGCATCGCCGCAAAATCGCCATCTTGGATGTCTTCGTCTTTGATCCAACGATCCATCAATCTTTTCGGTGTTCCCAGGAATAAATTATGCATGGGATCGATGATCGTTCCACGTACTAGATCAAGGTATCCAAGGCGATGCAACTGCGACCATCGAACACCATTTTCGACCTCCAGCCGATGCCTTTCTGAGGGGGTACTAGCACTTTCCCACTCCTCAGCATACAACCTGTTCTCTACACCGTCACGATGCACCCACCGAGGGAAGTCAAACCCACGAAAGTCAACATTGACACCGTTTTCCAAGCGAGAGAAATGTCTGTTGCACTTGTAACATGCGCATGTACTGTTGTGCGAGGTGAACCCACTTGTATTTCTTGCTGCCGGCATGTCACAAGCCACCACCATCAATGCGGCACGGACGCGGACACCACTAGGACACTCAAAAGTTGGGATTGCCAGTCCCTCAAACAATCTCATCAGATCATCTACCATAGGCCGGAGATAATGGTTTATCTCTTCGGATTTGGGTTCCTTCGGGCCAGGCATCAGTCCTACAAGAAGTGTGTTCTCTGGATTGTATCTTTCATTGCGAGACAGATTGTTTACTACCAGGTATATGGCACCAGTCGAGTGCGTGACGATGTCGAAAGGTTGAAACCAGTCGATGTTGAGAGTCAACATTAATGAACGCGAATCCTTTGTAAATTGCACGCCATCTTTGTCTTTGAGTTCCTTCCACATGGCACCGTCGTATATGTCACACATCGTATCCACCATCTTCAGCTCGTGATTTCAATGTCTAATTTTATCCTCGAATCCTGGACGAAGAAAAAACATTTGTAAAGTCTTAACGACGGGCTGGTACAAGTATGAACGCTTGGCCACCAAAGCACCCGATGCTGATGTTTTCGTCAATTGACAGTTGCAAGATGAGCGTGCACCAAGCTTTACGAAATCGCAATGAGACGGGACAGATGCACTTTCTTCGTACACCTTGTGACAATCCTGATACACAACAAATTTTTTTATGCCTTTGGTCATGGCTGAGAAACCTGTCATGCGCTGAAGACCAGGAAGGCTCAAGGGCAGTTGGAAATCCTGCTCGTAAATTGTCAAGAGCTTGTTGATGAACTCGATCAAGACAACAGCGCCCTTGTCAACCACATAGCGGGAATCGAACATCACCACAAAAGTAGCAATGAACCTGTGCACTGGGTTCTGAGGCATATCGGGGGTGGCAAAAGGGTCTATTATAAAAAAAAATTAACACTATTTTTTTTAATATTTTAACACTAACTGACCTTCACTATTCAATTCATTGTGGTCGAGCTCAACAATATCGTCTTCGCTTTCGTCTTCACTGATTTCATTGCTGTTGCTTCCACTGTCATCATTGTCGCCATTGCTGATCGCGTCATTAGTAACGGAAACGTCTTCAGTGTCAGACATTGAAGCTTCTTCCCAAACAGGTGAGTTTGTCTGAGTGTACGATTCTTCCAGGGCTCCGGGTTGATGGGTTAAGATAGCTACATTTAGAATATAACACTTGGTTAATATCTAACGGTATCTGAATTAAATAAATCTTACGTTCATCATCGACCTCCATCATATTTCTTTGGATAGACATGTCTATTACAACACGTTATTTCATGGATTACAATACAATTAAATAAATTCAAATAGTGTACCCCTTTCACATCTTATGGCATTTAGTCTTGCCCTTTTGTTATGACGTTGAGCAGTTCTTCTGGCAACAAAACTATAGCCGAGATCGTTCTGACTACATCCAGCATAATGGCACTTCTCGTTGTAGAGTTCAGGAATTGTGGATATGATGTTTATTTATTTTTACTTTGAAGTGTTAAGAGAAAAAGGAAACAAGTACAACGTTTACTAAATTTACTATGTCTTTATAATGAATTGTTATGTCTTTATAATAATAGTAATAAATAATATTTTCGCCTGTTGTATCCAAGCCAATAGAAAACCGGAAAACAGTTTTCATTTTGAATACACAAAAAAAGCTGAGATGAAAAAATACCCCAGATTTTCTATTGTTATAATTTAACTTTGTACATGGTAATTCCCGTATGTTTTTCTAGTGCATGTGCACTGAGCTGTATTCGAGGTTGTAGAAGGATAAGCATGCTAAAATATGAAACTTTGATTAGAGTATCTTCAGCAGTTCACTTTATTTCCAGTTTTTTATTAAATTTCAATGTATAGCTAAAATCGGTTCTTCCAGCAGTTCGACTAAATTCACTTTAAACATAGAAGATCGTCCCTTTTTTTATATTTCTTTTAAACTTATGCCATTCACCAGCGTATGAGGGAATTGTCGAGGGAATTGAAAGAAAAATTACTTTTCATAGGGGCTTCTCAAGCACGTGACAAGACCCAAAAGTTTGTTCAGGATTTTCTTATACGGATTGGCCAATCTCCAAAATTAGTAATCTTTTGACAAAACTTTGTCTAGGGTTACTAATTTTGGAAACTGATCAATCCGTATAAGAAAATCCTGAACAAACTTTTGGGTCTTGTTGCGTGCTTGAGAAGCCCCATAGTAATTTATTCGATTTCAAATTGATAAAATTTCTAAGATAAATACTCTAGTTACAAAAAAAAGATATACTAAACGACCATACTTTATAAAACTCATTTTCTATAGAAAAAATGAAATAAATCAGTAACAAAAACAAATAAAAATAGGCAGGGTATTTTAGTAAATAATTAAAAAAACAAATGTCGAATAACAATCGTAATCTTATATGACGTTGCTCAATTCCCTCGATGCAATTCCCTTGTATGTTGGTTAATGGCATTAAAATAAAATAAATCGAACTGTTGGGCTGAGTAACATTTTTTTAGCTAAATTGGTGGTATTTGGCTTTAGATAAATTAAAAGTTATCTCACTGCTGAAGATGTTCAGAAAGTCTAAATCAAAGGCAAAATGTGTAACAATTTTTGTATCCGGAGTTTGCTATAACTTTAAGCAGTGAAAATTTGTGAAGATTTTACTAATAAAAATGTAAAAAAGCTAGGCATGTGACTTTTCCTCTTTTTCCTTCATGGCATTGCAGAAAATATAAATGAGTGATCACTAAATATTAAACGCCTGTACAGACCTAGACTTTAAGTCTATGAATGGTGTTTTTTATTTCCCTCATCTCTTTTGTGATCCTCATCTATATATTATCACAGCTAAAATTCGACAGAAAGTGACGCAATACAAAAATAGAGCATTCTATTTTAAACAAAAAAACAAAAAAAATTTTTTTTGTTTTTTCTACAACTGTTCAGTGTATATGCAACTCCTGCCAAAACTAAATCATCAGTCAAACCTTCATTTTTCCAGTGACTTTACAAAACTACTAGAATCGACACTAAAAACCACAACATCCTCTTCTTTTTTCTGTTCTATTAACACCAACACAAAACTATTAAGAATTGCATGGAAAATAAAACTAGCCGTTCTATTTTTCTGTAATATGTATTAGGGGTAATTTATTTAAAAATGAGGATGCTAGAGAAAAACTAAAGCTAATTCAGTCTCGAATCTTTTAGTGTGTACTGTAGATTAAGCTCCTATATGCTTAGAGATAAATTTAACATTAAAAATAAATTTGAAACAAATGCTCCGTATGGGCCCAAAGTGTACGTTTGAAGATCATATGGATATCTAGTGTGGAATTGACTATGCTGACTGAGCGTATGTATGATCTATTAGGTTAAATAAATGGCGAATATGGTGTCCAGTTCAGGGAATATTTCCTGGGTGGTGACGAGGACGACAAAGATAGCCTCGTGAGTAGCCACACACGTATGCATAGCTGACCTTCAACTGTTAATACGCTATTGATTTAGATACTAGCGCTTCAAAAGTGATGGTGGTAGCTATAATGATTGAATATTAGAGATTGAGTGGGATCAGTTTCGTGGCTCATATTAGTATGAGGAGGATACTGAGAGGATATATCCAGAGGTCTGCGATATACAATACAGTGGATAATCTAGTGGCTGAATTAAACATACCCGAAACTAACAAATAAGCTAAAGTATGCCGAGTTGCTAATGTTGTTAATTGGGATAGATGATGAGCAGTAATAACGTTATGCTAGTGTTATGCGATTCCTTGCAGGCACAGGATAAGTAGCGAATGTAAGTACGGTAAGGCCAAGCTGTAGTTAAAAGAGGCAGTAATTAAATGTTCAGAGAGTCTTGTTCACTTCTATCCTATGAGGAAACGTGGAGCTCTGATACTTGTCTTGACTGTGAGTACTAGACGAAAGCAAATTACGTTATTTAAATTTTCAAATAGCACTGTATACGTTTAGTCTATAATGGAGGCAAAAACTTGATCCTTTAAATCAATTGTAAATACACTACTGAAATGAAAACATTAATAAAAGAAATAATTTAAAAAATACTTGTATATCTTTAAACAATGATGGGGAACACAAATTTGTTACTTGATCCTTGATATCAAATACATAAAAAAGATATAGGTGTCGGTGAATTTCTCAAAAGCCTTTTATATCTTTAACCAGCTTAAATTATTTGGCTTCAACTACACATATACTTCTTATATAAAGCAAGTAGTACTGAGTGGTCAAAAATTGTTGTATACCTAGAATTCATACCTAAAACTAAAGTTTTAATCTTTAGCATTAAACATGACTGTAAGGTCCTATAGAAACACCATAAAATAGTTATTGAAACGAATGCATATGCAGGTATATGATACTCGAGCCCGAAATCTTGATCATTGGGCTTGTCTGTTTAAAATAATATACAAAAATAATTTGTAGTAATATATTCAAAGAAACTGGTATACCTGAGGACTTTTATGGAGAGTGAAACCTTGATCGCTGGTCTTTGCCGTAAAAAGTATGGGAATATACAGCTTAAAGTAACTAAAGGCTCAAAGAGACTTGTATGTCTATGACTGTAGGAAAATATCGGAATATTAATTGTTGGTCTTTACTATGAAAACACTAGAAAAATACACCTAATAGTAAGTAAATTCTCGGAAATATATATATACCTATGGTTGGAGATGTAGGTCAAAACCGTGACTGTTGACATGAGCTGTGAAGATTCTGGACATATAAAACAGGCTGTAAGTAAATGGTGTAATAAAGATGTATGCCTGTAGCCCTGGATGGAAATCGGAAGCCTAATCGTTGGTATGAACTGTGAAATTACTAGAAAAATTAAAACTGATAGTAAGAACATATTCCAATAAAAAAAAACCTTGTATGTCTATAAGCCTTGATGGAGACTAGAGCCGTGAGGGCTAACATAGAATGTAAAAAAGAAAAAGAAAAAAAAAAGATTAAATAGATAGAATCAGTAGTAAAGTAATATTTAAATACACTTATATATCTAAGACGTTGAATTAATAGCAGGATCTTGATCGTTGACCAGAACTCTAAAAACGCTTGATAAATGACATTGGCTGTAAAAAAGTAATCTAAGAATCTTATATACCTTTACCCAATAATGTTGAGTGGAAACTTGATAATGACCAAAGACTTGATCAATGGACTTGAATGTGCAAACGCCAGAGAAATTCAGTCGATATTAAAAAAAAATCAAAGATACATGGATATCTTCAACCCCTTCCCGGAAAGCTGAAGCTTGATTGTTGGACTCGGATTTAAAATACTAATCAAATATAATCGATAATAAATAAATGTTCAAAATAAACGGTGATACCTGTAGCTCATGGTTGAGAGTAGGAAATTTATCCCTTGACCTATATATTAAAAGCAATAGGCAATAGCAGCCAGCAGTCCTAAAAGGGCAATTATACTTGAATGTCTGTGAACCTGGGTGGAGACTAAAATCTTGAACCTTGGTGTGGACTATGGTATGACTACATAAATATGATGGATGACAGAAAGATATTCAAAGGAGAGTGTACGCCTGTTGCCTCGACGAATAGCAGAAACTTGATCATCAGCGTTGACTGTAAAATTATTAGACAATTTCAACAAGCAATGATTAACTATTAAAAAAAAGCATATATACCTTTTACCCCAGATGAGCAGCGGAATCTCAATTAGTAGCCTTGACTATGAAAAGACTAGACAAATGTAGCAGACACCAAGCAAATGCTCAAAGAGGTATATATACCTGTAACCCTGCATGAACTATGGAATCTTGGGTGCTGGCCTCAATTGTGAAAAGACTACCGAACTAAAGCTGGTAATAGGTAAATACCCAAAGATACTGGTATACCTAACATCCAAGTAGGAGAGTGGCATCTTGATTGTTGGCCTTTTCTGCGAGTAGACTAAAGAAACACAATTGGCAGTAAGTAAATACTAAAAAGTGGCAGTATATCAGTGATTTTTGATGGGGATTTGAGCCTTGACTGTTGAATTGAACTGTAAAAAGACTGCTTCAAACAGCTAGCAATATGTTAATGGGTAAAGAAAGCCACTTTTATCCCTGTAAATCTATGCGGAAATCGGGCTCTTGATCTTTGGTCTCGACTGTATAAAGTCTGAATAAAGCAACTAGTAGTAAGTAAATGCTTAAAAAGGCATGTATACCTTAACCCTATTTTTTGAAGTGCAACCTTGATTCTCGGCATGGACTGTCAAAGATTAAAAAGATTCAACCAGTGAAGAATAAATGCTAAAATGTGCGTGTGTACCTAGAACCTTGAATGGATAGAAAGAACATGATCATTTCGCCTTGACTATGTAAACGCTAGGAAAATCTAATTTTTAGTAAATTGCTTAAAGATTCTTGTATACCTGCGACCTTTGATGTAGAGCTGATCATTGAACGCTTGCTACGGAGAAGAAAGGGTTAGAACAAAACAACTGATAGTACCTAAAAAGTCAAAGAGACTTTTATACCTGTGAGCCCAAAAGAATATCAAAGCTTTGATCGTTGGCTTCGGCTGTAAAAACATTATGCAAATATATAGTAAGTAGATTTTTTGGCAGATTTGTATACCTGTCCCCCCCCCCCCCCCCCCCCCCGGATAGACAACTCATATTAATTGTGGGCCTTTCCTGTAAAAAGACTAGAAAATATAATAGCTAGTAAGTAAAGGTTCACATAGTCATGTATACCTTTAATCCTTAATGGAGATTAAAAACCCGATTGCTGGCTTAAACTATAAAAAAGCTAGACAGAATAATAAGTGATACGTGAGTACTAAATGAGACCTGTATACTTCGGGCACTAGGTAGATAGCAAAACTTTGGTAATTCAGTTTGACTAAATAAAAATTACTCGAAACAACAAGCAGTAAGTAAACAATCAGGTGCGTACGTATACTTGTTACCCTAGAGGACAGTAAACCAGGATCGATTGGCCTTGGCTGTGTAAAATTAAAAAATAATAATTAATTAATTAATAAATAGTAAAATAATACTTAAAAATATTTTTTAAACCTATGGCCTTAGATGGAGAGTAGATGCTTATTATTTAGCATAGATATTAATGAAATTAGAAAAATCAAACAAGCGTTATGCAAAGGCTAAAAGAGAATTGTATACCTGTAACCGTGGATGAAGAAGAAATCCTTGTTCTTCGACCTGGGCGGTGAAAACACTAGACAAAAAAAACAAGCGATAAGTAGAAACCCAAAGAAAAGTGTATACCTGTCGTACTGGATGGAGATCGGATCCTTGATGGTTGCCCTTGACAGTAAAAACAATGGACGGATAAAAAAAGCCCATAATCAATGTCCCAACGAAAAATATATATCTGCAAGTCTGGATGAATATCAAGTCCTAGTTCTTCGGCCTAAACCGTATATGCACTAGACATATAAAACTAAAAGTTAGTAAAGACGCAAACATATTTGTATACCTGTCACTCTGGATAGGGCTCGGATTCGGAATCATTGGCATAGACAGTAAAGGCACTTGACAAAAAGAAAGACACATTAAATAAAAGCACTTGTCAGATTTGTATACCTGTAAAACTTGATGGAAACCGGATCCTTGAGCGTTGAATTTGACTTTAAAGTCACGAGAAAAAATACAGTTTGCAGCAAGTCAAAAATCAAAGAGATGTGGAACACTATATCCCAATATGAAGACCGGGTTCTTGCTCGTTACCCTTGACTGCAAGGACACTAGAAAAAAAAACAATTATAAGTAACGGCCCAATAACATTTTTAAATCTGTAATTCTAGGCGGATATCAGATGATTGGTCGTTGGCCTTGACTTTAAGGACAGTAGAAAATTAAAACCGACAGTAAGTAAAATCCCAAAGAGAAGTGTATACCTGTAACACTGGACGGATATAGGATCCATGATGGCTGGCTTGGACTGTGAAGCCAGTAGAGAAACAAAGCCAACAGTAACTAAAGGCCGAACTAGATGTATATACCTGTCGCACTGGAAGGAAACCAAAATTTTCATTGTGTAGCCGGATCGTAATAAAACTAGGCCAATACGAAAGAAAGCATGTAAAGACAGAGAGAAAAGTGTGTACCCGTAACCTTGATTTGAAATCAGATCCTTGATATTTGAACTTTAAGGAAAAAAAACACTAGAAATATATAAATGACAGTAAGTAAAAGCTCAAGAAGACTTGTTTACCTGTAGCCCAAATTTGAGTTTTGATCCTTGCTGTTTGGCCTGGAGAGTAAAAACAATAGTCATATATACTTCTAGGTTAGTAATGGCCAAGAACGACTTGTATACCTTCCATAATGGATGTATATTTGATCATCGTTCTTTGCCATCAAAAGAAAGTATAAATAAAGAGTATAGTTTGTTTTAAGTAAAGGTTAAAAGGAAACTTGGTTAGCTATAACAATTCATGAAAATCGGATTCTGATAATTGCCGTGGATGAGTAGACACTAGAAATATATAAAATCCAATGAGTAATTGCTCATCGAGTTTTTGCATACCTATAGCCACGGACTGAATCCGAATCCGTGAAGCATGATCTTGGTGGATTCAACACTAGAAATAAATAAAGCCGAGTGTGATTGCTCATCGATTTTTGTTATACCTATAACCATATAACGGGAGATCGGCACCTTGAAGCTCGACCTGGATGGCCGGAGACTAGAACTAGATTAAAATAATGAGTATATGCTCATAATGCTTTTTATACCTATAACCATGGCGGGGAGATCAGAACCTTGATGCTTGACCTGGATAGCTGGAGACTGGAGATATATTACAGCTAGTGAGTATATGGGCATAACGTTTTTTTTACACTTATAACCATCGGCTGGCTATCGAAGCCTTGATGCTTGACCTGGATGACTGCATACTAGAAATATATTAAAGCTAGTGAGTATATGCCCATAATGTTGTTTTATACCTATAAACATGGAGGGGTGATCAGGTCCTTGACGCTTGATCTGAATGGCTGGAGGCTAGAAATGAATATCAAAACTAGTGAGTAAATGACAATAACGATTTGTTATACCTATAACCATGGACGGGTGATCGGAACCTTGATGCTTGACATGAACGACTGAACACTAGAAATATATCAAAGCTAGTGAGTATATGCCCATAATGTTTTTATATACCTATAACCATGGACGGGCTATCAGACCCTTGATGCTTGTCCTAGATGACTGAACACTAGACATATATTAAAACTAGTGAGTATATGCCCATAACGTTTTGTTATACCTATAACCTTGGCTGGGAGATCAGAACCTTAATGTTTGACCAGATGGTTGGAGACTAGAACTAAATCAAAACTAGTGAGTATATACCAATTTTTTTATACCTATAACCATGGACGTGCGATCGGGTCCTTGACGCTTCATTCGGATGACTGAACACTAAAAATATATTAAAGCTAGAGAGTATATGCCCATATCGCTTTGTTATACCTATCACCATGGACGGGCGATCAAACCCTTGTTGCTAGACCTGGACGACTGAACACTAGAAATAGATAAAACTAGTGAGTGTATACCCATAATGTTTTTTATACCTATAACCATGGACGGGCGATCGGGTCCTTGATGCTTGACACGGATGGCTGAAGACCAGAAATAAATATAAAAACTAGTGAGTATAGGCCCATAATGTTTTTTTATACTTATAACCATTGACGGGCGATCGGAACCATGATGCTTGACCTGGATGGCTGAAAACTAGAAATATATTAAATCTAGTGAATATATGCCCATACCATTTTGTTATACCTATCACCATGCACGGGCGATCAGAATCTTGATGCTTGACCTGGATGGCTGGAGACTAGAACCAGATTAAAAAAATGAGTATATGCACATAATGCTTTTTGTACTTATAACCATGGGCGGGCGAGTAGAACCTTGATGCTTGACCTGGATGGCTGGAGACTAGAACTAGATAAAAACAGTGAGTATACGCCCATAATGTTGTTTTATACCTTTAACCATGGATTGGCGATCAGAACCTAGATGCTTGACCTGGATGACTGAACACTAGACATATATTAACGCTAGTGAGTATATGTCACTAATGTTTTTTACATCTATAACCATGGCAGGGAGATGGGAACCTGGACGCTTGACATGATTGGCGGAACACTAGAAATATATTTAAAATAGTGAGTATATTGCCATAACGTTTTGTTATACCTATAACCATGGACGGGAGATCAGAATACTGTTGATTGACCTGGATGATTGAACACTAAAAACATATTAAAACCAGCGAGTAAATTTCCATAATGTTTTGTTATACCTAGAACCATGGCTGGAAGATCGGAACCTTGACGCCTGACATCGATGGCTGAACACTATAAATATATTATAACTAGTGAGTATATTCCCACAACGTTTTGTTATACCTATACCCATTGCCGGGAAATCGGGCCCTTGACACTTGACCTGGATGGCTGAAACTAGGAAGAGATAAAAGCTAGTGAGTAAATGCACATATGGTTTTGTTATAACTATGACCATAGCTGGGAGATCGGAACATTGATGCTTTTCCTGGATGGATTGGATACTACAAATATACAAAAACAAGTGAGTAACTGCTCATCGAGTTTTGATATACCTGAAAACCGTGGACCTTGACCTGAACCTTGAAGCTTGACCTGGATGGAATGGATACTACAAATATACAAAAAAAATGAGTAACTGCTCATAGAGTTTTGATATACCTGAAACGGTGGACCTTGACTTGAACCTTGAAGCTTGACCTGGATGGAATGGATACTACAAATATACAAAAACAAGGGAGTAACTGCTCATCGAGTTTTGATATACCTGAAACCGTGGACCTCGACCTGAATCCGTTGACCTTGACCTGAACCTTGAAGCTTGACCTGGATGGAATGAATACTACAAATATACAAAAACAAATGAGTAACTGCTCATAGAGTTTTGATATACTTGATAACCGTGGACCTTGACCTGAACCTTGAAGCTTGACCTGGATGGAATGGATACTACAAATATACAAAAACAAGTGAGTAACTGCTCATAGAGTTTTGATATACCTGATAACCGTGGACTCTGATCGGATCCCTGATGCTTGACCTGGACGGAAGGCACTAGAAGCATACAAAAGACAATGAGCATATGCTCCTCGAGTCTTGGTGTACCTGTGGCCCTGGATGGAAACCTGTTTTTGATTGCTTGACTTTGCCTGAAAAGTCCCTACAGAAATATCAAAGACAGTGAATGATTAATCAACGAGCCTTTATATACCTGTAGGCCTGGATGGAGATCTTATTTTTTATCGTTGACCTTGTTTGTCAAAAGACTAGACAAATATAATCTTCACAATTTGTGTCTTTGATGAATATCATATACTCCTTGAAATATAGTAAGTCCTGTCAGTTTATCTCTTGTTTCTGAGCGTGAATAGGCTTTGGATGAATTGATGGTCAAACCAGTGTTGGACCTCAGTATTTCATTTTTGCTGTGTACTGGTTTTGACGTATTGTCTTATATCTTGCTACTGACTGTTTTACATATGATAAAAGCCTGAGATTTGACTAGCAAAATGGATTTGTATTGGTTATGATTTGTCTTTAACGTCTATGTTGATTAAAGCAGTTTGTGAGAGAGCAGTAAAGAAGTGTATAAAGTATTAATAGTATGTGGAAGAGAGTTGTTTTGACGCGTTCTGTTTGGATAGGTGTTTTTTTTATAAAACTCATGACGTCTCAATCATGAGTTGCTGTTCTTTTTTATTATTTTTATTATGATAGTTTGATAATATATTATAAAATTCGGGTTTTTTCTTATTCCTTTTTCGGTTTTCTTTTATCTTTTAGCCTTGACAACATGTATATATTACTACTATTTTACTTCTTTATTTAATATTTATGCTTAAAATATGGGTTTTGGGTGTTAAAGAAGTATCACTTACATTCTGAAGGACGTGCTGTGCAGGCACTCGTTTTACTTTTTGTTTTTTTCTTTTGCCTCTTTTTTTTTTGGTTCGTTTTATGTCACATAAGGTCCGTGCTGTCCGTGCAACATCACATGTGTCATGGGGCTTAGAGGAGCATAGTAGCAATAGTGGTCCAGACTTTACTTTAGCATGAAAACATTTAAATGATGTCTTCCGATTGGTGGACTATATGCATGTCAAATTATTCAGTTGCTATGGACCCCCATCCCCTTTTTTTATTCTACTTTCTGTTGTGATTCTGTTAACAAGGCTTATGCTTTTGAACAGCCACTTGTCGAGACACTATATATGCCTCTGTGTTCATTTTAGCTGTACTACTGATATACAAAGTATTAATCGGCTAGACGTTTAACTACAATAAAGAATGTAAAGTTGTGTTGATTATAAAGCTTTAATTAAAGTCTTGTGTATATTTATTTGTTTGTTTTCTTGTTTGTTTGTTTCACATGCTGTGACTTTATTAGTTTAAGAAGCACCCCCGTAAAAAATTGCTGCTTATATCTTTTCTTTTCTTTCGTGTGAAAGACTTCCATTTTTCTTCTAGCTTTTTCACCAGTGTCTTGAGTTAATAAACACAAAGTGTAGGAATACTTTCTTGAAATAAAAGTACTTTCAGTGCTTCAGTATGAAGGGATTGACAGCCTGACTATTGAAAGTCGTTGGTACCTCAAGTTAAAGCATCGTTCTTAGAGTAAAATAAAAGTAAAAAGAAGAACAGGGTCTAGGCTAGTGTTTGTCAATCGACCTTGGTTTGTACTACTTTATAAACCAATCATAATCCAACCGAGAAATTAATACAGCATAACCCAACTGCCTGAAACACTTTACATTTATATGTGTTCAAATATACACCATTCTATCGATAATTATAATTATTTATATAAGTTACATTATACACCATGAAAAAGTAGTGGTGCTTGCAATTGTGCTAGCCTGGTCACAGATAGATCAAGCTAGTAAAATGGCTATTACATATATATAAATCACCTTTTAAAGGCTCTGCTTATTTACTATTTTTTTCTGTTATTGCTCGGACTGACTGACGGCACAATATGAAAGCAAAGAGACAATCTACTGCTACTGAACGTATAGGTTTTGTTTGGTTGGGAGCAAGACGCTATCGATTACTAATTATCGATTTATAGGATCTAGTGCTTTTGATATTTTGCGTTTGTATACCAAACTCAACTGGATGCACGAATAACCTAGAAATAATACTCTGTTGGATTAAAGGCTTTGATTTATAACTTTTGTTTTGTAATACAATATAATGCGCTACAGTACTGTATAGTATGATTCCACTTATTACTTTGAGGTTCACAGTCTAGCTTTGGTTCGCTTGAGACTATTTTAGTTTGAAGCACAGAGCCTTTGTATAAAGGAACCTTTTCTATGGTCGATTAAATATGAGTGTACTGGAAATGATATTTTTTAAGATTTCTACAAGCATATGCAAATGCACACCAATGGTAATCATAGCTTTTCAATTATAGAAAATTAAAAATCGAATCAATGCCATTCACCAGCGTACGAGGGAATTGTCGAGGGAATTGAGCTACGTTATATACAATCCCGATTGTTATTCAGCATCTGTTTTTTAATTATTTATTAAAATACCCTGCCCATTTTTATTTTATTTTTAATGGTTTGTTTCATTTTGCCTATAGAAAATGAGCTTTATGAAGTATGTTTGTTTAGCACATCATTTTCTGTAACTAGGATCCTTATTTTAGAAAGTTTGTCAATTTCCTCAACAATTAGATGGTCAAAAGCACCATGTAATTGTTGAAGAAATTGACAAATATATCCATTCGGAATCGAATAAATTACTATGAAAAGTGATTTTTCTTTCATTTCCATCGTCGCTGGTGAATGGCATTTGACAAAGAGAAATTAGTTTTTAGACAAAGTAGATATTTATTCATAAATTTTATCTATTTGTCTAAATGGCTCAAAGAGACAAACTAATTTATGTACAATTATTGGATTGTTGCTGTTATTGTTGTTGCTACTTCGGTTTTTGTGGTAATTACTGTGTGTTTGCTTGCCTTAACAGATCTTTGGAAAGCGGTTAGACTTTTGTATTTTGTGTTTTTATTTCTGCACAAGTACTCAGGTTCATTAAGAACATTTTCAGTGGTTAGATTTCGAAAAAAACATTATATATAGTGTATAGTAGCCATACCGAGAATTGAATACAGGTCAAAAAGAGATGCTCAAGCTGTGCTTATTCTATAAAGGAACATTTGAACTTTTTGACGATCCAAATGCTCTTTCTTTACTGGTCATTTGTTTTTTATAAATACATTAAAAGTATAAATTTAATAATTTCAAGATTGTCAGGTTCATAGTGAACATAACTTATGTGTTATTTTTTGATGCTCTTTTCTATAGACCATTATTCGTTTTAACAAAGACTATATGGAATAATTTCAATCACAAATGTCAATTTATAATAATATATGAGATTTAACTGCTGCGGATACTATTAATGAATCAATCACTACACTATAAGTTGATGGCCACATTTTGATACCAACTAGCATCTCTTTCCATTTCACTTTATCTTGACATGTTCAAAAGTTTTATTCTCAAAAAGAAGCTATCAATCATCAACAAAAACAAGTCTGAAGAAAATGTGGACGATCCTTTTAAAGGTAAAAGATAGTAATTGATTTAATCAAATCTATATCATTTATAATCGTGTACCTTTTGCTATAGACATGGTGTGTGAGAATTGTGGAGAAAGAAGACATGCGAATAAAAAGTATTATAAATGCACATTCTAGAAAGAAGCTTCAGTGGACGATTGTACATATTTAAACTTGTCTTTTCTCTATACATTCTTCATGCTAATGGACCTTTTTTCTTTTTAATTACTATTATTAGTTGTAAAATCCAGTAGAGCCAAAAGAAGTCAAAGTTCTGATCTCAAGGAAGATAAACGTAAAGCTAAAATAAGAAGAAAAAACCGGGTAACGATCCTTCATTAGTTATTTTACAGAAGCTGTCAACAAGAGGGTCACAGTACATCGCGATCTCATGAATGCTCTAATCATATACCATCAAAGTCCGAGGTGTTTGCAAAACAATCTTGGATTCCCTTACAAAGATCTCAAGAGAGAACTCCCATTTGATATTGCTGTCAACAATGAATACAAAGAGCTACCAATAAATAAGATCATTATCACTTCAAATGATCTCCGTAATATCATATTCAGAGCAATGATGTTCATAAACAGCTACTGCTTGGCCTTTTCTCGTGATTCAATACCTAACTCCATTTACAAACAGGCATTTTGGTACTCGGTGTGCCAACTTGTTAATAGGGTGTTTCAGCAGTTTTAGATGTTTAGATTTTACTTTTGCGGTGGTTTAATTTGTTAAATGATTGGCTCTTACTAATCTAAATTTGAGATATTTTCAATCTATAAACAACTAAGGACTACCCTTAGTTGTTTATAGAATGCAAATTTAGATTCTCCAATTTTGCCTATGAATATTTCATAAGAAAATAAAATTAAGAGCAAAAGGAAATACGAAAGCTTTCTACAGCTTTATTTTCATATCAATTATCATTGGCTCACGTATTGAGTTACCGCAAAAGTAAAATCTAAACATCTAAAACTGCTGAAACACCCTAATGTCAGAAAAGTAACAAAGAGCGCTAATGTACCACCGGATCTTGTACAATCCTGGGATACGCATAGAGCCTCGATTACAAATTCTGTATACAATCAAAGCCTACAAAGCGAGTCCAGACAATTTCTGTCTGAAGCTTGCACTGAACTTGCAACCTGTTATACCAATTATATAGTAGAAAACTTTGAGAAACGATTACTGAGTTACCTTCGTTACACACTACAAAACTTATTAGTGGTAAGTCATTATATTCTTGTATTTTCTAAAAACAATCGACAATATTATCATAAAATTCATACTTTTGTAAATTTTAGAATTTTTTTCTGAAGAATATTGCTATCAGTTTGTTTGTGGAGGAGACCCAAGTTGGCCAAGTCGTGCACCAAGTTTAGAAGAACTTCAAAAATCATCAATTATAAACACCTGCCGGTTATTAAAAAGCCACCTTCCAGACAAAGTGACTTTGGCCGCTCTATCAGCACACCCTGAAAAGCATATCTCTGTATTTTTGCAAATCCTGTCCGAGTATGAACTAGAGCATACAAGCCATAATCCCTTCGATGCACGCTGGCTTCCGTTACCAAGACTATTTGGACTATTTTCAAAACCATCTTTCCATTTTCGGTCAATAACTATTAGTGCAAATTCGCGATACTGCTTTGTGTCCCGACCACTATCAAGAGGATGTAATAATCAACTCTTATTATTCAAAAGCCTTATAACTTTGCTAAACTGAGGTGTTAGAGGTATATATACATTATTGTCAATTTATCAGGGAATAATAACCCTTATTATTATTTTTTAGTTCTGACCTTGAGCCGAATGGCAAAAATCAAATTATGTTTGGAAATTTAATAAGATCAAATGGATTTTCCATTGATTGCCTATTCTACAAGAGGAGCCCAACTCCCATCGAAGTAAGAAACAGGACACTTCAACTTGAATTATCAGATTTTGAGTTCAATGAGGTACAAAACTACTATAAGCCAGTTTTTGTCGACCTTGGGCGAAAGGTTGTTTTCGCTGCAGCGGAGGGGCTATCTATTAAAGCACATAGTTTACTGCGGTGCACAATTCGGGAATACTACCATATGACAGGATCGACAAGATATCAAGCAGATCAACTTCAGCAGAAAAGACAAAATGGAGTGGAAGCCATTGAGAGTCATATACCATCCCACAAGAGAGCCTCCCAAGCAGCATATATTGAGCGCGTACAATATATTTTGACTCACTTGGACGTGCTATATAATTTTTATGGTAGTAGTACTGCTAAGTCTCAGTTTTTCTTATATCAAAGGTGCCAAAAAGTACCAGAACAGACGGTGAACATCTTGATACACGAAGATAGCAAGTATAGCCAAAAGAGAAGAAAAAAGAAGGCCAAAAAGAAGAAGCAGGAAGAACCCACAAACCCTAAAACCCTAAAACCAACAAGCCGACAAAGTGAGTAATTAATCTTTTTTTTTCTTTCTTTGGTTAAAATTTCAAACCTTTTTTTGTAAAAGGTTAAATACGTGGAAACCCCTTCCGTATAAAGAAGAAAAACAATAGTCCTGTTAATTGTTTTTTCTGGGCCGGAATGTTCGGGAAGGGCTTGGTGAGGCTAAAGAATAACCGATGTAGAGCGACAGGAATTTTGTGGAAGGCTTTGAAGAAACGAGAGAGAGAGATGGAGGTCTTTTTGCTGTTACAATAGATGAATACAATACCTCAAAGACGTGCAACAATTGCCAAGCGAAGAATTTAGAATCTGCAGATCACACTCGCGGTCCCAGTGTACTTGTCTGTAAAGCATGTAATACATTGTGGCTCCGAGCTGTTAATGCTGCAAAATATATGATGACAGTTGCTTTGTCGACTTGGAGAGGAACCCATCGACCAACCGCTTCCCAAATATCTGATAAAAGCAAGCAAACAAGCAGCAATTACCACAACAATCCAATAATTGTACCTAAATTAGCTTGTCTCTTTGAGCCATTTAGACAAATAGATAGATTGTCTGAATAAATATCTAGTTTTTCTCAATATCAAGTAAAAACATTGTATAAAGCAACTTCTATAAAAATTCTCTTTTTCTAGGATGGTTAGATAAAAGCAAACAAAAATAAACTGGCGAGTGTGTTGATAGCTGAAAAGCTTGAGAAAAGACATGAACCCAATATTGACTAAAGAAATATATATATAGTATAAAAATGTATATGAAAGAATAAATAATAGGTAAAGAAGTTCCGGTTGCACTAGAATTCTTTTTTAAAAAAAAAGAAATGGGGTAATATGTGCATTTCTAGGAGAACAGAAATAAATCTGGCTGATGAGATATATCGAGAATAGTAATCATAAGGAAATAAAAGAGATTATCAAGGACAAAAAAAAAGAAACAAATTGGCGAGTACCATAATACCATAGTATGCTAGTATGTGGCTTCGATTAGCTTTGAGGTACTACATTTGTATTTAACTGATTTCATAGGTACTAGTCAAGTAATCATCCATTTAACCATTAAGAATTGCTCGTAGTGGGTTCAAGACAGCGATAATACCGAATTATATAAGAGCAGCTAAAGAAGCGTTACAGACTACTCATCACTTTGGTAATTAAGTACATTGTTTTCCTTCTTATTCCACGGATATGGCTAATAATAATTGATCCAAAATATTTGAAGAAGATACCGAACAATTGTGTTACGAAACTCACACAATAGAAGTAGTGTTGCTATCAATCGACTCATTGTCTACCTAGACAAGCCCACACTTGCATTCAATCTTGGTTTTGATCTTGTGTGATATTCTGTGCTTTCTATTGATATGGTCAATTTGCTTAACCTGCAATAATTATATATATACAGATAAAGATAAATGCTTTGTATTGATTTGCATTGATCAAGTATATATTTTTGTTCTTTCCTTCGATATAAGACAATAATTTTCATGCATCAATGACTAACAGTTTCTGACAGTTTTAAATCTAAATCATCTTAAAAGCCGATAACTTAAAATAGTCTTGTTGTCAGATCTCTCCGTGTAAGCATTTAGTCATACAAACATGTAGCCAGCTACACAGAAAATTTGTATATACAAGACATAAGGCATAATAATAGAAAGAAAAACAAAACTGTGAGTAATTTTGCGATGTTTTAAATATCGTGTTAAAATGAGTAATTTGTTTGAGAGTGTAAAGGTTTCGATCATTTAATTATGCATGGCCAATATGCATTAAACAGTATGTCTGAGCTGGTTACAAATTAAAGAAGTAAATTTCCTCAAAAGAATTATCACTATAAAATAAATATCATTTATATATTTATATATATATATATGATATAATATAATGAACTTGTCGATAGTGATATGACTATAGATAGTTGTCACTAAATTAATGTTACAATAGTAATAATAAGAAGAAGACGACGAAGATTGATAAACTAGATAAATAATGTTCAATATTAGACAGGTTTTTTTCTTACAAGTTTTACAAATAGCTAATACATTATTATGATGAATTAACTGCAACTCAGACGTATAGTCCATTTGATCATTATTAATTTCTTGTCTCTGTAGATAGTATATATTTTAAAGGCAATAAAGATCATCAAAGAAGTTCCAAATAAAACTGTTTTATCCTACACACACGCACACACATATAATATATACATCATGTTTGTAACACTCTTTGACTCGCTGTATTCTTGTAGTCCTTTCTTGATTTAAACTATTGAATCAGACGCAATTGTCATCCAATCAATCTCATCATATGAGGCTCTGTGCAACCCAGCGAGTTTCCTATGTGGGAAATACAGCTTGGATAAAACAACTCAATTTTGTTTTGTATTTATATATTTTACATTTTTTATACACTCAAATGACTATAGAATGATACTATATCTGTATTTATATTGTATGTACGTATTATATACATATGCAAGAAATACATGTTGTGGCGAATACATATTTCAATAGCCTATTATTTTCTGTTTCTCTTTTCATCAAACAACCAGCTTACTCACAAGAGACAGTCGACAAAGTGACTTATTTCACAGTCACCCATACCTTTCCTTTGTTGAACTCTTCTCGTCTTTTCTACTCTTCATTCATTTCTTTCTCTTTCTTAATTTACCTGCCTTGTCTTGTTTGTCATGGCCACCATGGATACCCTTGTTTCTCCCAATGTAAATAATACATATATATATATATATATATCTTTTAAGAATTGTACTTATTAACAACCTTTCTTTTATACATCTATATCTATATCTATATATACATTGGTTTTTAACTATAGATCTCCTCTCTGAAGGATCTTGAGAAAGAATTTGCGACTCTGTTTAAAGTACTCGAGAATAAGAAAGAATCTGAATCCGATTGGGAAGAAAGAGAAAAGGCTCTTGTACGGATGAGAGCCATCATTAGATCTGATGCATCTACATTATATTACAAAAGACTTTCTCAAGGCATTCATGATCTTACTGATGGGATTGTTGTAGTTGTAAGTTTATTACCTGGTCTAATACTCGCACTTTATTCCTTCGATTGATTGATCGATTGATTGAATTTTATGCACATGAATTATATATAAAATATACATCTGATATCTATATATATATCTACAGTTGCACAGTTTACGTACTTCTCTTGCTCTCAAAGCTCTTGCTTTAATTACAGACATTGGTATTTTTGCGGGGCGTCACCTAGACTCCTATACATTTGACATCATATTCTCAAACCTTCTTCGATGCAGCAGCCAAAGCAAGAAAATAATTGCCTCCCAAACCATCCAAGTCACCAATACATTCTTATCTAATACGCCATTTTACTCCAAGACCATCCAACTACTGATGTCTGCCGCAGGAGAAAAGAACAATCAATTGCGACATTTCGCCTCGGTATATCTCAAGACAGTACTAGAGACTCACGGAAAGAACGAAAACACAAAGGCAGCCATGGAACGATCCGGAAGTCATGATCTTGTCGAACAGATACTCAAGAAAGGTCTATTTGACGCGACTCCATTTGTGAGAGAAGTCTGTCGACAGACATACTGGGTATTTTATTCACTATGGCCACCAAGAGCAGAAAGGTAAATAAATAAACAAACAAATAAATATGCATACAAATATGTATAAGAATATTTTAGATTTGTGGGCACAATATTATTATTATGATCGATGTTGTTACTTATGAAGTTCCTGGCATTCCTTTAATATCAACTCGGTCGTTTATATTGAAAGAATTATGCTTTCACTGGATCCAACAACCCGAAAACAACTAGAAAAACACCGAATTGATGGTATTCCAGATTCACCACTGTGCAACAGTAGAGTGTCAATGCCCATGCCCCCTCGTTTACGTGTGTCAGGAATGCCTCCACGTCAATCTCGTCTATCAACAACCATAAATGCAGTCACAGCACCTTCCCCTCGCACCTCGATCCAATCAAACTCACAGATAATAAGACGAAGAAGTACACTAATTCGACAGAACAGCATGCCTTCGCCTAGTACATCCACACCTACCATATCGCGGAAAAGACCTTTACCAGACCAACCTTCACAACCTAATTTACCTTTCAGACGGCCAAGAACAGTGCCACTAACCAAAACGCCTCTAATTTCTCTCATGTCACCTTTACCATCCAAATCACTCCCAAACAATTCTCCATTACCTTCGCCTTCTAGCTCCCCTTCCCCCTCTTCTTCTTCTTCCTTTTCTTCTTCTTCTTTACCTTTACCTTTAACTTCACCTTCTGCTGATTCGTTTTCGTTGCTGAGGGGACTACAAAGCGATGACACTGGAGCTAACTGCAGATCATTACGCTTGCTAACGACCCGATTGCAAAAGGCCCAGCAGCAGCCAAAATGTAATAGGCTACCGGCAGATGTACCTTTGCAGGTTGAGCTTTTACCCATTCTTATCAATTACATCACACAACCCACAAAGGACATCCAACTCTACGAAACCTTGATGAGCTGGGAAAGCCTGGCAAATATATTTGTCCGGGTCTTGTCGGTGCATCACTATGGACCTACCTTGATCAAGGCAAGCCAGGTAGCGGCATCATACCACGGTAGTATTGCTACCCACGAACTCCGGGTGGCCAGGATGTACAGCAAAGGGCTCCAGAGATTGAAGGCTCTGCTGAAGCAAAGAGAACCTCAATTGGTCCCAATCTTGATTGATATCCTTCGAGAGGCGGTATGCACAGTCCCGCCGCGAGGAAGACAGCCGATAGAGAACGCAAAAGGAGATCTGACACGAGGTTTGCTAGAGTGGCTGGATGAACTTGTGAGAGACCATGTTGGATTGGGAGATGAAGATCCGGATATACTCTGTGAAGGAGCAAGGTGGCTAAAGTCAAGTCTTGGGAATGGTAATTGTTATGGTGGTGAAGAAGACATAGTTTTGGCGCACCAGTGGTTTGAAGAGACTGCAAATGTGGTCAGTAGTCTTGAGGTGCTCTTTCCTTTGGTTGAGAGAATGAAAGACAAGCCATTTGTGTACGAACCCCTGATAGTTCTTGTGGGACGGTTGAAATTGGCAAATCAGAGAGCATTTGAGCAGGTGTCTCGAGGTCAGGGAGGGGTTGTTGTGGATCTTGTTCAGAATGGATTCTATTCACGACCCAATACACCACCGTCTTCGTTGGTGACTAATACAAGTCCTATACTTGATGGTGATCGATTTTCACCCGAGCAACATAATATGCAAGACCAATTACATCAAATGTGGGATGAGACTGCAGATGCGGAAGGAAGTACAGGAATGACAGTCGATATTTCCAAAATGATGCTTGGATTCAAACAGGTAATATAAAAAGGAATTTATATATATATATATATATATAATATTGTTTAAAAGGCATGTGCTTTGTGAAAGGAAAAGAAGAAGAAGAAAGAAAGATTAATGTATTGGTATCAAAATTGGCATGTGAATTAATTAACAATAGTAACAATAATAATTAATAATTTGTTTATAATCAGTCACCTGCACTGACCAGTTTCCAAGCAATTATCGAGGATGATCTTCAACTGCCCGACCTTCCACACTCCTTGTTTGGAACCGAATTAGACACCTTGGTTACCACACCATCTACACGTGCTCAACTCCCCGCTCAAAAAGAACCATTAGAAGAACTTTGTCTGTTGTCCCCATCTCCTCCGATTGCGGCTCCAATTCCAATGACACCTGATCGTTTTGTATTCCCAAAAGATGCTATTGTACGCATCAACCAATCTGACGATCTCAACGCGGCATTTTTTGTCAAATTACAACGTTTGTCGCGTGAAACGTACAACACCACAACCGCGACCACCACCAGCAACACGAACACGAACACGGACATGAGCATGAACACCGACAGGGAGCCAGACAGGAGCAGGGACATTACGGATGGGGAGATTGTGGAATTGGTCAACTCGGTTTTGGTGTTTTTGGAAACTAATGGGAGCACGAAAGCTAAAAAAGAGGCGATTATTTTGATAAAGTTGATTTTGGTTTCTCGGGCTAATCTATTGAGAGAACATGACCGAGTAGAACAGCGTGAAGAGTCACTAGAGAGGTCTTTGGTTTATCGACTTGCAAAAATAGTTTTGGACACCAAGTTAGACACTCAAAGCGAGGCAAGTATTATTGGTTTAATATTAATATAGGATATGAAAAAAAAAGTATAAATATTAATTTTTAATTATTATTATCTAGATTGCCTCTGCTGTTGATGATACTTTGGACACCTTGTTTTGTGTATTCAACCCAGAGATTGGGCTGAGTATCTTGTGGGGATTGTTGGGGGACCGGATCCAACCCAACAATCAAGATAATTCGGTTGCAACTGAATCTCAGCGCATTGGACTATCGTCATTGTTCTTACGACTTGGTAAACTAACACCCAAGGTGTCAAGTGAATATGTTGAGGATTTGCTAGCAATAGGAGGATCAGATATCTTATTACGGGTAAATATTCAGGAATGATTATGTCTGTCTCTGGGTTGTGTTGTATTGTTCTTTTTTTTTATTTTATTTTTATTAACATATTTTATATTATATTATTTTAATTCTCAGGGTTACAACCACTCAGATGTATTTGTACGACGATCTTGTGTAGAGGCCATAGTTGGTATTCATCGTGTGTTGGGAGATGGGTGTTTGAAGAGATATTTTGGTAGTCTCCGGCTAGATCAGCTAAGGGTCCTTCAACATTACATCACTCGATCGACCCACCAGAACCCCCAGGCCTTATCTTCGTCGGCCAATGTCTAATCAACCACACACACATGTATATAATAATAATTAATTACTTGTATATTTACATATAAGAGCAAGACATTCTGTCTTTATTGTAGATAAGCCTACAAAAGAAGAATAAGAACAAAAGAACAAAAGAACCCCCTATCGATCCGAGGCTTTATCAATAATATCATTTAGATATAGGCATATAAATTAAAAATAAGTATTTAAAATAATAAGATAACAATATTTATATTTATATATGATTTATTGTAATTTGACAGACGAACTCTAATATTATATACTGATTTAAGATTCTATATTTTTTGTTTCAATTTAACATTTTTTTATTATAATAATAAAATCCAACAATATAAATAAATGAAAAATATATTGCCTCCGATGCCAACTGACGTTTTTCAAGATTAGCTGGCCCTTTTTTTAAAAAAAAAGGCAAAAGGCATAGGATAATGGTATTCAAGAGCTGCAGTAGTACTACAAAGGGTCATATCTTGGAATATGCGGCCCATTTACATGACCACTTTTTGGACCCTGTTGTCATGAAGAATACCAGACACACGTCTCCTCTTGCTGCTGATTATTCTATCCAGACTAGGAATGAAATCAGCTTAGAGGTCTTTAAATGAAAGTGAAGGACATATATATGATATTGGGCTATAGGCTGGGATGGGGAATAGGAAGGTGGGCAAGAAACATCATATCAAAGAGAACTAGGGTACTGTTTTGTTTGCGACGTTTTGGGTTAATTGAGTCAATTGATGAAGAATGGTCTTCTTCCTCAGGTACTCTTAATTTTTTGTAATAAGTCTTCATTTGATTCTCAAACAAGAGGAATAGCCTTCTGATATTGCATGAAATGGCGAGCAAATGTTTCCAAACGAATCAGGTCCAAAAATTCCAACTCCGGATTGACTTGGAAATCTGATAGCTTCACTTCTATATATCCCAAAGTGATAGTCTGGGCTTTGTGTGGGATCGTGACTATGGCTGCATCTAGATGGAATATTGTTGTGCTTTCATCTTTACGATTTAACCACGCGAGATGTTTATTGATGTCAAGGTAATTAGATTTACTGTCAACAATGACACCTTTGTCGATTGCTTTAGCTCTAATATTAAGCAGGAGGTACTCAGTACCGACATGCTTTATAAGTTCTAGACATACATGTCCCTTCTTCAGCAGAATAATAGCATTATTTGCTAAAACTTGATAAATTTGACTCTGTAAGTCATACCAATGCGTTTTGGCTTTTGCTTTGCATGTTTTCATGTATATCTCAATGTTTCTTCAACTGAGGACGAAGACGAAGACGCAGACGCAGACGCATTGATAGATAGCGAATGAGTGTCAGTACCAGCATCAGATACAAGAGGTGTACGTATTTGAAGTGTTCTTGATAAGTACATTTTTTGAGTAAAATGTTTCGCTAATACTATACTTTGACTATCACTTTCAATCGTAATATGAATTTTTCTGCCGTACTGTTAATAATCTCATCTAAAACTCTCGCTATATTCTTAAAAGCCGGCTTTTGCTATTCGGATTGAATAACCAAGGGGCTCGAATCCGGGATTTTCGTTGACTTGTATTTCATTTTTATGCACTTCTTGTATGCTTGCTTGAAGTTTCTCAACAAACCATCCATAGCATCTTCATAATTGGTATAGATTTCGAACCAAGCAACGGTGAGTTCTTTATGATGTATGTTGTTGTTTACAAACCCGCATAAAGTGGATTTCGATTTGTGAAGCTTGCAATTGATTTTGAAGGCTATAAAAAACCATTGTTATTTGTATACTTATATTTAAAACTAATTATACTAACCTTGTACGTTAATTTTAGGAGGACAACGTTTCCTGATGAGGCACAACATTTTCTGGTAGGAGATGCCGTTTTGATTCTACCGGACCACAAATCGTGACTTTTTTGCCGGCGTGGGATAATTATATCTGGTCCCTAAAGATACAGAATATTCGTATACTTTTTTTTTGCAAAAAAAAAGAGTTGGTGTGGATTACTTACCAGTTGATGCTGTCATACTCTGGAAATATAAGTAGATGAAAGAAAGCAAAAGGCAAGATACGTGTAAGGATAATAAATAGTAGAATATCCAACAAGATTTCTACACACTTTAATGACAATTCATACTGTCCTGCATAACTGGCCATTGATATAGTGTATTTGTGCTTAAATATTATGTCTTTATTGTCAAGTCTGAATTCAGGGCTACTAATTGAATATACAGGATTTGATTTTTGCATGAGATAGAATTTTATTATTAAATTTCCCAGACAGGCTGGAACTCTTAAAAGAATTAGAGTTAGGTGCCTGTAGAGAGAGATATAAACACAGAGTAGTAAAGCTAATGCATACAATGAATATATTGTGTTTTTTTTTCAAGGCAGACCATTTTGCCCTGAAGTATCAGATAGACACCAGTCCAGACCGATAGTCACAATTCATTAGGCTGGTTGTATAGAAGCGTCGTGCCCCACTAGGAAACGCCGCCCCCGTAATATTGCTGATTTATTGAATATCGGTAAGATCCATCAGATAAACGGGTTTACAGACACACACACACACACACAAATATATAAATAGTATTGTAAAGGAAACGCATATACTTTACATATTTATAGCACTCTAATTCAATAGCTACAGTAATATCACCTTTAGTTAACATCAGTAAAGATGATAATGATATTTAATAGGAATTTTTTTACTACCAAGGAAAGTCTCTTTATTTTATTTTTAAAGATTGCTGATAGAGTAAGAAGCATCTGGTCAATTTAAACTCTATCGTGAGATTGAATCAAATAACAACGATGATAATAACTATATATGTCCTTAATATTGATAAGATAGTGTGAAGGCCAGACTCACACTGTTATTCTATGAAAAGTGGGGGAGGAAATGGGCGGGGTCTTTTGACTGAGAAAATATAATAAAATATAACAAAACAAAAAAAGTCTCGTTCGATACATATATTTTGGTTTTATGCAACGATCGTGCGAAATGAAGTGGCCTGTTTAATAAATCATCAATCAAGTAGTATTTTCAATTAAATTTAGGGGGAGAAGAAAACCCTTCTTTTATATATAATTTATATAATTTTTACTATGATCTGTTAACATTTACAATTTAAAATAATATTTATATATATAAAATATTAAGAAACTTAATGGGTTGAATGCGGGTAGCAAAATGTTAATCGTGTTACTACAGTATTTTACAGAATATTTATTTATTTATATATATAGATATTCATTATAGTTTTTGTGTGTATATGTATTTATGTATCTACAAGGTCCACAAATCCTCCAATTCACCATGGGGACCAAGGAAACGAAACAAGGTTTATTTTGTGCTTATCTTTTGCATACTATATTTTCCAAAATAAGCCAATATCTCCCTTGTGGGCTATATCAATAAGAAAAAGTGTGAATATATATATAAAAAGTCTATCAAAGCAGATACCTCTTGTATCACATTACACCCATGTATCTACTACAATACACATATGTCTATCACTTTATCTATCTCTCTATCTATCTAATATACATTCATACATATTTATATATTGTATGATTGAAAGAATGATTGAGGATGATTTATTATTGGTTGAGAGCATCTTCTATCACTTGTTTGATTTGTTGGGTTCGCTTCTTACAATGTCCAAAGCAGGCACGTAGGACATCCGATCCTACTGTTGTGCCTCCATTTTTGTACACACGACAGATTTCACCATTTGTATCCATTACTACCGTCACAGTCTCTTTGGCCAGTGACTCTTCTGTATCATTTGGATCGGCAATAAGTACATTGGGTTGGTTGAAAATGCAGAAAGTAGATGCGACAGGGAAATTTGTGAGAAGGAAAGGTTGGACGGTTTCACTAGGATCAGCCTCGACAGCCAACAGAGGAGAAACCTCGGCCTTTGGCAAAGAAACTTTTTTTTTAAAAAAAAAAATAATAAATTAATAAATAGAAAAATCATTCAACATTTATATATGATTGTTACTTACGGTTCTTTAGGGCAGTTACAAGAGCTAAAAGACTAGCATCGATAATATTTCCGTCATAGTTTAAGCATACAATATCAGCATATAGTACCCACACTGCCTTTCCGGATTCAATGCACAGACTCTCAAGAGGTACAACATTTGATCTATCAAATTGAAAAAGAGAAAAAAAATCAATTAGTTAGATGGTCAAATATAATTTGATCTGACTAGTCTTGCTTGGCTTTAACTTGACTTGACTTGACTTGACTTGATTTTCTACATTTTTTTTTTTTAAAAAAAAAACTTTTACTTTTACTTTTACTTTTTTAATAATTGATGGATGAATTCTGAAACAGCTTGTGCCTTTGCTGAAGGAGGTCCAGGGCGAAATTGGGATGAACACATTGGAGACAATTCGACATTGGGTACTAATTAAAAAGAAAGAAAAAAAAAAGAATCCGAAATATTATAGTTACGAATATGATTAGTATTACTATCTCTTTTTTTTTTTAATAAAAAAAAAAGGTTGTAGAAACACACGTCTTTATCTTCTTTTCTATAATATTGATATTATTACTATTGTTTATGTATGTATGTGCGCGTATAGTTTTATAAATATTCGTTATTGTTGTTGTTGTTTTTTTTTACCAAGATATCCCTGGTCTGGTGTGTCGACTTTGGGCTCGCATACTTCTGCTTTAATACCACAAACTACAGTAGTGCCACCCAATCTAACCATAGCACTGGCGTTGGCTGTAGCTACAGTTCCTGCAGTGACGAATGTGGGTCTGAACTGATCAAGCAATCTTCCATCTGGTCTGATATTCTGGTCTAGGAATCGTCCAATGTATTCATTGGGTTGGATGCGACTAAAGATCTCAAAGTTCTTTGTGGTGGTCATTTTGTGAATAAGCTTACAACTTAAGACATCTTGACTAGGTGCGATAATATGACGTGACTGTTGTAATAATGCCAGTCATTGTGGAAATTTTGGGGGGGGGAGAGAAAAGAAAGAAAGAAAAGTGAGAGAGCAAAGAAGACAAGTATAAGGTGGCTTATTTTGATTCTAAAGAAGAACATAAGAAAAATGTGTTTCAATTTAAAATTAATATTAAAAATCATGTATATGTCTATCTGATATATGTACATATACATACATTTATAGATACAAAATATATACCCAACAAACAAAGTGCTTTGGTAATTCGTAATATCAAATTACAAATGTCTCTAATGTTTATAAATAAAATAAAATGGAATCGATAGTTATATCGGAAGACGGAAGAGACTGGATGTTGCCATATTCACGTGTGTGGTACGGTAGAAGATGCTATCTATAAGAAATAAACAAAAAAAGAAAAAGAAAGAACAAGGAGATCGCTGCGGATACGTTCAAGGAGAGGAAACTGGTCATAATTGATTTTTCATGTGAAAGCATTCGAAAAAAAAAAGTTGCAAGGCTGCCTGGTCTATTTGACTCATTTGCATTCAAGGGTTAATAGTGGGGTGATTTATTATTTTATATTATTTTATATTCGTATTCTATCTACAAAGACAAAGAGAGAAAGAGAAAAGGGAGGGTATGTTGGGAGAGGAGGTTAATTGGTAATAAATGATTATATATCCATGTTTCAATGTTTCAATGTTTCAATAGTTGAAAAAAAAATATGTAAAATATATCTTTAAAAACTAGTCAATTGTCGTTGCAGGTAGTTTATGTAAGCTATTCTGTATTGGTGAGCATATACATATATTCAGTGCTGTTTATTATGAGCGTGTTTCTCCTTTAGATTCCCAGAACTCCTCTCTGAATCAAGTACTAACGTTGCCTCTCGTATGCCTCTTCCTCCCCTTCTAAAAGTCAGAACTTTTCAATCAATTATAATATATGTATATATTAGTAAATTTGGATTGATTAGATTGTGAATTGCTATCACTATTATTATTTTATGTGCATGTATAGGTTTACTGGAAATGTCAGATTTACTTACAAAATGTATAGGTAAATTTTGTAAATTATTAAATCAATCGAATGGCTTTTACATAATAATAATAACATTGCCTAACAAGCTATTATTGGGTTCTTTCCTTTGGGGTTGTTTATCAATACGATACTTTTATGGCACAAATGTCCGGGCGCTGAGAGACATGTAAGTATATAACAAGGAGAAGAGTGCAGTGCAGAGTTTGGTTCGAGCGTTCGAAATATAATGAAAGAAAAGAAAGACTCTGCGATTGAGGTAATGAAAAGGATGAAGAAGGTGGGTAAGAGAACACAGGGTATATTAATGTCAGCAAATGTTGAGCTGTTGTTTGTGGGGGTGGTTTAGATATTGGGGCAAATGACGACAAGACCAAAGGGTTTGAGAGATACAAGAATGAAATTGCCGATTATCTTGAAAGATATGCTGCTTAGAATTGCCGAACAAAATGCCATCACTTTTACGTTAAATCCACATTCTTGGTTGGCTACAATATTGGTGGTTAAATGTAATCTATTGTTACTTTTTTGCTTTGAAAACTTTACGGGCAGTGTACAGCATACATGTATGTAGTATATAATGTGTGTGAGTGCATGAATGAATGATAAAATTAAAAAAAAATTAAAAAAAAACCTTAATGTGTGTATGTCTGTGTGTCTTTATATAATTAGATATTATATCTATCAATAGTAAATTCGATCAGCCTGATGGTCGATGATGCACCGCGTGGGTAAATTACCCGTGTACGCCGTGTGAGGAAACCTACAATATCCGACAGACTTACAAGACAGTGAGGACTATGTACAGAGAATAACGCCCCTTCTTGAGCTTGGAACTCATGGGAAACCAAGAGTGTTGAACGCTCTATATAAGCTGACATACCTGTGTTCTGTTCTTATTATTGCTATTATTATTATTTTGGATTTGAATATATTCCAAATATCAATTAAATATTTATATCCATAGTGATTTGATTTTATTGCATCAGACCTTCTTTTTTTTTGCAATTAAAAGGCTGGATTTGCGACTATTGAATTTGTGCCAAGCTAGTTGGAAAATCTTAAATTCCATTTTCAGAACAGGTGTGTTTCCCCAGATATAACTTGGATGATTGAGTTTCGAGGGGTTATGCTGTGACATATGTTCTTTACTCGACTATAGAGTATACTTGACTTTTATTTTGGTAGATGTGATTAAATCCAAAATAAAACTCAAAATCCCACAGATGTACATGACCCCAAGAAAGCCATTGCATGCACTGGCACCTCAAATGTCGCAGTTAATTCTTATGATTATGATTAGGATAACGATTTGTAGTATGTGTGTGAGTGGGTGGGTTGGGTTTTGTGATTTGAAGCTTTCATTTCATTTTGGTTACTTTGACAACCAGACTTGTAAAATAAAATACAAAATGTTCGATTGGCTTAAGCTTGGTGACACGTGTGATGGAAAGATAGACCCAATATCCCCGGAACTCATTATATATATATATATTTATGTATATTTGTATGTATATCGTCAGTCTTGTGAAATATAATGGTAGGACATGATCCACTACAAGTAAGTTAAAATAAAATAAAGGAAATATTTTATCTGCTCATATTATTCTCATTTTTTTTTTGTATCATTCAAACTTGGGTGAGTAGCCTCTGAACACTAAATCAATCCCATAGAAAATTGGTATTAAGATTAATTAATATTATAAGATTTGAACAAAGGACCACTATGTATGTATATATGTTGATCATAAATATATCGTGCAAGAGAGAATCAATCTGCAGTTGATTAGATCTAATGCAGGATATAAGTCTATAATTTGTTTTTCTTTCTCTATTCAAAATTGAGGTAGTCAGTGCTCGTGTATGTTTGTAGTTATGTATGTATTAGCACCATGACCACCGCAAACGAACCTTTTTATATAATATATAATATTCTTATAGTGGGATGATGTACTTTAGGTTGATACCCATGTATATAAATAAAATATAATATAAACTGTTGATAAATGACATTTTCTATATTAAAATTAAAAAACTAATATATATATATATAATAGTCAAGAAAAAAAGAAGCAATATTTTTTATTTTTTTTTTGGTTAACACGCGATTATTATTTTTTACTATTATTTTGTATTTAAAGATACCCCACAAGCCAATAATAATAACAATAATCAAATGCTGGATCAAAAAAGGAAAAAAGAAAGCAAACAGAGACAAAGACAGAGATGGAGAAGATAGGTAGAGAAAAAGAGGGGAAAAGTCAAGGGGAGGGAAGGAGAGGGAAAAAAGGAATAAGGGAAAGGGGGGAGATGGTAAAGATAAGGAATTGTGTGTCCCTTGCTAGAAAATCAAATTATATATATATATATATTTTACTATTCACCAAAAACCCGCCTTTAGAACAACCCCTAAAACCACCACTATAAAATTTTCCTTTTCTCTCTCTCTTCCCCCCCCCTTTTTTTTTTTGGATTTTCTCCTTTTGTTCTTATTCTGGCATGTCTCACCCCCTATCGCTACCATCAATGCGGAGTTTATATGTTTTTTTTTGGGAAGTGGGGTATAAATACCCGGCCATCCTAATCCTCCAAAAGTTCACAAAAATTTCATCTTACCGTCGTTTGACCCTTCTTCTTTCTTCCTTACTTACTTATTACCTACTCACTTCTTTTAAATATCACTTAATCAAAAGCTCACAAGAAGTATTTCAAACCTACAAACCTACAAACCTACATACAGACGAATAGAATAATCAACAAGAAAAAAAAATGGATTATCAAGCTGCCACATGTTTATTGAGTATGTCTGGCTCAAATCAACCTGCAGAAAAACCGTCAATTCCAAGACCGTACAAGTGTCCAATGTGTCCCAAATCATTTTACCGTCTTGAGCACCAAACTCGCCACATTCGGACTCATACTGGCGAGAAACCACATCAATGCACTCACGCTGGATGTGAAAAACGCTTCTCACGATCTGATGAACTCACCCGTCATGCCCGCACTCATGCAGCAGCCAACAAACGCAAAGAACGCAGACTGGCCCGATCAGTTCCCAAAAGAACAACACACCACCACCAACCTAGTGTTGTTGTTGCCTGCACAACCCCCGCACATTCAACCCCTCCTTCACCTACACTCTCCACAGCCAGCTCCCACTTTGAACCACATCACTCAGACTCAGATGCTGACTATCTCTACACACCCGATAGTTCTCCACTTCTCTCACCCCGCTCATTACAGCCATACTCATCATACTCATATTCACAATCAACCAAGCCTGTGCCTATGGAATGCAGCTTATTCTCTTCTACTCTCCCGCGTCCTCTTACTTCTTCATCCTCAACATCAACATCAACATCATCTCTATCAAACTCAAATTTCTTCTCCACATCCAACTCTACTTCCTTACTCGATCTACTGGACCAGCCCCCACAAGCACGCACCTTGCCACCTATCATGCCCATGCAAACAGGAACTCCGGCCTATCTCGAAAGCTCCTTTAACCATCATTCCCTTCCTCCTATTCATTGCATGATGCAATTCTAAAACATACACACAAATTGTAAAACAATCATTTTTTTTCTATTAATTATTAACTTTTATTCTTATTCTTTATATCACCCACCCCTTTCTTTATTACTATTATTACTATTATTATTATTTTGTACAGTAGAATCAACCAAACTCGCTCACATTCTCTTGAATTTTCTTTTTTTTTCTTTTCTCTTTGATACCATAAAATCAAATATCTATCTATCACACTTTCATTTTCATTAAGACCTTTCTAAATTTCTCACACACTCTTTTCTCTCTCTCTCTCTTATATTTATTACCACGCTCATTTCATCTCATTTCATTTCATTCTATTCTATTCTATTCTATTATATTTTACTTTACTTTACTTTTACTTTATTTTTCTGTATATAATATATATAAAAACAAAAAAAGGATAACAGCCTCAATAGTAAAATGAAATAAAGTAAAGTAAAGTAAAGTAAAGCAAAGCAAAGCAAAGCAAAAGCAAAAGCAAAAACAAAATAAAAATAAAATTCATACTGTTACCATTACAATTACAATCACCATTATTCTCATGTCTATCTATTTTGTCTATAATACTCTTGTGTGAGAATCCAACCTCCCCTACACAATGGCGTGTGAATTCAATTCTCTGAGTATTTGATTTAATTTGATTTTTACACACAAGGCAAATCCCAAAACTTAAGCCTTTTAAAACTTTTAAGCCTTCAAACCTTTAAGCCAAGCCAAAATTTGTAGTTATCAAATTTCAAACCTCAGGCCAATCAATTCTATTTAATTTGTAATTCGCAATTCGCAATTCGCGATTCAATATAATATATAATATAATACATATGAAGACAAGACAGGACAAAAGGAGAAGAAAGTCAAAAGAGAGAAAGGTGGGGGAGAAAAGGTGGGGGAGTAGAATGAAAGCTGGTGTGGAGTGGGAGTGGGGGTGGGAAGAGATGATCGATTATAATGATTTTGTACTAGGATGATATGTTGCTTTACACACACACCTTGCACACCTTGCACACCTTGCACACCTTGCACACCCTATACTCACACTATACTCACATGTCTATACGTGAGTAAGAAGTATACAAGCAATTATTATTATATATAAATATTAAGTCTATTCTTTACTATTACTATTACTATTACTATTGCTATTGCTATAGATTCTCTTTATTTTGCACGAATCAGATATCAAGATATCAAGATATTCTAGCTAGCAGATGAAATATCTTATCGTATTATGCAATTTATTGCCCCAAATATCATGCAAGAAAATGGTGATAATTATATAATAATTATATCTTTCCTTTTTTTTTCTTACGTTCTTTTTCTTCTTTTTTTTCTTTCAACAATTCTACATGTGGAATGGTCTTATTCAAGCTTTATAAAGGTAATTCCGATGTTTCCGAAATAAACCGTGAAGGAAAAAGGCACGTGGGAATTACAATCCCTCTCTCCTTCTCCTCACTCCCTCCCTCACTCCACCCCCCTCCTATTCTATCTCTGTGTATCCTTCACTTCATACCCCCCAATGCTTGTTCTGTCAACTGGGAAAAATCAAATCAAATCAAATCAAATCAAATAAAAACCTTGGAAAAATTACAAAAACAGTATGAGAAAATGAAATAAAATATACATATATATATTATAATTCCTTGTGTAACTAGAATTTGATTTTGGTTTTGGTTTCTCACCAGGGTTTTCCTTGTAGGTTTGTAAGCAAAATGCCAAAATGTATTATTATTATTTTCTTTGATACACACACACACACACACACATATATATATAAGCAATATTTTGAAACAAATTATTCTGGCGGTTATTAAACTAACAACAATATATTATTTTGTTTGATTTTGGCTTTTATTATCGTCAATACATAATTAGGATGAAATGTGTATATAAAAGAGGAAGAGGAAGAGGAAGAGTAAGGGTGTGTGGGTATGTGGGTTTGTGTAAAAGTTACACCCGGCCGGCATTGAGTACTTTTTGGGAAATTTGATTCGATTCACAAGGTAAAGACTAAGGTGAAGCTGCCATGTCCGTGTGTATTTTATTAGGTCAGCACGCACACGCACAAAATATATATATATACATTAATAATAGCATGTATATAGATATAGATATACATATCTATATTTATTATAATTTATCATCTTTCCCCCACAAAATATATTGAAAAGAGAATAGTAAAAATATATACACAAGAAAGTTAGATTACACACAAGTCACAGTTCCCCGCTTTGTCTGTAAATGTAAATGATTCCTTGATAAGAAGGTTTGTTGAGATTTACAATTTTGTATTTAGAGAGAGAGAGAATATGGGGGAGGGGGCACCAAAAGGGAACCACTAGCAACTAACAGCCACCTACTACCAAATGGAATTGGAACTACCAAATGGAATTAGACCTGGAACTGGAACTGTCACCATAGTTACTATCACCATAGTTACTATCATTATTACTACCCAAACCCAAGACAAGGGTAATAAATAAATAAATAAATAAATAAATAAATAAAATATTTATATAAAAGTCGCTTATTGCTTATTTCTGATTGCTGATCACTGATTGCTGATTGCTGATTGTTATTTTGTCAAGTTCTCACTCTACTTATGTTTCTTTAATAGCCAATTTATATATATATTCGCTTCTTATTTAGTTTGATGTTGTTATTTCGATTAAAAATCATCTCACTAATTATATATATATTATTATCAAGGTTTTCTTAAAACAAGGATCTGATATATAATTATTATTATTTTTGGAAATTCAATTTCCAGCCATTTAACTCTTGTTACTGCTTAGAATGTCATGGGAATAATATATATATATATATATATATTGCCTTCTTTTTTGTGTCTTTATGAATTTCATTGTCCCAAAACTGTATCACAAATCATATGAGTTTATATATATAATTTCTAACACTAGTGAATATAATGTATTCTGATTCAATTCAATTCAATCCAATTTAGCATGATCCAGTACAGTATACACATCTTGTCCTGTTAATTAATAGCAGGGAGTTAATTCTTTGCCAGGGACGTGCCACTCCAGTGTAACTATTGTAATAAACGGGAACATTAATATATAAAGTAAAAATAAAATTTGAGATTAGAAAAAGTACTAGAAGAGTTTTTTTTTTTACAAAATATTTTAAGAAAATGAAGACGGCTAATCTTTATTGCTTTTGCTACTTTTATTGCTTTACTTTTTTCCATTTTTCTTCCCTTCCTCTTTTATTCTTATTTTCTACTCCACTCTACCCCACTCCACCCCCAATTTTTTCCCCGCTTCTCTTTCTACGCAGAATTATAGCCACTCAAAATGTCCTATAAAGTTTCTCACGCAAAACACCATTAGAGTAACATAAATTATCCTGCCTTGATAATCATTTAACTCTCTCTTTATATAAATTATATTATATTATCTATAAAAAGAAAAAAAAAGGTTATTTAGATTAAAGTTGGCACAACAAGAAAGGCAACAAAAAAATAAAATAAACGATAATAAAAACGCATATTTGATATTGTATTTTTGGGTTTTGATATTAGAACTGTACATGTAAGAATGAAATTTGGAATAAGAAACACAAGATATCATTATCATTATCTTTGTTTTATTTTATTATCTTGTGTGGTTGAAATAAAGAAATAAGGAAAAATCTCCTAATGATTATGACAAACTATATATATATATATAGATATAGATAGGTAGAATAAGCCGGAATAAACCGTATAGAAAACACATATATAAATATGTGAGGGGTGTAAAGTGTACCTGAGTAAGTTTGGAACCATTTGAGTAGTAACCAAAAGAAGATATCAATCGCCACATCTTTCAACTTCCATCTTTTATTTATATATTATATTTTATGACCTCAAAAAATAGACCATCCGGCACCTTCCGGCAGAAAAATCGATCCCACACATCTTACTAACCCACATTCATTCATTCAGTCAATTATATTCATATTTCAACTTCCACTCAGTGCCACAGCCAAAAAAATCAATTAGTCAAATCAGCTCATCTAGAAAAGTGAATAATTATATACGGTGTATTAAATAGTAAGATTTTAAAATATTCGTATTTACGCTTATATCTACTATATATACACGCACACAAGAGAATAAGCATTCCATAGTGGGATTCATATCGGTCTATACAAAACTCTATCCACATACAAAATAATCCTCATTATCAAAATAACAGCAAGGTAAAGATATAGTTTGGATATATTAATGCGTAATATAAACATTCTGCATCGGTCTGGAAAGTACATTGGTCTTTTACATATTGTGAAACAACACTTTATTCTTATTTCTATTTTATTACTTGATTTTCTGCTTTCTTATATTAATTAGCAATTCTCTTGCGAAATTCTTTTGATGGCATTGATTATACCAGACCGACGCAAAAAGAACTTTCTCTCTGTATGTATATAAAGCCAATAAGCATAAACACACATTTAAATACTTTAAATATTACGGCATATTTACCTGTCTCACTTCTCCACCCACTTTTGTACTTCTTCTCGATTTCCTGAATCGAGGGATACTGTAGCCCACCCATTTTAATCCCAGTAGAATATTCACACCACAGATCTTTGACGTTATTGATCCATCTCTGCATCGTGTAGTGAGATATATTATGACTCAGGACATCAAAAGGTATTGGATGAATTGGGACAGGCGACGCAGACTTTTTAAGCTGAGTAAGTGGTGTAGGGCGTACATTGCGTGCAGTACGCTCAGTAGGCATTGGTTGTATAGATTGTGTATGTGGCGTTGGCTTATAACTAGGATGGGTTAAAAGTGAATCAAACGTTGTATTTTGTTGAGCTCCTGTATTGTTCATAGCAGGATCAGGAGTAGGAGCAGCACCAGTAGTACAACTATTGAGAGGAGGAGGGTTCATGCCATAGGCAAACATTGCACAAGCTCTTCTTAAGTGATCAAATGTTGTGTTGATCTGCTCCAATGATTTTTTGATGGATTTTATATCTTCAGATTGGCAATAGCATTCTTGATGTGGCTGCAAACGTGGTTGAGGCTGTGCTACTTGTGTATTATTATTGATGTTCATTGATTCAACTATACCGTCCATCTTTTGTAAAAGATGGGTGAGTACACGCTTCAGGTTATATACATCAATCTCATTTTCGTTTTCGAACTGTTGTTGCTGTTGTTGCTGTTTTTGCTGTGCTCGAGCTTGTCGAGCTTGTCGAGCTTGTCGAGACTGTCTAGCATCTTGACGTCTTATTTCGCGTAAAAATGCCTTTAGACGTGGTCCACGAGGATCTTGAAGAGTTACTCCGAGCATAGTAGATCGCTGGTCGCCGTAAAGGTCCATTACTGCCTTAACATATTGATCGACAGAAGAAGAACTGAGGGGATATGGCGTACCATCGTTCCTGGACTCCCCGCGTTTGGTTTTTTGTAAGTTTCCAAGGGGAATGACATCTTGTCTTCAGTAACCAAGGAACCTGATGGATGAGAAATCTTTGTACAAAAGTCCTACATCGGGAGGTTTTTTTTTAATTATTATTTTTAATAAAAACAAACAGCTATATATATATATATATATATATATATATACCTACCAAGTATCTTTGTTTTCTTTGCTTGTATGCTTTTATAGTGTTTCTAGATCTTATAGAATATGTCGTTTGGGATATATTTGTAATGCTATCGTCTGATGGTTGAGTTTCATCAAATTGGCTTGGTGAACTGAACATTTTGATTTATAAATATGAGTAAAAAACACAAAAGAAAGAAAGAGAGAGAGTGAGAAGAAATTTATTTTCTTTATTCACATTGTTTAATATCCTATAAGACCCAAGCATAATCGGCATTTGTATATGTGTCAAAGGGAATTATTTAATTATAAGTTGAGGTGGCACCAGGATATGTATATAATCTTATTATAGGAAAGGAGAAGAAGACAACGATAAAGAAGCAGAATAATACTAAAAGTATGTAGCCATAATTGGTTTATATCCTATCATTTTATAATCTGACTACAGAAACGGAAGGTATTTCTCATTCGTGGTAAGTTTGGGACTTTGAAACTTTGGAACTTTGGGAGAGCTTTACAAAATTTACTGTAATCTTTTTCTTTTTCTTTTCTTATTTCTTATGCCTTTTGAAAGACTTTCTACTTTAACTTTCGTATAAAAAGAGTCATAATAATTATAGTGTTTTAATTGGTTCTTTTATATGTATATATTTATTTATTTATTTAAGCATAAGAATTTTGGTCCAATCGGATTTGTAAAAAAAAAAAAAAAAAAAGATTTATATGAAATAAAATAGAGTACCAAAACACAGTACTGAAAAAGCCTTGTCCCAAAATTTGAATAGACTTGAGTCCGGTCCTCTTCAGCTCTCTCTCTCTCTCATTCGTTGCTTGGATACATTATTACTTAAATATTAAATATACAAGCGACTCGATATTATTCCACCTTACTCCTCCTCTTATTTATCTATTCTATATAGTACAAGTAAAGTTGCTTGACGCTCTACCACTACTCATAATAATTGGGACAGTCACAGCGCTACTATGAAGTATACTCTTTCTGGAATTTTTTGGTGCAAAAGTAAAAATAAAAATTGATGTGATTTTCTACCATTTCTCTACTTAATTCATCTTTTTTGGTGCATTTGGTGCATTCCATTTTTTGCACCAAATAAATTTTTATTCTTGTACCAATAATTTCCGGAAAAAGTGTATAAGCCAAAGAATAAAGGAGATAAATAAATAAAGAGGAAGAATATGGAGGGAGGTGGAGTATTATTTATAGACAATTGCCGAATGAGTTTTTTTTTTCTGTGGCTGACACCCTCTATCTTCACATGTCACCTTGCGCCACTATCATGTGTAGAAACTGATGGCTTAAAGATGTAAATAAACAAAGTAGTTTTTTATTTATGCATTTGTGTGTGACAGTACTTGGTTGTGTACGGTATTTTAATACACCCACCTGCCAACCTACTTGTACTTCTTGTTCTTTGGTGTGATTATCAGTCTCTGTGGGCTCATTAACTGTAGAGTGCAATGCACATATTGTTGCTGTTGAAGTTATTGCCAGGTGGAGCCATAATAAAAGGCTTTATTTTATTCTTCTTTCTGCTATGAGAAAAAAAGTACATCACTAAAAGTTGGATAAGTAATACACATATTTTATTATATATTTTGAACCTGTCAAATTTCAGCCAAAAAATCAATCAATCAATCAATCAACTAATAGCCCAAAGAGCCATTCGTCCAACCCACATTGTTTTCAAACATTACACAAATAACATGTGTAAATGGTGTATTCCGAACAACATCAATAACAACCCAAACAACCCCCAAATAAAAGAGACTCAAGTGGAACAAGGGCAGTTGGTATCTTTATTTTTGTTTATTTATATGATGGTTGTATAGTTGTGCTTATATCACTATTTACGCTTGTAAAACAGACACGTCAGTTTTGGGTTTAATGCACATATAGCTTTTAAATAAATAAATAGAAATGTGACCCAATAAGGCTATTCCTTTTCATTTACATGCATGCCCTTATATATGTAGAAAGATGTTGGGGGAGGAGCCAAATGACTAAAAACAAATAAGTAGATAGATAGATAAATCGATAGATAGATAGATAAATAGATAGATAGATAGATAAATAGATACCAAGCGTGTGAAATTGGTGTGGTTGCTAGGAGAAGGTTGACGGGCTTGAAAGAGAAAACAGATTATGATGATGCTGCAACAGATCATACATTTATTTGTAACCACAAAGCCTCCCTCTTTCTATATTCTTATGTGAATTTGGTGCTTCTTGTTGTTATTTCTAGTGGTGGTAAACACTTCTTTAAGATAAATTATTATTACTTGTTTACAAGAGCCAAATAATAATAACAATTGTATTTATATACATACACTGTTTGCATGTATATTCTATTTTTGTAGGTCAATGACAATTTGGTTTAATCGACAAAATAAAAGCGTCTTGAGAATGACGGGAATAAATCGAGAACATATAAAGAGCCCAGACCAAAAGATACCTAAAAAGACAAAATAAAGTATAATTAAGTGATATTCTTGTGGACAATAGCAAAAACAGTTTCCTTCTTTTTATTTATTTGGGTTTTAGATGTATATAAATATGTGTGTGAGAAAGAGGGGGGGGGGGGGTTATGGGGGACAGGATTTGCGATTCTTTTGAGGACCGTGGGTACCAAAAAATATATATATACCAAAACTTTTGTTGATGTAACTACTTGTAGATATGTCATCTACTACTAACTCTCTGTTGTAAAAACAGCTTCTTTAGATATATATTTATTCCTCTATTTTATCTTACTAAACATGTCAAGATTGACACCCTAAAGAAGAATATAAAAGAAAGGTACAAAAAAAAAACAACTAGGAACTTATTTATTTTTGCTGGGGACGGATTTAAGCTTTGTTATAAAACACTATTATTGTTGCTATGGTTACTTTAAATATTTGGGGTTTGTATTTGTTTGCATAAATAAGGATAAGTTGATGACGATTGAAAGCAGAGAGGCCAAGTGATTCATCAAATCCAAGCTATGCAAAAAGGGAAAAAAAAAGAGGGCTAGAAATGGATTCTGTTTGTGGGGAGAGGAGGGTTGATTATTGTGATTGGTCGAATAGAAATGATCTATATGGATATGCACTGTGAAAAATAAAGGATAAATAGGATTTGTAGATCACAATATATATATATATATATGTAAATAAATAACATTACGTTTTGTCTAATGACCTGGATTTTTAACCTCTTTTATCTTTTTTTCTTTTTTTTTTCTTTTTTAGTGTCTCAAATATTGTTATAGATATTCAAAGCAAAATGATACTAAAGTATTTCAACTTGAGATCGAGACTATTCTTGAAAACAATTCAAGAATATTAAGCCACAGTATTACGGTCAGCACCTTTTTGAGCACTTGCGCTTGTACTTGCATCTAAACAAAAAGCTGACATACACACAAACTATATCAATGAGTCGGCTGTAATAACCAGCACGTATCAAAATTACACTCTACTAAATGCGGTTTGCTATGTCACTGTACTTCTTTATAATATTCATGTCTTGATTATTTAATACATCTTAATGCCTTTCAATTGATCTTCAAGGGCTCCAATATAAAGACTGTTTAAACATATTTGACAAACTATTTCTATAAAGAATAGTGAAGGGTGTATTTCATAACTTATCAATACTTGTTCGCATCTTATCTGAATTCAAGTCATATTTTGCATTTTGAATATAATTGCGCATATACGTAGGCAATAACAAATGGAACAATAAGTATTCACTGATAAACAAATTACAAGAAAGCTTGTAGATAAGAATTATTGTTTCATATGTACGTTCAGATTGAACTCCTTATGTACAGTCCATGGAACTACAATGAAAACATTACTTGTGTATTAAATTCACCATTCTTTTTCTGTCTCTCTTTCAAACACGCACTTCATTCTCATTTCTCATTTCTCTTCTTTTTTTTTAAAAAAAAACTCTTCTCTCTTTTCCTTTCTCTCATTTTAATACATCCTCTTTACAATGTCCATCCTCATTAGTCGAATTCAAAAACATACATTTCAAGACATCGGTATTCTCAAAAACTATTCTGATTTTAATCACTATATACTTTATAGCCAAAAACAACATCTATAGTTAAGCAAGGTTCTCACCACTAAGTTAAAATATACAATTCGTATTTCATTTTTCAGATTTATTCGACTAGATTAATCTCTTCTTATAAACGAGTCCACCTAATTTACAACATGGACATCAATTAAGTAAAAAAAAAGTTTAAAAGCGTGTTTTTTATTAAAGTTGACAATAGCTAAGAAAGACTTTATTTATTTATTTAAAGATATACATAAAGAAGCTATTTTATTCTATTTGATTGAATTTCACTTAATGTTCTTTTACATGAGTAAAAGAATAAAAAGCATGACACCAAGTTCTTTGTCCCCGCATTACGCGGCTCAATCTCCTTCAGGACGTAAACCTGACTTGGTAGCGAAGGAGGTGCTGGAATGGTGGCAAACCAACGGAAAGCACCCGTTCATCCAGCCCCACATCTCGTCACCGAGTAATGTGGGTGCGAACTCGCCAGAGAACTTACCACTAGGTGATAAGGTCCAGCTCATTCGACTACCAGTAGCTTCACCGTCAGCCGTTAAAGAGTTCAGTCAGGTTAGCAGTGAAGAGCCAGCACATCTCACCACAGGTTAGACCTCCCTCCCCCCAGCATCATGATTCCACATTGGCGATGCGATGTACACAGTAGTCCTTCCAAAAATGAAAAGAGACCATGCCCCACGACTTCTCAGAATTAACTGAGCTGGCGAGTAACAACTTTCACTTTCCGATGCTTGTAGCATGGAAGAATCTCCCTGCAACGGTCGCAAGAGACGCCTCACTATGAAACCGGGACTGTTGTTGCTCAAGGAGAAAACAAACGATGCGCGTTGGAGGAGGTCTATATGTAACAGAAATTTTTTTCATCTGCGATTAAAGTTTAGGACTGCGCTTTTTGTCAGGCCTGACGCTCACGTCAGAGCAAACGTGATATAGCTGTATATTATTTTTACTGGGTTTGTGTAACTGTTTTAAGGCAGAATAGACAGTTAATAATATTAAATCAAATTACTACAGAATATGACTTTACAAAGTGAGCTAAAGTAAAGTAAATCAAAGAGGCAAATGAGTAATGAAACGTTTGGTATTGATCGGTGTAGAAATGACTCTCAAAGTGGAGTACAAGTTTCTATAACGGCGATTTGTAAGTTACTCTAAAGTGGTCTGTGCGCTTTTTGTTCAAGGGCACAAGATAAAGCTATTTTTTTATTTTGCTTGTACAGGTAGATATAAAATGGATTCAACAGCTATTAAGAAATAAACCATTATACATTTTAAAACGAAGTTATATAATAAGTAAAATTCAGGAAGGAAAGCAAGAAGTGTATACGTACATAGTAGAGCCTGTGTTTAGAGCCTGAATTGCAAACTTTTGCAATTTTTTGCTTTAAGCCGCGAATTAAATTCCAATGATTGCTTCGCTAATTTCATGGTGGAGGTCATTTAATTTCTAGTAAAAATTCAGTTTATTTTTGCCCCCCTCAAAACAAAATACAAGATAACTCCCAAAAACACAGTTTGTGACTATCCCAATGATATTCACTTAATAAACTTTGAGACTATGTCTCCCTATAAAAAAAAAATACAGGATAACCCGGAGTCTATTATGCATATTTACTTAACAAAACAAGTCTTGGTATATCAAGATTATTAAGGCTCATTTTCCTTACATTTTTCAGTATTGGTGCTCTAATCAACTTATAAGTTCTTACAGCTATGTAAGTTTTCTTTTATTGGATCTTACAAATAATTATTTTTTATAAGTTTTGAGATTATCACAACTCGACACCCTCTCTTTTATATATTTATTCCTTTTTGACAATACTATTTCTCATATAATATACATGGATTGGAACAAAAAACTCAATATAATTCAATTCAATTAAATAAACAATAAATGATTCTTTTAATATGACAAATTAAAAGCAAGAGAATGTATTAGTATTGAATACAGTAGAGCAAAAGAAAGGGTGTAGTAAAAAAGAAAAAAAAAAAGAAACTGTACCTCTAATCGCGCTATACAGACTCATATCTGCCAATTTTTTAACTCATAAAAAATGGTAGCTATGCTATCAAAGTGGTAACATGTTACTACTTCTTTATCCAGAGGGCTTTTTTTTTTAAAAAAAAAAAGCTTTTAGTCTGTAAATACCAACTACATAAATAATATATAATTAAGAATTATAATAGGATTCACTAGATTCACCATCTTGTCCCAGTCAACGTGTTCGCACAAATTGAAGAACATGTATTTTAGAGTCCTGGGAAACTTCATCCTTGATCTATAGTTATATTCCTTTCTCGTTGTACCATAATAAAAGGATTCTTCCTCACACACACCAAATTTCAACGGCGTATCCCTTTCAGCTACAGTGTAAATGATCATATCGGGTTTACAGCCCATTTTTTTCTTTCGATTTGTTCTTGCGCCTCTCTTTCTCTCTTTCTTTCTTTTGTGGCTTGATAAAGGCGACTAGTTGACTTTATAGAATGATTATTTAAGATAATAAGATGGACCATAATACAAAACACATGCTAATTATACCTGATGCAATTGATTCTATCAGGGTTGCCGAACAGTTTAAAGATAATATGAGCCCAAGCGTTACTATTGTGCCATTATTCTTGTTGTTTAATCAGAAGAGGGTCTGGGTTCCTCTCATATAAATGCAACCTCATCTATTACTTAATGTTATTTTTTTTTTGATAATATTAGCTTACATCTATTCGACTATACAACATAGTTTATTGATATGAAACCCTTCTTCAGAAGAATAACTTGAAGTTGATGATGTTGACAATGGCTGAAAATTCAACTTGAGATTAGTTCAAATCCTCAGGAGCTAAAAAATAATTAGTGAATGGTATATTGTTTATTCCAACTAAAATATTAATACCTGTACACATTTTTCTATCGTAATGACGCTGTAGGCTACAAACTGTTTCAAAATAGCTTTGACAAAAGCGCTTAAAATTTGAACTACTCTCTCAAAAATCGTAACAATTTCACCTATAGTTTAAGAATAGTTATTCCAATTAGCTTACAGTAACATTTGGAAATCGAGTTTACCACTTGAGAGTGTAATTTGAGCAGATGGAGAATGATGATTTCTATGATGGGTTTTAGTAAAGCTTGGTTTGTTAAATGATATTGGACAAATTTTGCAAGTAAGCAGTTTATAATAGTATAAGTAATAAAAAAACATGGTGTGGTGAAACGGGTCTTTCTTCCAATATTGTTAGATCGTCTATGCAATTAACATGATCAGAAAAATGAAGACCACCTGGTAGAGCAATGGTCGGTATGGTTTTCTTCTTTAATTACACTTTACATGTGGAGAGTAATAGAATCTGATCAATATTTAAACTATCAAGAAGAACAGCTGTTATATGTTGATTGCCGATTGCCCAGAAAGTCTTTTCCGTAATATCATTGTCATGGTCCAAAGTTTCTTGAAGAGTATTCCTTTCGAGAAAAAAAAAGACCTCCACAACAACCGCATACAGCAGTAGGTCTCTCTTTAACCATATATTCACATTTGCTTAAAATATTGATCCAGGCGTTTGTTTCCACTTCATTATTTTATCTCCGTATTCTTATAACTCTCTCATTGTCTTCAGTTGCTCTATTCTGTCAATTAGGTCTATATTGGTGCATATACTCTGCACGAGAGCTCCGTCCCTCCTCTTATGCCTCCAATGCTTCAGTCTCAACTATTCTTATTTCAGTTATATTTCGGCAATTACGTCGATACCTTCGCATGTATACAGCACGAGAATTATTGATGTTGTCTGCCTCTACTGTCTTCACCACTTCAATTTCTGTAGATTGCTGGTGCCTGAGTCGATACTCTCACATGTATTAAGCCCGAGAGGTTGGATTTCTTTCATCTGTTTCTGTTACATCTACTTTTAGTGCTTATCTACGATTTCGTTGATATTCTCTCATATATCGCCACCTTCATTCAGCTATTTTTTCAGGGATGAGGGTAATTCTAGACATTTATTTTATTTTTAAAAGTAAGAAGTGAAGATAAGAGAAAGAAATAAGCAAGGTCTAATGAGTAAGTCAAGAAAAATATAAGTGCATCACGAGATAAAGTGTTTACATTTTTATTAGTAAAATTGTTACAAAACTTTGCCTGCTTAAAAATGTTACGGATTATTGGATTATTTATTTTTTTATATATACATCTTTGGTCTGGAAAGTGCGTTAGTTTTTCTTTGTGCTGTGTTGAGTTTCACAATACATTAAATTCTTCTACATAATATATATGTATATTTAAAAGAGTCGTCAACTAAAAAGAAGGATGGAAGAAAGAAAGAAGTTTGGTATAAATAAGTTTCATCATTGCCTTTTTTTTTGCTTTTATTTTTAATTTTACTCTTAAAAGGTTGTGTATTTTTATTCTTTCAGTTGGGGGATGAAGGGGGGTTGAAGGGGATTAGAAAACTGTGTTTGTGTCTCTGTGTGTGTGTGCGTGTAAGAGGATGGTGATAATTTATAAGTCTCGAGATTAAGCACCATAGCGTTCATGGAGAGTTGCAGCTACTTCTGGTCCTACTGTAGAAATAACCTGTTGCCAGACCTGACTACCATACATATTTTTGTAACCGGACAAGATCTAATAGACGATTTAATCGACCATTTCAAAGTAAGTACACATTCATTCATTAAAAAATAACCATGAAATACTTACGTTTCCAAACTGTTCGTTCAATGCAGGAGGAACAGTCCGGTAGCTTGCAATAGAGTTGCACAAATCAGGAATACACTAAAAAAACCCCAATTAGCATTAATAGGTGTAACATATGCAAAGTCATATATTTCAAACACACACACACACACGCATATATATCCTTTTTCTTTACTCTATTCTTCATATATATCTATATTACCTTTACAGCTCCTTGAGGGTTTGCTTTGATCATCTCACACAGACCACTGAACGCTGATGCCTTTTCGTCATTATCACGGATAGGACTAAGGGTGGCAAGCCATGGCTGGATAAAGTTCTCAAGTTGAGGAGCAACCATATCTGGGAACACCAAACCCAAACGTCCGATTGTAATAGCCACATTCTCTAACAATGTACGTTGGACCTGGGGGTTCACCATCAATGGGAAAAGGCGATGAAGAAGTGGCTCAACATAGATGCGGAATTCGGCCCCCCATTTTATTGCGATTTCTCCGGCTGCCCAGGTAGCATTATTACAGACCGAGGGATGTTCGGCCTGATGATCAATTTGTGAAAGAAGGTTGGGCATGAACTGAGGAATGGCAGGTCGGATGTGTTCAAAGCACGAAATAGCAAGATCACCAAACAAGGCGTATGCAGACTGACGAACTTCAGGAACCTCATCCTGTATATATGAGCAAAAAAAAATACATATACACATATGTAAATATTAATCCTTGTCTTGTCTTCTGTCTCTTTATTCTTCCTATTTACCTGAACACAAAGTGACAGGAAAGTAATGACAGGTGGGTTTGTGTTGGAAACCAAAGGCTCAGCCTCCGAGTTGAGGGCCTGTACAATGCCTGACAGCAAATCCAAGGCAACAATCATAAAGTCCTGGTCGGGTTCATCCATTCCGGGGTTCTGTGCTGCCAACCGGCATTCTTCCAAAGTCTTGCAGACAAGATGAACACATCGCATATATACGGGCTCTGCAAAAGGCTTAAATGACTTTCCAAGACTTGTAGTGATAGCAGACAAACACTATATATATATATCAAAAATATTGAGAGAAAGAGAGAGAGAGAAATTAGTTTCAGAGTAATAACAATAACAGTTGTAATTCAATTGGTTGATTTTAACGTAATTTAAATCTCTATTTCTTCATCTACATTTACACCTGTCTCTACCTCTGCCTCTGCTTATTTCTCTGTTTATTTCTCTATTTTTATTTCCATTGCCATTGCCATTCTTACCTCCAACAAGGGGAACAGATCAGGGCTATCATCGGGAGTCTCAGACCACTTTTTGATAATTGGGGGCATGATGAGTTCGATGTACTGGGGGTTGTTCAAGGCATCACCAACAACCTCAGCCAGAGTGCCGAGTGTGTCGAATAGAGTTAAAGAGTTTCGGTGCTGGTATTTCATAAATGCTGTCGAGAGAGTGACAAGAATAGGGTGCAAGTAAGGGATCAAGTCAGTGGCAGCTTCCTCTTCAAGGAGAGAGAAAGCAGAACAGGCAGCTTCTTGGACACGCTTATTGTCATCCAAAATACGCTGCAACAGCAGCTGAATAAGAGGTTCGAAAAGGTGCTTGCGAACCTCAACGTTTTGCTTTGCGTGTTGGGCAATCCAGTTAGCATAACGTCCCAGTGCCCAGCATGTAATGGATCGAACAAGAGGCTATTTTGTTATAGGTATAGTTTTTTTCAAGAAGAAATAATAATGTTTGTTAGTAATAGACACATACAAACAAGAAAATAAAAGAATGTTTGCTTACTTTGGAATCGCTCAAGTTTGTGAGAAGATAAGGAACCAATTCAGGAAGATGGGGTGCGATATCAATAATACCACCTAAACACATAATATTACACATAAGCTAATGCACCCACACACACACAAACAAACAATAAACCCTAATTATTTACCTTCTGCAGCAGCACCCAATGCAAGAATACCGCACTCTCTATGAAGCCAGTCGGGACTCTCCAACTCAGTCTTGAGCAAGGGCATCAAAAGACGGATACATTCTCCCTCAAAAGAGTTGCACAAAACATCAAGAGCAGCAGCACTGCACTTTCTTAAGTTCCACTCGCCATACATATCCTCATCGTCACTGAAATCATCGTCGTCGTCATCATCATCATCATCATCATCGTCATCGTCGTTGTCGTCAGCCAACAATCCCTCGCCACGATTCTTCTTCTTATCCGAAGATTCGTCTCTGTCAGCATGATCAGCGCCGGCCACGTTTGCCTTATGGAAACGAGGCTTAATGTCCTGCTCGTCGTCAGCAATATGAGCATCATCCTGGTCACCGCCGAGGGTCATCAAATCGAGTTCAGAGTAGACCATACACTTGAGTAAAACTGGGACAACCATGGGCAGATAAGGTTGAAGATGGTCGCGGAGTTCGTCTTGCTCAGCAAACACAAGCCAGAATTCGCAGGCCTCGAGCGCCAGATCAAGATCTTCGGATTGGGTGCTGAAGAGCATGTAGTTGACCAGATCGGGCAAGTGAGGGAGCAGGACAGTGGGGCAGACTTCGAGGAGAGAAACAAGAGCCTGGCAGACAGCCTTGCGGACCTTAACATCGTCATCAGTAGCTCTGCTGAACAGACCTGCCAAAAACTCGGTCATTCTAGTCATCAAAGGTGCGGATTTCAAGCTGATAAAGTTAGAAGCGGCCTGGATAGCATAACAACGCAAGATTGATTTGGGGTGGTTGAAAAAGCTGATCAGCTTGGGGATCATAAATTCCAAAGGCTGCACACCGCCCAAACTGCCATCCAGATCACGAGCACAATCTTCACAAATCTTCTGGAGTGTGCTAAGAGCACCCTAAAAAATCAAACAAACAAACAAACAGGCGACCAAGCAAACAAAGCACATAAAGATAATAAAGGAAAAGAAAAGAAAAGAATAAGTATAAGAAAAAACCCCTCAAGCTGAATAATCTTGTTCTTCATTGATATATATATATATATATATATATATATATGTGTGTGTGTGTGTGTGTGTGTCTGTATGGATGTATTGATTGTCAAGTATATCCGAACTTACTTCTACAATAGCAGGGTTAGGAGAATCCAACTTCTCCAACAATGCCTGGAGAGCTTGAGGCCAGTTGTGAATTTGACCATGGGTGATAATGGCGACAATGACAATGCCAACAGTGGAACCGATGTCGGGATCACCCACATGCTGTAAACAACAAGACTTGACATAGTCCATAACTGGGGAGGGTATGGCAGCAAAGTAAGAACGGATGTTGTTCTTAAGTGTCAGACCAGCGACAGAACGAATGTACTGATCCTCCTGAGGCATTTGTGTCAAGATGTATGCCAAGTATGAGTTGTAATCAGGTACTTTATTGAAATACTCCAATCTCTACATAGTGAGAAACGTGTATATGTAAATTTCAAGTTTATTCGGGATAAAGCTTCAAGATAAATCGAGAAAGAAAGAGAGAATAATAGTAATAGTAAAAAAAAAGTCTACGCCATCGAGTTTCCTTTCATCCCACCCCTTCTTTTAACTAGACACACCCCTTTAGCCCCTTTTTTATTTTCTTTCTTTTCTTTCTTCTTCTTCTATTTCTTTTCTTCTTCTTTTTTCTTTCTTTGTAATGCCTTACATCTTGTACGTTCTGGGCATCGGTTGGGTTGATTGCTTCACGGAAAAGCTGAACCAGTTCAGAAAGACCTTGGTCTGTAGGTTGCCAGTCACTCATGGTTCGAAAAAATAAGAAAAGCGAGTTTTGTACTGGTAACTTTTTTTTTCCTTCTTCTATCAAATAACAGAAACGATAGGGATATTTTATGTAGGTGTGTTTTGTGCGAGTAGAAGAAGAGGAGAAGGAGGAAGAGGCAATATAAGTAAAAGTGTTTTAGTTCCTTTTTATTTCGTTTCGTTGTGTGCGCTCGATGAAAGTCAATCCTTCAAATGAACTTGTTCCTTTCTTTTAAATAGATTAAGTGCAATAGAATTTATATTATGTATATATAAAATGAAACAGAGTATAAAAAAGTGACATGTCTCTACGTCACCTTCTGAACAAACTTACATTTGAACGGGATCCTGGAAGGAATAGAGGAATTACCAAGTTTGACTGTAAAACTTATTTGTTCGTAGTCCGTTACAAAAAGATGTACCCTTTTGCAATATCACCAACAGTCACTTTTTTTTTTATCATCCAAAAAAAAAATTCAATGCCTTTTCTCATTTTCTGTCTTTTTTTTTCTTTTTTTTTTATGTGTGCGAGTGTGTGTGTGTGCATGTAATAAAAGAGAAAAGCTAGGAGGCTTGTACTGTACTTTACGTCACACTCAAATGCATTTCAAGAAACGCAAACTGTGACCAAATTTATACATTTGTGTAACACTTTACCCTATGCATACATAGTGGATATTTCTATTTGTCTTAAAAATATGAAACAAATATATTTTTCAAATATTGAAACAAATTAAATTTACACACATTAAGAGCCTTTTGGTATTAATTTGCGGCTGCCAATTGATTCTTGTGAAGTTCAAGTCGCATTTTTTTAATAAAAAGACGAACACAAATACAAAGGGTATGTAGAGAAGCAATGGTCATATCAAGAAAAGGAAAGTTTCTTTGGAATATCACAAAGAAGAGAAATAGCTTGTATTTTCCTAGAAATAATAATTTGACATTTAATAATTGGCAAGAATATGTAACAGAGGAGAGGAAACAGAGGATCAGTACTAATTTATCTTCTTCTTCCTGTGGAGTCTAGAAACTGTGGCCAGATATTGGGCCGCTCCGTACACATCTGTTGATATTCTTGTCACCTAGACAAAATCACTAACCCATAAAAAAAAGAAGGCTTAACAGCAAGTTTTGCTCGTGTAAGAACGATTCAAATAATGTAATATGCCCAAGTAACAAATGGGCTTTCCCTAAACGCCGAGTTGTTTTCAAATAGCTTGATCGGAATGATCTCTTTTTCTCTTTCAAGCCACATCAGAACAGTCAAAGATCATTTTTTTTTACCTATTGTTTTTAAAAATATATATATATCTATGTGTGTGTGTGTGTATGTGTGTCTCCCACTAAAGCCAACAATAATTTTGTTCGTAACTGTCAGCTTTTCTTAACTCTCCGACCAGACTTTTGGTATGATACAATTGATCGAATAAATTATGCCGTCCAATCAGAAATAAGTTTTTGCTGCCATGGGAATAGAATATTATCTATTAGCTTTTCCGAGAAAGCTTTTGATCACCTTTTTATTATCATATCTATTGCATTCAATACTATATATTATTAACCATGCCATATTCTGCTCGTACTATGTGTATTTTACTATGTTTTAATCTATAATGACAAGTAGATAACATGCATTGGTATTGTTGTTTTACGCGTGTGGATATTAATATCAGCAAACAAAAACAATGTTGTATTCATTCTCTGGTCAAAAAATAAGAGTATTTTTTTTTTGTTTCAGATTATCTTTTTTTTTATATATTTGCTCCTTTGTTACAGATGAAAGAGGCAGGGGCTTCGAGTCATCAATACCACCAACTTTGTAATTATGTTCGCCACAATGCAATAAAGCAACCTCTTCTGAATTGCTTTTAAAGTATTTTGCTAAGAGGGTAGCCTTACATTAGGCTTTTTTGATTTTCTTTTGAAGATCTCTGGATGAACCTAAAATCCCCCCTTTGACACAGTTTCTCTTTGATCTCTTTTTCTCCCGATCTATTACAGACATGGTGTGCTTTAATTACTTGGTCAAAAATTCGTTTTGCATGCTTAACAGAAGATGAAGTTTTACTCAAATGTTCTTCTTGTTGGTTCTCCATATCTGCGCCCTTTCTAACCATTGTAACTGCACCATATTTAGGGAGGTAATCATCAACTGCTTGCTTCAGATTAGCAACATGAACGGTAAGTATTTCAGGGATGGGAGTATATCTTTGAACTGGCATTTTCAGAGAAAAAAAGACATTGAACTATGACTATAACTCATTTTTATATCTCTGCAGGGCAGTTGAGAAAAAAAAACGTATTTCATAATTTGATGTTAGAAAAATGATTTAAAGACCGTCTTATACACTCCAACATGATAAGGCAGCGTCACCTTGCCCAGAAGTACAGCTCTTTTTTTTTTACCATAATCTCATTTTGTTGCAGGATCCCCTAGTATTTAAAGTTGAATGATAAACCTGGCATCTTGCTCAAGTTCCAAGAATATGGTGCTAGCTATAATACTATCCCTATATGACGTGATAAAGAAAAACCCCCGTTGGAAGATTCAGCGATTTGACTACTCATATCTTAAAAGCCGGATTTGGACCCAATCGAACATGTTTGGCATGCTCTAAAAGTCAAAATTCAAAAGAAAGAGAATTCTGTCAACAATTTCCAAAGATTCGAAGGAACATATCCTTCAGGAAGGGAGTAAGCTTAACTCAAAAAGTCTTTATACTGTTGTAGCAGGTATGCATAATAGAGTTGCGTCCAAGCGACAATCAAACCTCGTTGTGGCCACACCATATATTACTTTCTTCTTCCTCTTCTTCTAATTCATAATATATATATATATATAAGAAAACAAAATCTTTAGCTTATTTATCTGCTGTTTTTCTTTCCAGATATATACAGCAAAGAAGTTGGTTTCTAATAGTTTATTTGGAATTAAAAATAAAGAAATCTGACAGTGATTTCGCTGACAGGAGTGTATGAAGTCTTGTACACACACACACAGACATACATGCTGTTTCCTTTGACTTTAAAAACCTGAGTATACATATTTTTAAGCTGTAAGCGCTGATAGTACTTTGGAAAGACTTTACAAAATATCAGAATTGGAATCAAATAATATTTTAGATGCAAGATTAAGCCGGGCTACAAAAGTCCAAGGGGTATGAAGAATCAACTCATTTGTTTTATTTGATACCAGCTTTTTATGTTTCATGTTTATGTAAATATTGAAAAGAAGATCATTCGGAAGCGAAGGGACAAACGCCACCAAGAAGCAAAATACAAACTTCTTGAAAACATTTTAAATATTGGTACTAATACCCATTTTTTTCTTGTTTTTTTTCATAAATAAGAACCTCCCCATGCCAACCACCTCCTCATCTTTGGCAAAAATAACCTTCTCAACAACAATTACAACATTAAAAGAGTTTTTTGAATCGTATAAATACAAAAGACCAAAAACAGACAAAAGAATCTTCTGATAAGCTTGGGCCTTTTGACGAAAATGATAATTCATAGCCTTTCGTGAAACGGTTCTTGGATTGACCGATATCAACTAAGGTATATATCTGATTAGAAAAGTGGTCCAATGGAAGTATGTAACGGTTAACCAGATATAATTTAGTCACAGAAAAGTGTGCCCGATCAAATCAAGCGATGTTTATTTGTTACATACAGGCTCTGGTTCAGACAAGTTATATATATATTATTGTCTCTTCTCCTGTCTTGTTAAGGTTATAATGTATCTGTATCGATTCCCACTATTTCAGTACTATCTCGTCTTGTCTTGTTATCACAGTCTCTAATTGATTATTGTTTAAACCTTCTAAATTATATACTATCTTGTCTCTTGTGTCTGTCTATGCGACCCTTAGACAAAGAAGATAGAGACACAGGAATAGAAAAAGGTAAAATTAGTATAGAGGGTAGGAAGACGAACTACCCTATAGAAAAAAGGGGCAATTTTAGTGAGATTGTTGCAAGTTTTCCGGGTAAAGTATGTTTTATACGAATTTTAATTAAGTACCAATTTCTTTCTCTTTTATATATATCTCACTTTTTACGCCACCGTGTTTTTGCAGTCAATGCAAAATATCTTTTTTCCCAACTTCTTCAACCCATTACAAGAATTAAAGACGATAAAATTATTCAAATCTAATGGCTTACCATTCGATAACAAACCCCCCTTCTGAATCCGGGTTACATCGTATTTCATAACACTGACTAGAAAGATCCCAAGAAATCTTATAAGCAGTTCTTAAGGGTGATATTCAATTACAATTATTTTGGGTTTTCAAAAGTAGGAATAAGACATAGCAATGTAAACACAGAAGGAGTGTATACTCTGTGGTAAAAAAGATCAATTAAGGAATATGCATGCCTTCATCAATATTATAGTATTTAGAAAATTGTGGTTTTTTTTCTTAGATAAGAAAAGATAGAAAGAAGCACATAACTATCTATATATGTATATTATATAGCAAATTTATAGCTTAAAATCTTACTAAATAGCATATAAAATAGTACTTCTTCTTTGCATACTTCTTTATATTCAACTTCTATTATTCTGATCAATAAAGACGCAAAAAGTTATTTCTGATCGAACGGCATTTTAGCTGTAATTAAATGACATTTTGTTCGGCCCGGACGATATAATTTATTGGATCAACTGTAGGCAAAGACAAAAGCATCAAGTAAAATTACTCCGAATTTGGTCGGTTGATTTGTAAAGACCTGCTGTTTTTCATTTTCATTTTCATTTTGTGATGGGTATTAGCCAGACAATATATTTCGGGAATACTACAGATATATAAGATGTCATAAAGACAGCTATTAATCTCGCAGAGCCCTTTCTTTTTATATTGTTTGTATAAATAAAACTTTACTATGGCTACAAACATTCAATTAAACTATAGCATATTCTGACAGGTACTGACACATAAGTTTGTATAACTGTAATGGAGTGTATCAAGAGAGAGATATATTACAAATTGGTGTAAATCAATTACTACAACAATAGGACTTCTTTTCTTTTATATATAAATAAAATTTGTAATTTATGATGTACTGATATGATGTGTGATCGATTAGATTCAGAGCGCAAACACTAGGGTTTTTCCCACATATTTTATGTTATTTCATCTTATTATAAAACCAAGATATTTTGCTATATAAAATAAAAAATAATAATGTAAAGCATAAAAAATAACTTGTTATCATTTTTTTTTACTAACGAACAAACATTCGATATGCGCCTAATATTACTCCTATTGGCCGTACATAACCATATATAGAAAACATAATCGTATAGAAACTAAATGCATATCAACCAAGCTTTATTGGCTATGTTGTAGGTTAATTCAAACTACTTTACATACAATAATGACAAGAATAATAATAATAAAAACCCTAAGGCTGCTTTGTCACGATCATTATTATTATCTATTGTAGTTAAGCTCTCAAAAAGAAAAAAAAATCTATAGGAATAATCCCTCAATTATAAATCACAAATCTCTTATTTTTCGTGGTTTATTTCAGCACCCTCTTTCTTTCTCTTTTCTTTATTATAATTGTTGCAAAGTATGAAATTTGCTGAGCAATTAGCAAGAGAAGCCTTTCCTCCTTGGAGAACACATTACATCAAATATGGTCTCTTAAAAGCAGAACTCAAAAACCGTCAAGCAGATCATGAATGGAACGAAGAGGACGAGAAGTATTTCACCCGAATGCTCGAACAAGAGCTTGACAATGTCTACAACACAGTGGTCATCAAACTAGAAGACATCAATTCACGTATTAAATATTGCGATGCGACCATACAAACCCTCAAGAACAGTCAGAGTTGGTCATCCGACGAAAGCTGGGAATCAACAGAGACAATCTTAACCGAAACCCTTTTTGATCTCAACGACCTTGCAAAGTTCATCAGGCTCAACTACACTGGATTCAGAAAAATCATCAAGAAACACGATAGATGGGCAACGATCAAACTAGCAAACGGGTTTGTACCCCAACTTCGAGACAAACCGCTCGACACACAACAACTGGATGTGCCGATTGTCTACATATCCAATCTCAAAGACATTTGTAATCGCCGCGGAAAACCACATGCAGGAAACGCAGCGGCCGGAGGTGACCAGCTTAACTTTGAGCGTGCGACTTCAAAATACTGGATCCATCCTGACAATATCAATGAAGTCAAGTCGATTATTATGATGCACTTACCAGTTTTGATTTTTGATTCCGAAAAGAAATTTGAGCCCGATGATTCAGCTATCTCGAGCATATACTTTGATTCACCTGAGTTTGATCTTTATACTGATAGACTGCAGAGAGACGATAATGGCGAAGCTATTCGGTTCAGGTGGTATGGCCCCACATCTTCAAAGAGCGTCTTTGTCGAAAGAAAGACACATCACGCATCTTGGCTAAACGGAAAATCCATCAAGGATCGGTTTCGTCTAGACACAGATGATGTCCAAAGGTTTGTCAAAGGAGAGCTGACAGCAGAAACTATCGTCAGGCGGCTGGAGGCAAAAGGAGACATGGACAAAGTGACACTTGACAATATATATTTTATTGCAGAGGGTATCCAAGAGTCTATCAAAAACAAAAATCTTGCTCCCGTGTGCCGAGTATTCTACAACCGCACAGCCTTTCAGATTCCCGGTGACCAACGTGTCCGGATCAGTTTAGACACTAACCTGACTTTTATTCGCGAAGACAATCTCGACGGAATGCAGCGTCGTGGACAAGACGAGTGGAGAAGATCTGATATTGGGATCAACTATCCGTTCAACGGTATTCCAAAATCAGACATTGCTGAATTCCCCCACGGAGTTCTGGAGACTAAGCTACAAACCCATTTGAACCAGCAACCTCCCGAGTGGCTAACAAAGCTGTTGGAGTCTCATCTTGTACACGAAGTCACCAGGTTCTCAAAATATCTTCACGGTGTTGCATACCTCTTTCCTGAAAGCATTCCACTAGTACCATGGTGGTTGGCCGAGTTAGAACAAGATATTCGTAAGCCACGTTCGACAAATTTTGGTCTGAGTCGTTCACCATCCTTCCGCCCGATGATTAACGGTGAATACGGTATTGCCTGGGAAGCAGAGCAGAACCGCATGAAAGCCACCTCAAGTATGATCAATAATCATTTATCCCAACGGGTTACCAACTCCCTCGGGGAACAAGTAAATATGGTTGGTCTTAAGAATAATGAGAAACCCAGTAACGATACTCTCAAAGTGCCCACAGACACGAACAGCAATCCAATACAAAATGCACACAACCCAGGGGTCGATCTGGTAAGCCCACCAGCCACATTACACTCAGTTCTTCAAGAAGAGGTCACATTCCCACAGCAGTACGAAATACTTGAGCGAGAACCTATCGAGATTGTCGAGACAGGAGATGCTCCCTTTGTCTACGGTAATTCAACAGACGTTGGGTACAACGTCAGCGAAAAAATTTCAAGGAATCAGGTTGCTCCACTCAATCCAGGTATACAGCTGGGTGAAAAGATTGACAAAAAGGTTGTCATTCAAGATGAAAATTGTCGACTGGATATTCCAGATTCCAACGGTAATACCAGAAAACGCTCTCGTTTTTCGACTTTCCTCGCAAAAAGATGGGGAGCAGATACTCTTGACACGATGGTTGTGGATGGAAGTGGTAGAGTCAAGACCAAGAAGATCAAAATCGAACCTAAGGTCTATTTTGCCAATGAACGTACGTTTATCAGTTGGCTTCAATTTGCTGCCCTTCTACTTGCTGTTGCGCTGAGTCTACTCAACTTTGGTGATCCAAGAACATCATATGCCGGTGCTGTATTTATTGGAATTGCTGTGTGCGTGTGCTTTTATGCTCTTTATCGATTTGAAAAGCGTGCATGGTGAGTAGTGTATTTTCAGAAACTTGTTCTCTTTTTTTCTTTTGATATTAATCCAACTGTTGTAATAGGATGCTTAACAACAATGTCAAGGGACGATATGACGATATGATAGGTCCTGCTGTACTCTGCGTATTCCTTGTTGGTGCTCTTGTTGTCAATTTGTATCTTCGATTCACAACTCCTAAAAAGACATAGCCTTACCATACTATACTACTCTATAATCCACTATTTATACTTCATACACATATATTAAAATCAATAATAAACCCACAATACATGAATATTTCTTTTTTATTATTATTATTTATGTATATAAATATATATAAGAAAAATGCCAAATTTAATGTTATATTTCATTACGGGATGGATTAAATATATCAGAAAACAGAGTGATATGATCTGTGAGCTCACAAAGATTGTGTACGCATCGGAACGGAACCATCAGATCTATATAGAGACACATGTTGGCCAATATATAGTCCTTTGGGGTCAGGTACCCAACAAGGTAATAGAGATCAAGGATTAAATAAGTACATAGTACACATGATATCAAGAGTGGCCAGACTATCTCGCCAAAATCCAGTTCAAGCAGTTGATGTAGCCACAAAGAGCTGGTATATATAATAACCCAACACAGTAAACTAATACAAATCATATACCCATAAATAAGTTTGAACCAAATATATATATATATAATTAAACGACTATACTTGCATCGGGGATACGCCAGTGAACGCAAAGCGAGCCTGTAAGCTATACAATAGTAGGCACACGAGACCTGTGCTAGCTAACAGGATCACCAGTACACCTTGGTTGCTGAATAGCTTACATACTACTTACACGATAGCCATTATAGAGGGGTTTTTTTTTATTCCTGTCAAACATTCTATTCAATCAGCATAAAAGGGGGAACTGTCTACTAGACTTACTCAGTACAGACAGGATAAATGTGGTCAGTATTGAAGCAACCACAAGAAAAACAGCCTGACTTGTTCGAGACATCTGAAAATAGTTTCCCCACAGCCACCACATGCCAAAAATCTGGAATATACAAACCGGTAGCAATAGAAGTAACCAGCCATATTTACTATAAATATTCAAGCAATGTACTTGATTTAGTTACCATTAAATGCCAAATAAAATAAAAAGGCTGTTATTTAATGCAAGTGTCCGATTTACCTTGCTTCTAGCCAACCAGTGAAAAATGAAAGATAAGATAAAAAGACAGATAAAAGTCCTAGTGCAACCAACTGAACAAGAGCGATACCATAAACCTTTCTGACGAATTCTACAAATAAATATACCAATAATAAAAATAAAAATAAAATTTAATGAGGAATCATTGGGAATGAACACTTACTCATTTGTGATGCCAAAGTGCATTGCGACACGGTTGATCCCAAAATAGTCTGGTCTTCACCAGAACCCCTTCGTACAAACAGACTGCTGGAAGACATTGCGCCATAATAATATGTACGTGAAACAGGAAGTGCCATAACACTGTATCGACGTATGGCTCTCATGGATAGCAAATAAAGAAGAAGAAGAAAAATAACTCTATCACAAATATATTAAAAAATAAAGGAAATTGGAGGGGGGTGGGAGGGGGATATGTAGATAGATATTTTTAAGAAATAAAAAAAGCTAATATAGATATATATCTACAAACCAAGGTTGTTGATATTGATAGACATGCATGATGTCACGAGTAAGCCCTTTGCTCTTTTCCTTAATCATTCAACTTCACTTTCGAGATAAAGAATGTATTTACTTTTTTAATGTGTATCTGTTTTCATTTCATATGGCCCTTTAGATTATTAAACCCGCTCGAGGGATAGTCGAGATGGTTAGGCATGGTATCAGTATTTCCTGCAAAAGAATCGTACAAAACATTCAACAGACAGCGAGGATGGTCCCCGGGATGATCAGCACTAAGCTCCCACACCATGGCACCTCCTAATTGTCGTTGTTTGATGTAATCGCATTTGGCTTGGGTAATATAAGGCGAGTCGTAAGTAATAAGCTCCCGTTTTTCAGGACAATAGCACCAAGACGCAAGTATCTCCATGTCGTGGTGTTCTGTGTGGCCTGGTGGTGGCAGGTGCTTGTAGTCATACATTCCCTTCTCCCAAGATCCTTCTGGCAGACCATCATAACGCGTATTGGGACCGTTTGTATTTAAGAACCCACGGCCATACGCCGGCATTCCCATTACAATCTTGTGAGGTGGTACGCCTCCTGAAATATAACCTTCTATCGCCTGGTGAACATTCAATGCACCACCATACATTGCCGACTGGTGGCCTGCATTTGTATCCCAGGACCCGGCAAAATCATAAGCCTAAAAGGAAAGAATATAATGCCAAGCGTTAAAATTACTTTCTCCCTCTTATTTTATTTTTGTATTTTGATAGAGTAGCTCTTAATAATATACTTGCCATCAAATAAAATATATCAACATAGGGCGCCATTTGTTGAAGACGTAACAGCTTGTATTTACTTGGACCGCAAGGTACAGCTACAGATAATATGAGACGCGGCTGATTCGTTTGACCGAGACTTTGCTGGTACATATCCAATGCAATACGAAGTTCGTACAACAGGTGCACGTAGTGAAATGCATCCTTGTCGTCCTTTGGGAATTCCCAATCAATGTCTAAATGCTCGAATTAATCATGAGCTAAAGACTTTTTTAAAAAATAAAAACCAATATAGCAAGATTACCAATGCCATCAAGACCAAGATTAGCAAGGTGACGGATTGCTGTCTTTACAAAAACGGCTCGTTTCGCAGGATCGGCTGCGACGACAGAAAAATTCGTTGACCAGGTCCAGCCACCAATACTCAGTGATACCTTGAGGTGACGATACTTTTGCTTAAGCAAATAAAACTGTTTAAAGTTTCCATAAAGGTTGGCATCGCCTTCGTTCCAACTGTCGGCTTTACCATTAATAGTTTGCTCTAATAAAATAAAAAATATAATACACACACAAATTAAGTAACCAAAAACTAAGCCCAAAAAGAAGGGGAGGGGTAGTAATCGAGCTATATATATATATTCAGCTTATAATTTTACCTGGTGGAAAATGCTTGTCTTTGTCAGCCCAGACATCCTATGAATTGTATTTTGGTATTAAATAAACGTGTAGATTTATCCGGCTCTTTTCTTAAAGAGAAAGGGGTCGGTTTGATATATTGATTGATTAAGAGTTATTTACGCCAAGAATAACTGTTCCATCCTCTTGGAAATTGGCAAACGCGTAAAGCACATGGGTGAGCTTTTGAGCACTGACTGCTAGGTCACACACATTGAAGTTTCGGGCGTATATTGCCCTATTTATATTTTATATTTTGCGAATACAAAGAACAATTACTATGACAATCAAAAATCTTGCTTTCTTGGTCAAGGCGCAGTAGCAAGAGGAGGGGCGAGAGGACATACCAGTTGGGGAAGTAGCCAGCAATGACTAGACCATTCGTTACAGGAGGAGGTTCCATGAATTATAATGAAATTTAAAGAAAGGAAAAAAATTAAGCGGAAGGAAGAGCGGAATAGAAAAAGCAATGAAAGAGTTCAAGTTTTGAATTGATTGTCCCAGTTTTCTTTATTTTATTTTTTTATACTATTTTTTATTTAAAATAAAGGGCAGTCTGAAATGAAGTAAATAAGAGATAGACACAGAAAGAGATAGAGAAATAGAGAGAGATAGATAGAGGCGGAAAAGATAAATAGCTATAGAAACTATACAATCTTGTTGGAATTTTTATAGAGTTCTTTACAATGGTAATGAAGATAATCGATGTTTGTGGTTTATGATATATATTTAATCGACTTCCTCCATCTTGGAGGTCTCGATGGTCTCGAGAGCAGGGACTTCAGAGTTGCTCTGGGTAGGGAGCTCCTCCTCATCGATGCTGAGACCGAGGGAAACCATGCGGTGAATGCGGTTGGCGAATGAGCTGGGCTCATCAAGGGAGAAACCGGAGGTCAACAAAGAGGTCTCGTAGAGGAGAGTGGTCAAATCCTTGACGGAACGGTCGTTGCTGTCAGCAGCAATCTTGGTGGCGAGGCTCTTGATGATGGCATGCTCAGGGTTCAACTCAAAGGTCTTCTTGGAAGCCATGTAAGAGGACATGGAAGAGTCACGGAGAGCCTGGGCCTTCATGATACGCTCCATGTTGGCAGACCAGCCGAACTGACCAGTGGTGAGGACACAGGGAGAGTCAGTCAACTTGTTGGAGATGACGACCTTCTCGACCTTCTCGCCAAGGATCTCCTTGACAGCCTTGCAGAGACCCTCGAACTTCTTCTCCTCCTCTTCACGGGCCTTCTTCTCCTCCTCATCCTCTTCGATCTCAACACCTTCCTTGGTGATGCAGACGAGGGTCTTGCCATCGTACTCCTTCAATTGCTATTTTTTTTAAAGAAAAACAATTAGGGTTAATTTCTTTATTCTGTTTTACACATTCTTATTTTGTTTTAGTGTTTGCAAAATTGCTTTGCTTTGCTTACCTGAGTGCTGTACTCATCAATGGGGTCGGTCATCAACAAGACTTCGACGTTCTTCTTCTTGAAACCTTCGAGGAAAGGAGAGTTCTCAATGGCAGCGCGGGACTCGCCAGTGATGTAGTAGATGTTCTTCTGCTTCTCGGGCATACGGGTAACGTAGTCCTTGAGGGAGGTCAACTCCTCACCAGACTTGGTAGAGGAGTAACGGAGGAGCTCGGCGATCTTACCGCGGTTCTGGGTGTCCTCGTGGATACCCAACTTGAGGTTCTTGGAGAAGGACTCGTAGAACTTGTCAAAGTTCTCCTTGTCCTCGGCGATCTCAGCGAACATCTCGAGACACTTCTTGACGAGGTTCTTACGGATGACCTTGAGGATCTTGTTCTGCTGGAGCATCTCACGGGAGATGTTGAGGGGGAGATCCTCAGAGTCAACAACACCCTTGACGAAGTTGAGCCACTCGGGGATGAGGTCCTCACAGTCGTCCATGATGAAGACACGACGGACGTAGAGCTTGATGTTGTTACGCTTCTTCTTGGTCTCGAACATGTCAAAGGGAGCACGCTTGGGGATGAAGAGGATGGCACGGAACTCGAGCTGACCTTCGACAGAGAAGTGCTTGACGGCAAGATGGTCTTCCCAGTCGTTGGTGAGGGCCTTGTAGAACTGAGAGTACTCATCAGCCTTGACATCCTCGGGGTTGCGGGTCCAGAGGGGCTTGGTCTTGTTGAGCTCCTCGGTCTCGGTGGACTTCTCCTTGATGGTCTTCTTCTTCTTGTCCTTCTTGTCATCCTCATCTTCGATTTCCTCAATCTTGGGCTTCTCGCCTTCCTTGACCTCCTCTTCATCATCGGAGACCTCCTTCTCGACTTCCTTCTCGACGACGAGCTGGATGGGGTAGGAGATGAACTCGGAGTGCTTCTTGACGATGTCCTTAATCTTCTTCTCCTCGAGGTATTCGAGCTGGTCCTCCTTCATGAAGAGGCGCATCTCAGTACCGCGACCAATGGAGGGGTTGACCTCATCACGGGTGATGGTGAAGGAACCACCGGCAGCAGACTCCCAGATGTACTGCTCATCATCGTTGTGCTTGGTGATGACCTGGACCTTGTCGGCAACAAGGTAGGCAGAGTAGAAACCGACGCCGAACTGACCAATCATGGAAATGTCAGCACCGGAAGAGAGAGCCTCCATGAAAGCCTTGGTACCAGACTTGGCAATAGTACCGAGGTTGTTGACGAGATCAGCCTTGGTCATACCGATACCGGAATCACGGATGGAGAGAATGTTGTTCTCTCTGTCGGGGGTGATACGGACGAAGAGCTCCTTCTCGGAGTCCAAGAGGGATGAGTCGGTCAAAGACTGGTAACGGATCTTGTCGATAGCATCGGAAGAGTTGGAGATCAACTCACGCAAGAAAATTTCCTAGAAGCGAATGGTATGTAAGTACTTGATATTCATATACATTGTACATCTTTTACTGTCATTTATCCCGTATTCTTTCTTTTTTTAAAAAAAAAAAAGGGGGGGTGGGAAGGTATGACGCGTCTAGTTGTCGGACGGGATGATTATCTTACCTTGTTAGAGTAGAAGGTGTTGATGATCAAGCTCATCAACTGAGAGATCTCAGCCTGGAAAGAAAAGGTCTCGGTTTCGACAGTCATCTTTGGAATATGGAAGAAAAGGATGAAGAAAAGCGCGTAGATGTCAAGGGGAAGGGTTGCTTTTATTCTCAAGAAAATAGACAAAATCTAACATAAACTCAGACGCCACTCAGAAGACAGGAACCTATTTAATTTCCAGTCACAATCTTTCTCGCACGTTCGACACCATGCCCGTGGTTCAACAGCGGTTGCCTTTTTAAGAATCGCTGACCCATATTGTTCCCGCAGCAGCAGCACCGGGGTCGACTGCAGAATCGGCGGGGGCAATAGTATTCTGGCAACCACCAGACGGTTCCAGTAGACCTTCCACAAAGATCTCTCGTACAAAGCAGTCCAAGACCTCTGGGATTGTCAAACTGTAGTCACGCCAGAAACTGGCTCCAGGCTTAGTTCCATGACGACCAACAGCATGCAGGACAAAGTCAGGTGATCTACGAGTGTGACTAGAAACAAAGGGCGTTAATTAGTATCATTGTTTTTGTTATTTTGTTATTATTAATAATACTAGTTGATAAGGGCAAGAATAAGAATAGCAAAGCCTTTTTATCTATATATGTATATGTGTGTTCATTCTTTCTTTCATTCTTTCTTTCTTCCTTTCGTTAAAAACATTTACCCAAAAATTTGACCCAGTCCGTATTTGTGCTTTTCGATCAGATCTAATACATTCTGATCTCTGACAACTAATACAGAATCTGCTTCATACGCTCTGTGTTCACCAAAATACATGACAATCTTGCGTTCAAACTGCATAGTCTTTGCTTCTCCTGAATCATTATTAATTGGAGAGATTGCTTCATTCTTGATAATCTCGACACGACTTGGTACATTATAGTAGGCTGATAATATACGCTGAAGGTTTCCATTGGCCTGCAAAAGCATACGCTCAATAGGTGTGAATGCGTCTGGCAACCTTAGAAACACATTTTTGGATGATACTATTGTATATCAAAGCAAAATCATAGTAATGATAATGATAGATAATAAATAATATTAATAATGAATATTCATAACAAAAGAAATCAAATTAAATCAAATTAAATCAAATATTTCAAAAGAAAACCCAAAATATATATATATGTATATCATCAATTAGAGCCGTGGGAAATGTTTCTTTTATCACTTTGATTTTGTATATGTATATCTTGCTAGAGTTTGTTAGTTGTATTGGGGTTATATTTACGTTCTTCAGTGAATAGAAATGGGATTCTCTTGTACAGTTCAGTTCCAACAATATCTGGTAAACAGCGTGCCATTATAACTTGCTCCTGTTTTTGGATTATATAAAAAAAGAATTGAAGACAAATGTAAAGAAGATAAAAAGGAATTGAATACTTGAATACTTGTATTATTATGTATATATATATGTATCTATATATATATATATATAAACACACACACACACACACACACACACACAAACAGTGCTTCACGTTTAAGAATACAAAAATAGGAGGTAAAAAATAAAATAAAAAAAAATTGGTACCCCCAATAAAAAAATAATCTGTAAGTCCAATAAATTTTATGGATGATCAATAAAATCAACAAGACAATACAAAAAAAAACCACAGTACCAATTAGCGGCTTTATATTTTGGTGCGGTGTTACAAATTCCCACTGCCTGGAGTTTAATATTCAAGTTTGCGTTTTTATTTTATTCTCAGTTTGCGGGTTTGCAGGATCCCAATTCGCGAATTATTTATTTATATAAAAAGTTTTCTTTTTCAAGCGATTTGCGTATTATTTAATTTTCTTGCGTGTCGTTTTTTTTTACAGAACTTCCACTGTCAATGTGAGGATTTTACAAGTAAAAGTGTAAACAATTTAAGAGCATCTCAAGTAGTCCCTTTTTTCTCCACTTTTATCTAAAATTTAAAATTCTGGTTAAAAGTGCTATCCCTAGTAGTTTGATTTGTTTTATTTTACGAGCAAAATATAGTACTTTTTTTTCTTATATCTTTTTGCTAAAGTTGTCAGATTTAAAATTGGTTGATGAAAATGCTCTCAAAAATTATTTTTAAAGAAAAAGAAATTGAACTTCTGGGAAACGTAACCTTTTCTTTAGCTAAAGTTGCTGTATTTGGCTTTAGATAAATTTTTAAAAAAAAAGTTAACTCGCTGCTGAAGATGTTCTTTGATACGTGATTTATTTAAATTACATCTCGACAACATAAAACAACATCACTTTCCCATAAATACATCTCTTTATTGACCACATCTTATTTTATTGTCTCCCTTACAGAACTTTTTCTTACAACAGCCACTTTCATTTCCAGGATATACAAAGAGCCAAAAAGAAATCATGAACATGACACCATGTTTATATTTTAAGATGATGATGATAGCTGTCATACTGGGTTTCTTACATAACATGTTTTGAACCCCCCTAAAGGAATCAGATACTTTGACTGGTGACTATCCCAAAGCTCAATAGATATATGGGTTAATAGACATTTTCTAAGATATTAGGGCTCGTATTGATTTCACCTTATGGTAAATTTTCCTTTTTATTTTTTATTCCACAATATGTATGTATGGCAGCACAAGTAGTTCATCTTATTCAGTTAAGTTCTTTAGAGAATATATCATAAAAAAGTTGACAAGTAGCTTTATTCGTGACTAATAGAAATCAAAAATCTGGCAGTGATTTCTCTGGTGAAAATGTATTCTTCTGAAGAAGGGTTTTATATCGATAAACTATGCTGTATAGTCGAATAGATGTAAGCTAATATTATCAAATAAAAATAAAAGTAACATTAAGTAATAGATGAGGTTGCATTTATATGAGAGAAACCCAGACCCTCTTCTGATTAAACAACAAGAACAATGGCACAATAGTAACCCTTGGGCTCATATTATCTATAAACTGTTCGACAACCCTGATAGAATCAATTGCATCAGGTATAATTAGCATGTATTTTGTATTATGGTCCATATTATTATCTTAAATAATCATTCTATAAAGTCAACTGGTCGCCTTTATCAAGCCACAAAAGAAAGAAAGAGAGAAAGAGAGGCGCAAGAACAAATCGAAAGAAAAAAATGGGCTGTAAACCCGATATGATCATTTACACTGTAGCTGAAGGGGATACGCCGTTGAAATTTGGTGTGTGTGAGGAAGAATTCTTTTATTATGGTACAACGAGAAAGGAATATAACTAAGGATCAAGGATGAAGTTTCTTAAGACTCTAAAATACATGTTCTTCAATTTGTGCGAACACGTTGACTGGGACAAGAATAAAACAAAAGAAATTGAGGTTGTTGGATATGTACAAAGTGGTAAGCATTTTATTATTTTGTTAAAGACAGTTCTCATTACCCTAACTGATCGACTTATACTGCAAATAATAGCAAAATTAGCCAAGTACTAACGATTTCATTTCTTTTTAGACAGTGAAAAATATCTGTGAAATTGTTTCTTACAAATCCGCGAATTGAACTTTGAACAATCATTGCGCGCATTTTTAAACGTCCGGAACGCAAATAAAAAACACAGCGCAAAAATAAATAAATTAAAGCCGTAAATTGGTACCGTGATGGGGTTTTTTTTTTAATATTGTTATTGATTTTACTGATCATCCATAAATCTTATTTTTACCTCCTAATTTCTGTATCTTTCAAACGTGAAACACTGTATCTGTGTAGATGCCTATAGACGTATATTTTTAAAGAAACCATTATTATTATTTTTAAGAAAGAAATATGTGTATATGATATTTATATTTACGGATAAACAAGTATATAATATAATCTTGGAAATAGGGCGGCACATTAAATTACGCCAAAACAAGGCACCGAAGTTGTATATTTATATTTATATTAAATATATACATATATGATAAACATCTTCACCCTTGCACATACATGTATATGTACGAGTACACGTACACATACACGCCCACACGGACGGGAAATTACACAAGAACTTAAAGATATATGCAGGAGTCATTGACTAATTGAGACAACTCATAGGAATAATGAGTAGAAGAAGATAACAGTAAAGTTCCTTGTCAATTCTATACACCAGTCACTTTTTGGAAATTAATGAGGTTCTTGAAGTAGTTGATTTTAAATAAGATTTAATTAAATGTTTGTTACAAAATCAAAGCAAATGACTGACCATTTAAGTCATAGCCATTGCCTTTATTCTTTATTTTAATTATTTTTGAAACAAGTCTCACACTTGAGTACATTACTATATCTGTTTCAATATCACATATGCTCCTCTTTCTCCCTCCCTTTCTCCTTCTGCTCTTATATATAAGAAAAACAAACAAACAAACAAACCATACACATATAATCTAGTTAAAGGGAATACATACAGTTGGGTATATTAGATAAGAAGGAACAAGAGAGATAATCCTTGTCAGAAATATCCTGCTTTAAGATATACTGTGTATCTTTAGGGCTATCACATGAAATTGACTCATTCACGTAGAATGGTAAGGTCCCGCTATACAACGATCTATTTATCCCAGTATCAGCTTCGTTCTGTAAGGACTCCCAGTCAGGAGAAGATGATGGAGAAAACCCGAGTGTTGTTGTATAAGGGACATCTTCGACGCTTAATCCTAAGTCATAGCCCAAAGAGTACATTGTCGAAAGGGGATGAGAGATCTGAAAGGCTGGATAGTATAGTATTTGGGTGCTGGTATTAAGGCCAACTGATCCAGGAAACATTGATTTCTCGTGACCTGTGATATCCGTATTTTCGGAAACGGGCTGCCAGTAGGTGGGACATGCTGGACATGAGGAGTCTTGGAGTATTATACCAGTGAGATTGTAAGAGAATTCGTCATACATATGCCCGCAATGCTCTTCTTCCTTTACAAGACCAGTACCATCAGCTTGCTTTTGACGTCTTGAGCGAGGAGAGTATTTATACTGTGGGTACCTAAAGACAAATAAATATATAAGCAAGTAAGTATGAGTTAGTAACAATAATGATTACAGGTATTTATAGCCTTAAACAAACAAACAAACAAAAAAAACGAAACACATTGATACATACATACGTAAACAAATAAACAAATAAACAGAAAAGATAAAGGTCAAGGTAAAGATAGAGATAGACTACAAATACTTTTTTATGGAAATTGTGTATTCAGAACTTACTGTTCAGAGTGCTGCTGTTTGCCTCGATCGGCCAAGGTGCGATAGAATTCTTTTTCGGAAGAAGGGGCTTCATGCCACCACTTGGCTATTATTTTGGATATATCTCGATGATTCGCGCCTGGACAATAAGTTGAGATTTCTTTTTGTTTCTCACAACGATAGACCAAGAAACAGTTCATAGGGCGAGGAACATGATTAGGATTTCGTCGACGGACTCTGGTACGTTTGGCGTGACTACTAGGCCGGGTCAACAAGGCCAGATCAGCAATGTCCTGGAGCTTTGATGGGCCGAGAGAAGCAGGAGGAGTAACCGGGGATTCTTGAGACTTTTGTTTGACTTGTTTGTTTTGTTTGCTTTGATTGGAAATATTACCAGCCATTAAAAAGATGATAATAAATGAGTGTATATGTTCGTAAATGAGCGTAATTGAGCGTAATTGAGGAAGGATAAAGAAGGAGAGGAGAAAGGGAGTGAATGAAAGGAAGGGAAGGGAAGGGAAGGGAAGACCGACTGAATGAACAGGGAAAGAAAGAGAAAAGGAATGTATATTGTGAAAAGTAAAATGCGCTTTTTCTTTTCTTTTGCTTTTAAGGCCTTGAAAACAATCAGACAGGAAGTGAACGCCATTGAGTATAAAGAGTATTTATTATTATTATTCTTTCTCACCAAACAGACAAGTCTTTGTGCTTAGATTTGCTTTATTAAATGTAATTTTATATGAACAAAGCATTATATAAATATATATAGGGAAAAACGATAAAAAAAAGATATAAAAAGAATTCATGTAAGTTTATGGACGTACTTGTTTGACACCCTTCCTATGATGATTAAAATTCCCCTGGAATTGAGCTCACTGCCATACATAAATTCATATATAAATTCATACATATATGCATAAACACACACGCTCGAGCATATACATGGATATATAGATACGCATTCAAACATCCTTTGTCTTATTGAGCAGTGCGCGCTTCAAAATAATTTGATTTCAAATTTTACAAGGAAAAGCCCATGCGCACATAATAAACGTACATAAAGAAACGTGGCAAAATGAATATATGTATTCTGCATCTACACTAATCTCACTCTACAAAATAAAATTAAAATCTATTTTAAATATAAGAGGAAAAAAAAAGGACATGGATCTTCACTAAACCCATTGACCATTGTCCTTCCTCAACCCCCAGATATACACGCACAATCTAATTATCACCATCACCATCACAATCATCATTGTTATTATTATTATCATTATTTTTAATTATTAATAGTAAAAATTATTTTTAAATTTATACTTCTTATTTATTATCAATGAAAGTAAAAGAAGAAGAAAGAAGGAAGAAAGAAAGAAAAGAATGACCACTGTAGTTCATTAAATCCTAAATTTAGGCCTTGACAGCGTACTTGCGCATGGGGAAGTGAGCCTGCTTCTTCTGGTACTTGACAGTCTTGAGGCTACGCTCATAGGGAGTCAAGGCTCTGCGGAGAGCACGGGTCTTCTTGACACGGAGATCGATGGGGATCAACTTCTTCTTCTGGTAGAAGAGACGGAGCTGATCACGCTGGGTCTGGTTGATGACAGTCAAGGTACGGGCAACGTTCTTGCGAGCCTCACCGATGGCCTGGAGCTTGGAGGCAGAGCCACCAGCAACCTTCTGGACACGGAGAGAAGCAAGTTCCTGCTTCTTCTCATCGAGAACCTTCAAGAGCTCGGCCTTGTTCTTGTTGCGGAGTTCGTGAGCTTTGACGGCAGCCTAAAGACAATAACAGCAAAGTTTAATAACATGATCATCAAAGCCAAATCGCATCTCAGTTGGTCGATTCAGAGAAAGCAAGTAGTGGTGAAGGGATAATATGCGCTGAGAGGAAAGATCTATTTTGTATTTTTTTGTAGTCGTCCAAAAATGTCTTGTTGGTTACATCGTAATTGTGTCGGTAATGGTGGTGATGGTGATTGTGAAGTATGTGATTGTGTATTTTTTTAGGCATTGATGACCCAAAAGAATTGCATTTCGTAGTCGATCATTTGTTCATCCACATGGTTCCGTCCATCCATCGTACGTGCTGCGTCTAATATCGAATGGATTGCTTACCATTGAGACAGATAGTTACAGCAAGAGTAAGAGAAAGAAGCCGTTGGTGAGCATGTCCAGCCTACTTTTGTTCCCCGGGCCGGACCACACATCTGCCAGCACGTAAAGAGGTCCGGCATGTGCGCTTTGGCAATAATTGGACAATATTAAGGTACCGCCGTTTTCATTCTTTGTACCAAAAAAAATAACTAAAAAATTGAACAAGTCTTTCTTGTAAAGTGGAGTATGAGCAAATGCAGTTTAATAAACAAGACTTTATTTTTAAAAGAATAATAAAAGGCGTAAATCTTTTTATATTTTTACTGCCACACCTAATATTAGTTATATGTAAAACAACGAATAATTGGTGTGTGGTAGTAGTGTTCAATGTAATCAATCCTTAAGGAACAACTTGACCTTTTACTGTCGGAGAAGGGGGTTCTAGTGACTGTCACTTCCTTTTCGATCGGGAAGGGAGCTCCCATCAAATTGGCCTTGGTGCCCAGAAGCCTAGAGTTCCTCCTCTTTGACAATCCTAATTGCGAAATGGTATGGTATAGGCAAATGCATCTCCTCATATAATGTGAGAGATACATAAAGAGAAAAGGAATTATACAGCAAGTACACAAATACTCATTAATTTGTTCAATTATTATTATCTATCCATACATCTATCCACACATCCATCCATCCGATCATACACATCTATACACACACACACAAACACAACACATATCTATTTATATATCCATCCATCCATGGACCAAATTATTGTATGACACTTATATATTCGACAACAACGTTCAATCATATTAGGCCAAGCGCACTAAGAAGGTTGGAATCACCGGAAAGTACGGTACCCGTTATGGTGCCTCCCTCAGAAAGCAGGTGAAGAAGATGGAAATCACCCAGCACGCCAAGTACACCTGTACTTTCTGCGGTAAGGACGCCGTCAAGCGTACTGCCGTTGGTATCTGGAAGTGCAAGGGCTGCAAGAAGACCATGGCCGGTGGTGCCTACACCGTCTCGTAAGTTTTTTTAAAAGAATATATATAAGGGGGACTTTCTAGTTAGTCACGATAACCCTTTATTTTTACTGCCAAGCAATATGTGTCTCACATTTTATTTATTTATTACAGGACCACTGCTGCTGCCACTGTCCGCTCCACTGTCCGTCGTCTCCGCGAGTTGGCCGAGATCTAAGCACCTTAATGCTTTTCTCTTTGTCTGCCAATCGCTTATGTGTTTCTTTTTTTTTGATTCCTTTATTGGAAACAATAAGTAAAAAATAATAAAAAAGCACATAAAAAACTTAAACACGTTCATACATATATGCATATGTAAAATACATACACTCTTTTGTCTGTTACTTTCTTTTCTAGTACATATTTATTTAATTGTTTGGGGTTGATATAAAATTTTGAGATATATGATTATGTTTTATTGAAAGTTATGTGCGTCGTCGTCGCTAAATGCATATACCAACGAACTAAATTCGTGATCTGAAACCGGGATCGGTGATTCGAGTTTGTTCTCCTTGTTTATACGTTCCTGATATTTGGCCATCAGTACCTGAGCAGTTATTGGATGTCCAGCACGTTCACTCATGTCAACTGCACTTTTGAGAAAGTATGTTGATGTAGAGTCAGTAATCAGTATCTTGCACAGGTCAGTAAAACCATGATTAGCAGCGTACAGTAACGGAAGATTGGTGGTATGTGTTGGGTCCTGGTCACTGTAACATGGATTGGCGCCCTTCCGGAGTAAATATCGCACGATATCTGTCTTTCTGTGCTGCACTGCCAATAGCAGTGGTGTTTCCTCGGCCAGGTTGATTACATTGACCTGGCATCCTCGTCCAACAAGATCTTGGACAGCGTCGAAGCGATTCCAATAAACAGCATGATGTAACACGGTTGCAAATCTTGTCCGCTGATCTATATTGGCTCCTAGTTCAAGTAGGCGTCTAACCAACATATTGTGGCCCAGGCTGATGGCCAGTGCCAGGGGAGAAAGTCCGCGTTTGTTGGGATGGTCAACGTTGACTAGAGGAGATGATACCAGGAGCTCAAGAGCTTCAGGGAATTGGTTTGTGATGGCAAAATGCAAAGGTGTATTTCCGTTATGGTCTTGTTGTGTAACGGATGCCCCGGCTTGCATCAGCAGCTCTAAGCATCGAAGAGACTTTGTGAATAGACTGTTGGTAAGTGCAGTGTGGCCAAATAAATCCTCGAGGTCCAGTACAGATCCATGTTCGATCAATAGCTCGACTGCATCTGTGAGGCTCAGATTTACAGCGCAATGAAGCGGGAGTTCTTGATGAGGACCATGAGGTTCATTCACGCGAATAGAAGGCTGTAGTAATAAAAGTCGAATGGCTTCCATGTTTTCATTCTTGATTGCCAAATACAAGAGACCGTAGTTCTCGGGATTGCGTCCATTGAGGTCTGGCTCTGATCGAATATATTGATAAAGAGTTTTGATGTCAAGATGGGTCAATGTAATTGCTTCCCAGATTAGTGCATTTGAATGTGCAAGATGTGGCTTTTTGTTTGTGCCCTGAAGAGAGGTATCGCTGTTGCTTGTTGCAGATCGTTTGATTCCGGTTAGTAAGTCCATTGATTAAGCTCTGGTATCTGTTAGTTCATCGATGTTTATCATCTCCGCACAACAAAGGAAGAGTCACTCAAAGGTTATACATACAAATTAATTAAAAAGAAAAGGTAAAGGGAAAGGGAAATGAAGAGGGTATTTTTTGTTCATAGTTTTTTTTAAAAGAAAAATAGCACAAATTTCATATTAATTTATTTATGAAGTAGATTTAATAGAAGACATGACATGACATTAAGGAATAAAATATAATAAAGCACTTTTGTAAGGCTCACTTTTAAGACTTTAATTTATATTTTCTTGCAGAAAATAATACAATGAGTACATCAAGTTCCCTTCATATATAGGTCACCTAAGAAATAAAAAGACTTTTTCAAAATGTTAGGGGCAACAAGAAGCTATACAGTCAAAAACCTTAGTTTCAGTGTAAATCAGGTGGCTTAATGCAATACCTTGTGACTAACTCTATTGACTCATGAATGAATTTCACAAAAAGAATCTGCTTGTATAAAACTTTGCTTGTAATTAAGAAAAAAATATGCACCTTCTTTCTCAATTATCTAAGCTTTTACTATACAAAAGTGTCCTCCATTAAATTCATGTATGAAGACGGCCAAGGAAAGAGCGTTAATGAAGACGGTTCTCAAGCTTTGAGTCATATAATTGATGGGGATTGTCGTGGTCTTGAGACAATACCAACCTCTTCACAGTTTTTTTGTCTTATGTTACACTTCGTTTAAAGTTATAATTTGAAAAAAAAAGCCTACAATTTCTTTATAAAGGAATATTTTTGGTTTTTCCAAAATCCATAGTCGCTAGTATTTAAGATTGTTTCAATTTTATTTTATTTTTTCACCCTTAAGAGCATCTCCAACAGTCAGCTAGCTTTTATCTTTCGTAAAACCAAACACCACCAAGTTAGCAAAGAAAAAAGCTACTTCACCTAACAGTTCCAATTATCTTTTTTTTTTTAAATAAATTTTGAGAGCGTTTTCAGTTAAACTTTTAAATCCCTGTCAAATTTAGCAAAGAGATAAAATTTAGGACCGTAAATTTTTCGTAAAATAAAGTAAATTTAGCTGTTGGGAGTACCACTCTTACAAGTCAAGTATGTATTTCTTGTAAGAAGAGAAACGTTGATAATAAAGTAGCAAGATGTCCGAAGCGAAGAGTACATTCAGTATTGCAGTGCAATGAAAACGCTTGCACTATTATTTGGAATCGCGGTGTGATGGCTGCAAAGAACAATGACGCTCGAGTTGAATAGCGTCTATAGCCGGGTTACTAGCTAGAAAGGGTTATATTCCCAATTAGATGCGTGATAACGAGGGCCAATAAACTACTGTTAAGAGGAAACGTTCTCAAGACAATAAATGTACACTCAGTATTTTATATTTTCCCTATTGAAGATATCAACTCTATCTTTCTCTATCTCTATAACTAACCCTTAATTCTGTTATAAATTTCTACTATTTTCTGCACCAGAATCCCCAAACATTTGATATCTATCAATCATTCTCTTGAAAAATCATCTTGATACTTTCAACCACTGGTATAACCTCATTTCAATAAAACCCAACCTTGAATTCAAAATCCCGCCACCTACTGTGTTGAGATCAAGATAACATACATATATACTTTTTGCTTTATTTTTTGCTTTTTACTTGCTGTTTAATATTGCTTTAGAATATACATAGAAATATTTTTGGGCGGCTGTTGGGTACCTTTTGTGCCCACTTGTATGGGTAAAAGAAGAAAACTTTTTCTTGCACCTTTGAACAAAAACGCACAGACCAGCTTAGAGTAACCTACAAATCGCCGTTATAGAAACTTGTACTCCACTTTGAGAGTCATTTCTACACCGATCAATACCAAACGTTTCATTACTCATTTGCCTCTTTGATTTACTTTACTTTAGCTCACTTTGTAAAGTCATATTCTGTAGTAATTTGATTTAATATTATTAACTGTCTATTCTGCCTTAAAACAGTTACACAAACCCAGTAAAAATAATATACAGCTATATCACGTTTGCTCTGACGTGAGCGTCAGGCCTGACAAAAAGCGCAGTCCTAAACTTTAATCGCAGATGAAAAAAATTTCTGTTACATATAGACCTCCTCCAACGCGCATCGTTTGTTTTCTCCTTGAGCAACAACAGTCCCGGTTTCATAGTGAGGCGTCTCTTGCGACCGTTGCAGGGAGATTCTTCCATGCTACAAGCATCGGAAAGTGAAAGTTGTTACTCGCCAGCTCAGTTAATTCTGAGAAGTCGTGGGGCATGGTCTCTTTTCATTTTTGGAAAGACTACTGTGTACATCGCATCGCCAATGTGGAATCATGATGCTGGGGGGAGGGAGGTCTAATCTGTGGTGAGATGTGCTGGCTCTTCACTGCTAACCTGACTGAACTCTTTAACGGCTGACGGTGAAGCTACTGGTAGTCGAATGAGCTGGACCTTATCACCTAGTGGTAAGTTCTCTGGTGAGTTCGCACCCACATTACTCGGTGACGAGATGTGGGGCTGGATGAACGGGTGCTTTCCGTTGGTTTGCCACCATTCCAGCACCTCCTTCGCTACCAAGTCAGGTTTACGTCCTGAAGGAGATTGAGCCGCGTAATGCGGGGACAAAGAACTTGGTGTCATGCTTTTTATTCTTTTACTCATGTAAAAGAACATTAAGTGAAATTAAATCAAATAGAATAGTTTCTTTATGTATATATATGTATACCTTTAAATAAATAAATAAAGTCTTTTTAACTATTATCGGCTCTAATAAAAAAAACACGCTTTTAAACTTTTTTTTTACTTGATTGAAGATGTCAATGTTGTAATTAGGAGAGCTCATTTACAAGAAGAAATTAGTCTAATTGAATAAATCTGAAAAGAAACAAAATACTATTTATATATTTTAATGTAGTATTGATGGCCGTGTTTAAATATAGATGCTATTCTTTGTCTGAAAAGTATATAAATTGCAGAATAATGTTTGATGATGCCGATTCCGTGAATTGTATAGTATTAAATTTGGCTAGTGCGGATGGAGATTGTAAAGAGGATGTATTGGAATGAGAGAAAATTCAAGAAAAATGAATAGAAATGAGAGATGGGAAAGAATATAGCCATGTGTTTGAAAGAGAGACAGAAAAAACGTGATGAAGAATGAATACACAGTAAGATCCTCATTGTATTTACACAGATTGTTTACAAGAAGTTTAATATGGACCTCTCTATAAAACAATGGCCATTATCTACAAGCATTTTTTATATTCTAGCTAATCTAATGGTACAATTATTTGTATGTTACTGTCTTTGTGTCTTTCTCGGGTACAAGTGCTCGAAAGACGCTATTGTTTTATCGTTTCAATATCGTCAATTTTTCTTTAAGCTACCACCAAAATCTATTTATTTTTCACTTAACCTTTGAAGAGATTGCAGAAAATATTTCCTGTCCAGAAAAAGACAGAATGTTAATTTAGTTTGATAGAGAACACTCTTGTATATCTTGTCATATTCGAGCGACTTAAAGTTATTTTAAAAAGTGCTTCAATCTTTTTAAAAAGCATCTCATTTCGATAATACTTACTGCAAATCGCATTGTAAGTAGTCAATTGACTGAATTACAATATATAATCTTACACAATTTCTTAGCATATCGTCCCTATCAATTGGCACATTTGAAAGCACCAAGCAAGTAAGCCTCGCATATCTATCTCTTTGTGGGTTGGAAGATAGTAAGCACCATTACCCCATTCCGAGTCCTAACTGTGAAGGCATCACTACAAAAAATCAGCTTGGGGGAGTGCCACAGTTCTTTGAATCTGTACAAGGTCTGGTTTTTAAAGACCATACAATTTCCACACACACCTACACACCTACACACCTGCACACTCAGAAGATACATCTTTCTTCCCGAGTTAGCACGCAAGCCATCTCTCGACCTTAATGGATGAATTAAAGAAGCTATTTCTGTTAATGTCCCTTTATTGTTGCTCGGCCTTAATACTACTTCTTACTATATAACGGAAATGACAAGGTAAAATTGTAAGCTCATTTATCGCTACGATGGTGCTTATATTACTGTAAGTCTTTCCATCCTCCGCTCCTCTTGGACAAATACCAAAAGTCAAGGCAGCCGTCAATATTTAATCTACCCACTTCGTCTCTTTTCCTATACTAAGCAATCCAAAGCCAATTAATTTATGTCAAGAAATAACAGTGCTTAATTTGATTGGTCTTCTATATTGATAGTGAAAAACTGGTCTGTACCTCACAACGAATACCATAGACGCATTAAAGATGCAATAACGGGATGTCTACTTCGCAAACATGGATTTAATGCTTGTTTGTTTGATGAATTTAGTACTTCCAGGCACTGTCCTTCATGCTCTCAGTCTTCCCTTTGAACCTTCAAGTAAGTCGAAAACTAGTCCATATCGCCACACTTAAACGCCAACTATAGCATGCCATAGTCTTCCAAGGCAAATGGTACAACCAGTCATCATTTTTTACTATTATTAATACTTTCTATAAATCCATACATATTTACCAAATCAAAATTGTTTCGAGAACATGGCTTCATTACAGTTTGTGCATAATTTGTGGAATAGAAATCTTGCTGCTGTACTGAACTCCTAGCATATACTTAACCGATTTAAACATAGTTATGTCCCAAATAGATTTACATGTGCCATTAAAATGGTAATTTCTAGAAGACAAGCAGAAGAAGATCTTCAGGAGGGTCGTCGTTTGAGACAAAGACTGACAAGAACTCAAAGAAGATAAAATATTCCATCCTGGTTTCCGCCTAGGATACACCCAAGATACCGTTGGTAAGCCATTATATTTGAATGATTGTATCGTCTTTAATTCTTGTACCGTGTTGAAGAAGTTGGGAAAAAGATGTTTTGCATCGACTGCAAAAACATGGTGGCGTAGAAAGTGGGATATATATAAAAGAGAGAGAAATTGGTGCTTTTAAAATTCAACTATAAGACACTTTAAACCCCGGCAAACTCGCAACAATTCACCAAAATCGCTTTTTTCTATAGGGTAACCTACTTGTGCGCCTTAAATTTTTGAATTGTGAGCCTTGTATAGTGTGTTTCAATGTGTATTTATAGAAATGATCCTGTTGCTATACCAACAAACAAGGTTTTTTTTCTTTCTTCTTTATTTTTTTGCTTGGTGTTTCTTGAGTCATAAACGTCAAATTGGTCTATTAGTAATACTCATTACCTTGAGGTAAATCAGTAGAGTAGAGTAGAGCTTGTGTATTTCATATTCATTTTACAAACCCCCTCTCCAAAATACTCAAATGTTGTAGTAAACCTTGCTCCTATCTCTTATCCAAGAAGATTACTATTTTTATTATTTACTATCGGTAGGAAATATTCCTTCCTTTTTTAATAAATTCCCTCTCTCTCTCTGTCGAATTATCTCTTCAAGAGCCCGCTCACGCAAAAAGTCCTGTACATATATATCTGTGTTGCACCCCCCTCTTTTCTTTACTTTCTCCATTTATTTCCATGATTGCCACAACAGATATATATATATATATAAGCCTTGTAAATCAGGTGACCGTGGGTTAATTAGTCCATTGGTGCTTCTTTCCTGGGAGGCATCGAGTACTCGAACAAAGTAGACCAAACACTTTGTGATTGAATTTAAACAAGTGAACCTTTTTCTATCTCTCTTTACCTCTCTTTCCTTTTCTTCTATTTTTCTTTCTTTCTTTCTTCTTTTTTATATATTTATCTATCTGTATTCTCTGCTTGTAGCTCTCTTTAATTTTTAAGTAAAGAAAAGAAACGTTAAGAATGTTGCGCATCCAAAGGCTTACCAGGTCATCCAATTCTGTATTGAGCACTCGTCGACTTTATCATGACAAGGGCGTGTTTGGCTACCGAGTTCCAAAAGAGTACAAAATGCCAGATTACACCGAGAGTGAGCTCGCTAGTCGCAAAGATGGTGGCAGTTTACTGCGTATGGTTCAGGCCTACAGAACTCATGGACATCGGGGTGCTCATCTGGATCCCTTGGATATAATGCAACGCGAGTGAGTAAATTTCACGTAGCCTAAAAATAAAATAAATCGAGAAGAGTAAAAATTTCTCACGGTCTACCCACATCTTTCTCACCCTCTTTTTACTTTAATTAATTATATATACCTTATTTCTCATTTCTTTTTTTTTTAAAAAGAGCTGTACTTGCTTTGAAACCGGAACGGTATGGTATTACAGACACCAAGCAAGTTCACCCCTTGGCTGGTATACTCCATGTGACAGAATCCAAGCAAGATCCCTCGGCGAAACAAGAAGCAGACACCGAGACCATTATCAACCACCTGAATTCAGTGTACTGTGGAAATATTGCCTATGAGTTTATGCATTCTCCTGTAAGTAATTCACATTCTTTTTTATTAAACACCCACACACACATAAGTATGTGAGCTCAGTTGACATATTGTAGTCTGCAAGTGAGAGACGTTGGTGGTATCATGCACTTGAATCTTGGAATAAGCCTCAATTGACAGAAGACCAGAAGAAGCGAATTCATCAGCTTTTGACCAAGTCCGAGGTAAACCCTCTATTATTATTTTTATCAATACTTTAATGTTTCTTTATGCCAAAGGGCAGTTTTTATCTAATATGTTTTTCTTATTTTTTATTTGTTTTTTATTTTTGGTTTTTAGACATTTGACCATTTCTTGGCTAAGAAATTTCCTAATGTGAAACGCTATGGACTTGAGGGTGGTGAAAGTATGATGGTAGCTCTCGATCGACTTTTCTCGTTATCTGCAAAAGGTACCATTCTTTCTTTTAATTATATAAATATTATGGTATATTGTTACTGTTCTTTTTTAACAATTTTCATTAGCTGGTGTTGAGGATGTGGTGATAGGAATGCCCCATCGTGGTCGTCTCAACTTATTGTGCGATTTGCTGGAATACCCACAAGCTGCCTTGTTCAGCAAGATGAAAGGAAATTCAGAATTGCCCAAGGGAACCTTTGGATCAGGGGATGTGATATCTCATTTAGGTGAAGCTCAACTATCATTTCTACTTTTTATTTTATTTTTGTTCTTAAGAGCTAAGAAGAAATTGACCAACTAATTGTACATATGTATGGATTGTAGTTAACAATCCTGACTTGACATATGATGGAAAACCTCTTCATGTGTCTCTGCTTCACAACCCTTCTCATCTTGAAGCTATCAATCCGGTAGCAATGGGAAAGGCCCGTGCAAAGCAAACCGATCTCTTGTCCAAAGCAGACGATTCATGTAATCTCGGTGATCGAGTTATGTGCGTTCAGATTCACGGAGATGCAGTAAGTAATATAGATGTATATATATAGAAAAAAAATTATAGGAAATATATATATATATATTTTAAAAAAAAAAAAACATCTATTTTATGTCTCAAGGCATTCTCTGGACAAGGAATCGTAACTGAGTCTCTCTGTCTTTCCAACCTGCCCCATTACTCTTCCGGAGGGTCGATCCACATTGTAGTCAATAACCAGCTAGGGTATACTACACCTGCTCAGAACGCTCGTTCTTCAGCATATTGCTCAGATATTGGAAAAATGATCAATGTTCCGGTAGTACATGTTAATGGTGATCACCCTGAAGATGTTGCACGTGCTATGGATGTTGTGTTTGAATACAGAAACAAGTTTAGAAAGGTAAGATAGAGAAATATAAAGAGAAAAAGAGAGTTATACTGTGGGTGTGTATTGGATGAATATTTGTGATTAGAGAGCTTAATACCCAGCAAAAGAAAATATCTCTATCTCTTACACTTCCACTTACACCCTCACACACTCTTTCTTTTTAGGACATTATTCTTGACTTAATGTGCTATCGCCGTTGGGGTCATAATGAACTTGATGAGCCAGGATTTACGCAGCCAAACATGTACAACACTATCCGTCACCGTACATCTGTTCCCAAGCTGTATGAGCAAAAACTTCTCGATGAAAAGACATTTGGGTCCGCGGCCGAAGCTGAATCGGTCAGAAGCGCCCAGATCGAAGCTCTCGAGAGCAGTCTCAAGGCCTCTGAGACATATGTTCCCGACGATTCTGCTCACCTCCAGGGTAACTGGAAGTCAATGACTCACCCGACCACAGGTAGCCAGGCCGCGGTCGATACTGGTGTAGATTCTGCTCTTCTATCTGCAATCGGGCGCCAGTCTGTCACTCCACCTAGCTCTGTAAAAGTGCACCAGCGCCTCAAGAAATACCATATTGATGCCCGTCTCAAGAAGATCGACCAAGGAAAAGGTCTTGACTGGGCTACTGCCGAAGCAATGGCCTTTGGCTCACTCCTCAAGGAAGGCTACGGAGTCCGCATCTCTGGTCAGGATGTAGGAAGAGGTACGTTCTCTCAGCGCCACGCCATGTTTGTCTGTCAAGACACCGAATCTGCAGTCATTCCTTTAAATGAAATGGAAGCTGGACAAGGGCTCCTAGAGGTAAGCAAAGACTATGGTTTATTGAAAGAAATTAATAAGAGAGAGAGATAGAGAGAAAGATAGGTTGGGAGTAAGGGGGGAAGGAAGGGAGAAATAGGGGGGGGGAAGGAAGTAGTTGGTTTCTCTGTAGGAATCCGAATATATAATAAAGTTATTTATATATATATATACTAGGTTGCAAATAGCCCACTGTCTGAATTTGCTGTGATGGGATTTGAGTATGGAATGTCTATCGAATCTCCAAAGAACCTGGTTATTTGGGAAGCTCAATTTGGTGACTTTTTCAACGGTGCTCAGATTATTCTGGATACATTTATCTCAAGTGGTGAAGAAAAATGGCTCCGACAGAGTGGCATGGTTTTATTATTGCCTCATGGCCAAGATGGAGCTGGACCTGAGCATTCGTCAAGCAGAATTGAACGGTTCTTGCAGGTAAAGAAGAAAAAGTAAACTTCAATGTGGATAAGATATACATTAAAAGCATCCTCCAATATAATTACTTTTATTTATTGTCTTGGCAGATGAGCAATGCTCCTTTTAATGTAGACGAAACCTACCACTCTCCTCCAAACTGGCATGTAGTAAATTGTACCACACCTGGTCAATATTTCCACGTTCTGAGACGCCAGGTAATAATAGTTACTATTGTTATTATTGACAGAGGGACTGTGCATATACGCACACACAACACACACACATACGGATAAAGTATATGCATATTTACATGCAATTATTTGGTATTATTTAGATGGCCCGTAAATTCAGAAAGCCTTTGGTAGTAATTTCACCAAAAAGTCTTTTGAAATCTCCGGTAAGAAAACACACAAACACAAAAACATGCAGATACATGTGTACATAGACTGTTCTTTTCTTCTTTTATTATTTGTTCCAAATAACTTGAATTAATCTAGATTATTATTAATGAGTCTGCGCAGCATTTATTCATTTATTCATTTATACATTTATATATTTTAATTTAACTTAATAACTACTTCTTATGTATAATGCTTATATATATATATATACACATACATACATATATTACTTTATTGATTGACTGCTTTATATTTTAGCTTGCTGTTAGTTCATTTGAAGATATGGCACCTGGTACCTCATTTAAACCTGTTCTTGAAGATCCAACTACAAACAACCCAGATATGGTCGAAAAGGTTGTGTTTGTGTCCGGAAAACTATATTATGATCTTGCAAAGGAGAAATCCGAACGAGGTCTTGATGAGCGTGTAGCTCTGGTTCGCATTGAGGTAAGATATAGATATATTATTCTGTATAATGATATTTTCTTTAAAATAAACACATAAACACATAAAGCACATCAATGCGCACTGCACTTTATGCATAAACAACAACAAAGATAAACGACAATAGGATCTAAATATTTATTTGTTATATATATATATATATAAAACAAGGAATTGTGCCCGTTTCCAAGGGACCAAATCAAACAAGAGATTGAAAAGTATGAGCACGCGGGAGAGTTTGTGTGGTGTCAAGAAGAACCTCAGAATGCTGGTGCCTATTCATTTATGGCTCCTCGTTTGGCACAGTTGTTACCTCAAAAGATGGTAAGAATATTGTATATACACACATATATATAAATAATATGCACATTAATCTTTATTAATATATGTATGTATCTTGTTATTGTTTGCAAACAAAAAAAAAGATTGGATACGTTGGACGTAGCCCACTTTCTGCACCAGCAATTGCCAATGGACCTTTGTTCCGTAAACAACAGACTCAATTGATTCAGGAAGCCATTGATATCTAGAGAAAGAGAGAAAGAGACATAGACCTGACCACCCCTTAAATCAATAAAAACAAAAACAGCAGCAATTGGTAGACTATTTTATTCTTACGGTTATTTCTCATTAGTATAGCTAATACAAGCTGCATTCTTAATAAGGAGATATAAAGCACAACAAATGGTAATTTGCTTTAGACTCTTTTTTTTTTAAGAAAAGTCCAAAGTAATAATAATAATAATAATAATAATAATAATAATAATAATAAAAGGATTATCAGCCATTATACTCTTTTATTTATCTTTTTAGTTCTTTCTACATACATAAATAAATACATACATATTTATGTATAAAAGAAAGAATAAAGCTCCTTATTTGCCAATTCATATGGTTAAACAACAGGAACATAAGATATGTGAATTCTTAAAAAAAAAGAAGCGGGCATGCTTAAAATAATGAAGAAATGTTGAAGAAAATATTTTGATTATATTAAGTACAAATTTTGTAATATACATATGTATATATAGATGTTTGCAGTGCAGTGTAGTGTAGTGTAGTGTAGTGTAGTGTAATTTGAATGGGTAGGTGCGTTTGTATGCGTGATTGTGCGTTTACTAGTGTAATTGTATGTATTTGGGAAGTATTGAGGGGATAAAGGGGAGGGGAGGGGGAAGGAAGGGGGTTTCTCTCTCTCACATACACACACACTCTCATTCACTTAAAATAATAATAATAATAATAATAATAATAATGATAACAATAATAATAATAACCTCTATCTTATTTCTTATTTTTCATCAGCAATTCAGAAACAGGCTTATCTGCTTCAGCATGCTTGTAGATGTACCCGACCATGCGCAGAGCCTCTGCACGCTTGTATCTTGTCCGACTGTCAACAGACTTTGTTTTGGATACAGACAGATAGAATTAAGGAATATATGAGTTGGAAAAAAGCCTCTTGGGTGCTAACTTATATTTTATATTGTTCACATACCTTGTCTTGTAATACGGTCTCACATACTTGACGTAAAGTAGCTTCAACTTCAAATTTAGATGTTTGCCAAAGTGCTTTGTATGCCTGTAACACACGAAGTTAGTTGTACACCCAACACACACACACACACACACAATTGGGTTTTTTATGCTTTTTTTCTTTTTCTCTATTTAGTTTCTATGGTGATTGTGATTGTAATTGCAATTAAAAATAGAAATAAAGCCAAGTGTGGAATTTCTTGTCCCCCTTATTCACTACTACTTGCTACTAAAGGCTAAATGATAATGATAATGATAATGATAATAGAAATGCGCTACGCTAACAACAACAACAACAACTAATAATAATAATAATAATAATAATAATAATAATAATAATTTTCACTTACTCTATTACTGGCTTCTTCTTCCAATTTGAGTTTGTCGGCTTGATCCATTCCCTTTTCTTCTGCCTCTGCTACCATTTCTGCCACAGCTTGCATGTCCATGGCACTTTTGACAGTAGACCACAGTTCCTTTACGAAATGCTTCTTTTGCTTTATACTCTGAAAAATTCCGGGTAATTCACCTCCACGCATTCCCAGGTATTGTTTGGCTTTGCTCGAATAAACTCCGCCAATTGAGTGCAACAGCTCAAGACCATAACTCTCGCTCTTCAGTTTCTCGGCCTCGACCTTGATCTGTTCTTGAAACGCAACTGCCGCGGTCTCGTCTCCTTCGCTTTCGGTATAGAGCGAGAGTTTGTGAATCAGCTTCTCGGATAAAGTCCTGACTCTTTCCTGCTGTTGCTTGTGAAGTTTCTCCATTTGTTCTTTGGACATTCCCATCTGTTTCTTAGACTCTGGTCCTGACGCACTGACATCACCACTGTTACCGGATTGAGGTGATGCCACCGATGATCCTGCTGCTGGGTCCGCAGACTCGTTGCCTTGCTTCATCCCTTCACTAAACATATCACCGACTGCCAGATCTCCAATGATGTTTCTAAAAGCATCGCCACCAAACATCTGCTGGAAGTATTCGCGAGGATCTGCGAACCCACCATCAGGAGCCAACTCGCTGTCTTTGCCATATTTGTTGTAATGTGCTCTCAGCTGAGGATCAGACAGGACTTGATAGGCTTCCGAAATGGCTTTGAACTAATTGACACAATTTACATACAGTGTTTTGTGTTTATTTTCCCGGGAAATATTTATTTATTTATTTATTAGTTTTTTTTTCTCAATTGATAAAGATGTAAACAGATACAAAGATACTATCTGTATATGTATAATTGGTCTCCATTCTAGGCTCACTCTTTCTCTTTATTTAAAGGTTCTCGGTATTTACCTTTTCCTCGGCTCCTTCTTCACGATTTTTATCAGGATGATAAACCTATTTAAAAAAAACCCGAATGCACAAAAAGGCACAAGTATATAGGAAAAATAAAAATAAACTTCATAGGTACTTTCTTTCTTCTTTTTACTATTTAACTATCCAATACTAAAGAAAAATGATGTAATTCCATACAATAGCAAGTTTTCTACAAAATTAATGTTTATAATATTGATAGATAGATATATGTATATATTTAGCCATTGGAAGTATCGTAATGTTGCTCTTTCTTACCTGTAGGCTTTCTTGATCTGAAGCTTGTCGGCATTGACTGGAATGCCGAGAAGTTCATAGTAGGTGAGATCAATAGGATTCTCGTCTGTTCCAAGTCTTGCCATAATGAGATGTAATTTACAATAAAGAAGAAAGTAGAAAGTGGAAAGAGATAAAGAAGGAAATAGAGAGAGAGAGAGAGAAAAGTAAGGAAAAATAATCAAAAATGATAATATGCTTGGCAAGGCTAAAATTGGATGACCGAATTCACAAAAACATCCAACCCCACGTGTGAATGGTGTTGTTTGGCAAGAATTACAGCCTTCACGGAAGAATAGTAAAAGTCAAAGAGCCATGATTTCAACTTTCAATCACAGAATTACAAGATTAAAGAATCCCAAAATCCCAAAATTACAGAGCTGTAAATTTGGGACTAAATATAATTGTAATTCTGTAATTCTGTAATTCTGATATAATGAACCTTCCATTCTTTGTACTCAATCCTACACACACACACACAAAGATCTCTATAGAAATTTATACTTTTTGTGTGTGTAATTCTGTTGGCTTGGCTTGGCTTGGCTTGGCTTGGGTTCTTTTTTCTTTTTCTTTGGGGAGAATGAAAGAAAATGTGTTTGTATGGGTGGGTGTAGGGATTGTGGTACCTTCTCTTTATATACTTCTTCTTCTTCTTTTTGTTGTTTTGTTTTCATTTTCTAATGTAAACAATAGGCCACGTCAACATTAGTATTTACACATGCTACTCGCACATGAATAGTAAGAATTAGTGTCAAATATTAGAAAGCACTTGACACCCTTATTCTTTCTTTCCATTCTTCTCTTGATTGTCAATTATATACACTATTAATAGTCAATTTTGAATTGTTATTTATTTTTGAAACAAAAATGTATGACACGATTCTTGATATAGTAATTTTTCAAGCCATGCGAATGGATTAGTAGTTCTCTTTATTCTTAAAGCATATTATATTATTTTACACTATTTCCTAAAAGCAAAATGCTGTGTCAATTATGTCGCATTTGTGTATGTTTTGTATTATAAATTTCCAAATTCTGCGCCATCAGTTTCAGAAAATAAATATTTTTTAGTTTAGTTTAGTTTAGTGTATGAACAAGATGTATTGATTACACAGACACACATAGTCTATATAAAGGTGTGTAGGTTGTTTTGAGTGTGGGGTCAGTGAATGACTATAGTTGAAGAGAATAAAGAAAGAAAACAAAGGTAGAAGGGGATAGGATAAAAAGAGATTCTAAAGTGAAATTGTACGAAAAGAGATATAGAAATATAGAAATATATCTCTTTAAATGTCATCTAATTGGGCATTAAACTCATCCAACTGGGCTTGTAATTCGTGGTTCTTGAGTTTGAGTTCTTCGCCCTTTCTTTCTTGTTCCAAGAGCAAGTTCTCGAGCTGCTGGACCTTGCGTTCAAAATGTTCTGCCTTGACATCTGCCTCACGGAAGCTATGATAGGATTTGTAGAGACAAGGATAAGCCAGAGAAAGTAAACTTCTATTTTGGTCTTTGGGGTTGAAACTTACTTTTTGGTGGTTTCGCGCAGTGACTTGTCAGAGTTCTCGAGTTCCTGCTCAAGAAGTGTGATTTTACGCTGTGCTGCGTCATTTTCTTTCTTGAGATCACCTCCTTCGTCTTCGATTGACTTGAGTCGTTTGATGTTTTCTAGGGCAGCCTCGAGATCGTCTTCCATTTTCTTGTTTTGGTTGGTTAGAGAGATGATCTCATGTTCCTGATCCATCTTGATCTTTTCGTATTCCTTGACCTTGGCTTCGTATTCTTCTGCCTTGGCTTTGGCAGCATCGGCTTCGATTCGAATAAGGTTAATTTTCTATTAACATTGTGTTTAGAACTAGATTTTCTTGTTGATTCATAGTTTCGAAACATCTTTAGGCTTAATTTCGATATCTAACCTCTCTAAATCGTTCCATTTTGGTGGCAAAAGGCAGGGGATTCTGTGGTGGTAAAAGAAAGAAGAAGAAAGAAGAAGAGGGGGGGAAATGGAAATAGAAAATAGAAAAGAGCAATATAAATTCGGATTTTTTTTTTTAAATATATATATATATATATAAATTATTAATCGGTGTCCAGATGCCACGTGTTTGATAGATTTTGTCCTCTTTTGTGTTTAGCCGTCTTGTCTTTTAACGATTTAAATTGAAACACTTTTTTTTTTTTTTTCAATTTATTTATTTTTGAGTGTTTCAATTTTGTATGTTTCAATCTGTTGATTGATATGCTTTTTTTCTTTTCTTTTTTTTTTTTTTTTTGGTGACCGCAGCCCTTGACTTTCACATTCATTGTGGAACTCATGATGATTTCCCTGAGACACTGCAGGGGGTGAAGAAAGTGTATGTATATAAAATCAAATCAAATCAAATCAAATAAAATAAAATAAAATAAAATAAAATAAAATAAAATAAAATAAAATAAAATAAAATCATACATATGTAATAATCATAATAATAATAATAATAATTTTTTTTTATTTTTTGTTTGTGTACAAAAGGGGAGGGAGGTTACGCTCAAGGGCCTTGCTTCTTTTATTTACTTTATTTATTTATTTAGTTATTGAATGCTTGCTTGTTAACTAACAGTGGCGCTGACCATAACAATAATAGACCTTCTTCTGTATCATTTCTTTTTTGAACCTTTTTCTTTTTCTCTTCTCTTCTCTTCTCTTCTCTTCCCTTCTAGTCTACTCTCTTTAGCTCATGGCGTCTGTTTCTGCTACCCGCCCCAATCGTACTCACCACCGCCTGTTGCCACTCCGCTCCTGGCTCAAGGCTAATGTGGCAACCCCTCCACAGCCAATGCGCCATTCAATTGTCACTCTGGCATCATACATGACGGTTGGCACAATTGCTATTGTGGCCATCAGTTCTCTGTTCTGCCTCTTTATGGCTGTCAGTATGGTGGATGATGTTCTAAGGATAACTGCGCCAGACCGTCTCTGGCTGCTACTAAGAGACCACTGGCTGAGACTAGACTGGACACATTTGGCAGATAAGCTTAGTGAACAACTTACCAGTCTGGCAGAGTGGGAACGTCAAAAGCGGGCAGCGTGGTATCCCTATGACCACCCATCCTATCATGATGGTGATCGATTTCACGACCTATTGTTTGCTGCCACGCACTATCTAAATGAATATGTCCAGAGTAAGCAACAGCAACAACAGCAACAGCAAAAACAACACAAACAGCAACAACAACACAAACAGCAACAGCAGCAGCAGCAGCAGCAATATAGCCAATACACTCAGTATAACCAACAAAATACCCATCATCATCATCAGCAGCATCATTATAATCATCATCAGTATATGCGTACTCCTCCTACTACATCTACTTGATATACTTCACTTCTTTTATTTTATTCTTTTATTTTTTATTTTTGTATAGGACTCATACACTCACACACAAAATTTACACACACACACACACACACACACACACACACCCACTCACTCACATTTACACTCACACTTATATACATCATTTAACATCTCTTTCTCTAACTCTATTTTCTTTCTTCCTTTCTTTCTTGTTTACTTTTTATTACTATTATTATTATTATTATTATTATTATTCATCAAAGTAAATACAAAAAAAACCAAAAAATAAAAATCAAAAAAAAAAATCAAAAAAAATACAGCTTTGGATCAACCATGCCCTTTATCTCTATCTATCTATCTATCTATCTCTTTTTCATATACATAATGTATATCTTTCCTTTTTTTTTGAAAAGCTTATTGTTGATTGGTTATCTGATTGATTGATTGGTTAGTCGTCTATCACTCCATCAATCAAGTAATCAATATGTTTGTCTGTCTATATAATGTATCTATCTATAGTTCTATATATGTATGTACGTGAGTTATCAATTGATCTGCACAGTATTTATGCGCGAGGAATGAATCTTCCAAGTCCATAGCTTATTCCTTTGTAAATTGCCGCCGTTCCTACAAGTGCAACCATTTCAGTAGACAAAGAAACAAGATCGGCGCACAAGGTCGGTACTGAGGCAGAAGGAGATGACGAAGGCGGTAAACCAGGCGAAGAAGGAGACAGTAATAATAATGAAGTAGAGGAAGAAGAAGAGGAAGAGGAAACAAGAGAAGATGGAAATGTAGAGCCCAAAACATTCTCAGCCAAGATCGGCTGTGCAGGAAATTTTACAGAGGGAGAGAGGGGTGGTGTGAGTGGGAGACTGGCAGAATGTTTAGATCGGGCAGCCAGGAGAAGAGCCTTTGCCATGCGCCGGGCATCGCTGTCACCCTGGGACGGAGTACGGACTGGCTTGCGCTGACTGAGGATAGGCAATTTGGCATGATAGACAAACTCAAGCACGTCTGCTTCGAATCGAATGCCTCGAGGACGCTTGCATCGCTCTTCGAAGCAAGCAGTGTCTCTTGACTCCAGGCTCAATGGGAAACTCCGCCGCCTCTCTTTCTGGGACTTTTTCTTGAGAGCCGATTTAACAAGTGGTGTGGGTGTATCTGCTGCTATAACTGTGGCTGTAGTTGAGGAGATCGGATCGACTTTTGACAAAGAAGACTGGTTGGTCCGTTTAACATAGATCTCAGGGCAGCCCACCCTTTTCTCAAAATCCACGTCGGCTTCGTCTCTGCGAAAGAGTGGACCGTAGAGCCAGCTCACATCAGAGTCCTTTTCCCAGTTAATTTCGGCCGGATCGATCCTGGGATTATGTCGCCCGAGCTGACTGGTGCAATAGCTGGACATCCGCCGCCAGAGCGCGTTCCTCAGTCGGTGCAGGCGGTACTCTTCTGCCAACAATCGTCGATTAGCCTTCAGTAGACTTGGGTTTGCCTGCTTGGTCCGTTCGAACCCGGTTTCAATATCGTCGTTGAGGTGGAGCAATTTGTTTCGGAGAGTTGCGGCCTGTTGCCGGAGCTCTGACCAGGCACAGCCCAGGTCAAGTGCATCCCAACTGTGAGAGAAATAATCGACAGTAATTGACGGGCGGGTTATCAGCTCATTCATCGATTTTTGATTATATTATATTATATTTTCTTCTTCTTCTTCTTCTTATTTGTTATATATATATATGTATGTATGTATGTATGTATGGTATATGTACAGGGTTTAAATACTTTTTATATATAATATTATATTATATTATATTATATTATATTATATTATATATATTATATATATAATTTTCTTTAACAAAAAATAAAAATCGTAAAGAAGAGAAGAGAAGAGAAGAGGAAGAATGGGATAGAAATGAAATAACGGAATAAATAATGAGAGAAAGAAAGGAGAAGTGTATCAAGATGGGGAAAAATGCAGGTTTTTATATATAAATCAACCGCAACACAAAAAGGCGATACTAGACAACTAGGAAACTATCATGCACACAATCGACGGAAAAGGGTAAACAGACAGAAGAACAGACACCAAGAAGGGGTGTGCAAAAGAGAGTAAGTAGGCAAGACAAATAGACAAGTAACCAACTACCCAACCAAGTAGGCAAATGAAATTATGAACAAAAGCAGAATCATAATATATAGCTATATAGATAACTGATTATCTTCTTTTTTTTTGGGGGGTAGAAGAAGTGTGAGTTAAAGTGAGGTAAAGTGACAAAGGGGTATTATTATTATTTTCATATATATATATATATATTGTATCTACTTGTGGGGATTTCTTTTATATATATTTATATATATAAGCATACAATTTATTCTTCTTTCTCACTCTTCTAAATAAAGAAAGCAACCCAACATCTCGGTCTCCTTATTACCATTTACTGCCCTCACTCTTTCTTATCCTTGTCTGGGTCTTCCATAAATGCAACAATAATATATCCAATCAACACCACATTCGCCACCACCGCTGCCGATCCAGCCGCATAAGTCGTATTACCTTTTAATTACAAATTATACAATCAGAATTAGAATTTGAATTTGAATTAGAATTTATTATACACATATATTTATCTAATTCTAAAAATATTATCTATTTCGTATAGGTTTATTACTACTCTTATAATAATAACCTTAATAGTAACCATAGCAACAAAAAAAAATTTAAAAGAAAGAAAAAAAAAAGAAAATTACCACCAAATATTCTATCAACTGTTGTGTAAAAAGTCATGATTGGTAAGATGAACATTGCCAAAGAAAACCCAATCAACTTGGTCATCACAACAGCACTGACTGAAGGACGTCCGTTGGTTTGTTGAATTGACTGTACAGACTTTTCAACCACAGCCTGGTCAGAAGTAGCCTTGCTGGAAGTATTTTTATTGGAAGTCGCTTTTGATGATGATGCCTTTGCCATGATGATCAATTGGATTACCAAAAAAAAATCAAAAAAAAAAGTCAAATAAAGAAAGAAAGAAATTAAAACAATATATATATATATTATATACGCAAAAGAGAGAGAGAGAGAGAAATATTCTGCGTTTCAATTTCGATTCAAATATTTGTTGCAAAAAGATGTGTATATGTTGAATGTATAAATGAATGAATGAATGAATGAATTAATTAATTAATAGATAAAATGAATGGGTAAATAGATGAATATGTTATATACATGTATATATAAATACATAAATATATACTGCTTTATTCATATTCATATTCATATTTTTTTATATTTTTCTTTTTCTTTTTCTTTGTCTTTTTCTTATATATATATATAAAGAGAACTTAGACGCCACCCTTCTTTACATTAAAGAAACTTCGGACAACAAACACCTGGACGCATGCCATCAAGATGATAGCCCCACTTTCAAGAATAGCAAACCAAAAGATCCGGTTTTCTGTAGAGATGACAGTGCTGGAATTACGGTTTTCACGTGTGCGAAAGTACTTTTGGGTGCGAGCCACATTGGTCAAAGATCCAGACAGTCTAAAGAGCGATTCTTCCATTGCATTGAGGGCTACCGGAGGCTCAGATGATGAGCCTTCCTTTTGATAGTTGGGACGGACTTCGTGCTCAAGTGTGATTTCAAAATCAACCAGCTTCTCGGCAAAGGTCGACATATCATTGATAAAGCAGAAGCTGTATTCTCCAACGTAGTTTGCAGTAAACACATAATCTCCCTGTCTGGACTTTTCGCCAGAAAGAACAATATCGTCCCGAGGATCACGCACTTCATAATCTATATCAAACGATCCTCCCGATTGAACCTATCTCGGGTATACCATCATTATTATCGTTATGTTTTAATGTATTCTCTTATAAACACACAGATATATATATATATATATACTCGTAGTTATATCCTAATTAATCCTGCTACTTACAGCAAAGTAGAATCCAACTTTCTTTCCGGGTGTGTCTGCCCAAACATAGAAACATGCCTTTTCTTGAGCAGCTACATTGTAGGTCAAGGCAGTTGCATCTGAAGACGCGAAGAATGAAAAGAACAAGCTGACAAGCAATGAAAATGCTACAGCGCGTTGGAAAATGAATGATGCCATTAGGTCAACTCTTTACGAATCTTGGAATTGATAGTGGTGGTAGAGACGGTGGTGGTTTCTTTTTTTTTTTTGGTGTGTGTGTATTTTTTTTTGTCTTCTTTAAAAATAAAACAAAATAACAGTAAAGAGAATACTAAAAGAGAGAAAATAAAGAGAGACAAAGAAAATCGAATCGAATAAAGTAAAATAGAATAGTCGTTTTTTTTTCCTTTTCTTCTTCTTCGTTTCTTTTTAATGGGATGAAAGGACTGAGTGGGAGGGAAGGATGAAGGGGTACCAAAAAGAGGTGTGTCGTGTCGAAAGGATAGGAACCTTTGGCGGAGACTAAACAAAGAGACGTCAGCTTTCATTGGCTTCATTTGGCAAGCGCGGGAAGAAGCCAATTTAAAAAATAAAATAAAATAAAATAAAAAAAAAGACAAAAGAGGAAGAAGCGGAAGAAGCGGAAGAAGTGAATCATCACAAGTACTGGCTCATTTGAATTATTACTTCTTAATTTCTTCTTCTTTTTCTTTTCTTAAATGAGCAATAAAAAGATACATCATCTCGGTGCAGAAGGAAGAGGGTAAAATAGTAAATAATTGAAATAAGCTTCTATATAAGACACAGATACATATATATTATTCTATTGTCTTTTTTTTTTTTTTAAAAAAAAATGGTTACTGATAATACCGATTGCTTCTTATTGAATACAATTCTAGTCCTTGGTACAAGTAAGTGGCTTTCTTGGCCAGTCTATTCAACTGCTTGTGTGTGCATTGGTGAAATTAACACTCGATTCATAGTGCTGATGGCTTAATCACAGAAAGCTACATTATCGGTGTTGGTGGTAATAATTTATGCTTTTGATATTTTATATCATGCAAGTTAATATCAATTAAATATATATATATGCATACATGTGTTCGTTTTTAATTATTTGTTTTTTATTTCAGGTGGCAGTGCTAGTGGAAAGACCAGTGTATCAGAGTAAGACCTTTTTTTTTTAAGAAAATCGGTAACCTACCTTGTAAGGTTACGACTACTATACCTCTTACTCAAATCAATAAAATGCAAAAAAAAACAATCAATCGATTCCAAATGAAATTTTCTAGTCGTATTCTCAAAAGTCTCAATGTCCCTTGGGTTGTAATCCTCTCGATGGATTCTTTTTACCGTGTTCTTGAACCTGAACAAATTGCTCAGGCACATCTAAAGTAAAGCAACAAAGAATCCAAATTTGTATTTGTAGATTTGAGAAACCCAATTAAGAAAACAAAAGAAGAAAGAAGAAAAGAAGAGCATATGTCTGATCGGATTTCCTTTTCTTTATATAAATATCGAATATTCAGCAATTTTGACTATGATCATCCTTCTGCTTTTGATTTTGAGGCCTTGTACGATTGCATATCAAAATTAAAGGCTGGGTAAGCTTCAAAGATTATGATTGTAAGAAGTGTACATTAATACATTATATACATATGTACCATCACCTCTTTTGTTAGTAAATCTGTCAATGTCCCGGTCTACAATTTCTCAAAGCACGCCCGCGAGAAACACACGACCACAATATATGGTGCCAATGTTGTTATTTTCGAAGGCATTTTTGCTTTTCACGACAAGAGAATCAGGGATCTTATGGATCTAAAGGTATTGGACTATAAACTCTTCTTTTTTTCTTTCTAACCAAAATATATGATATTCAATCTAGATTTTTGTGGACACAGATGCTGATATTCGCCTTGCGCGACGCCGTAAGTTGGTTTCTTGTGTACTGACTGATCAAGTTGGTTTTCTCTCTCTCTCTCTGTGTGTGTGTGACTCACACAATATTTATATGCATAGTTAAGCGTGATATTACCGAGCGTGGACGTGATGTTCAAGGTGTAATTGATGTAAGGCATCCCAAAATTAGAAAATTAAGGAGATAGAGAGATAAAAAAAAAAGAAAGAAAGAAAGCTTACAGCCAAAGACCGATTTTGTCTAATATGTTTATGTTTTATGAATTAATTAATTAGCAATACACCCGGTTCGTCAAGCCATCTTATGATGATCACATTCGACCAACAGTCAAGTATGCAGATGTGGTAAATGAAACTATACACTGACTGTAATTAAACAGCAGTACATATATTACATACATATAAATCAAGTAATAGTGTTATTGATTCGAGTCTATTTTGAATTATTATTATAATTTTATTTCTGGGGGTGATTCTTTAGATTATTCCACGAGGATTAGAGAATACTGTGGCTATTGATTTGCTTGTTAAGCATGTCCAGCTTCAGCTCCAGGAAAGTAAACTTGACTTGCGTTGGAGTCTATCCAATATTCAAGTTGGCAAAAATCTCCCAGTTAATGTGCACGTCCTTCCGGTAACCAACCAAATCAAAGTAAGATGAGTGAACAGACAGACAGACAATAAAACAAAAATGCCTTTTTCTTTTTTGGGGGGATTTGCGTGTACTTAAAATATATGCTGTATTGTTTGTTCGTTTTAGGGAATTCACACTATCCTCAGAGATAGAACAACGCCTAGAGACGAATTTGTATTCTATGCCGAGCGGCTCACAACCTTGATCATGGAAACGTAAGCCAATTAAAGTTTGATCGAAAATAAAGGAGAAAAAAAAAAGGGAACATTTACACACACATCTATATACGTAAATGATTATTTAGTGGCCTTGGTTTGATTCCTTTTGACCCTATCCAAATCAAGACTCCTACTGGAGCAGTGTATAAAGGCTTAAAGGTCAAGGATAAGGTAAATGAGAAGAAGAAAAATAATGAAGAGAGGAGTGGTAGTCATGTAGAAAAAGGAGGGAATGATCTAGAACAAATTTGGCAGATTTGTGGTGTGTCTATTCTCCGGGCAGGCGGAACGATGGAGGCAGGTTTGCGAAGGGTGTGCAGTGATGTCTTGATAGGAAAGATCCTTATCCAGGCAGACCCTGCTACTGGTGAACCACAGGTAAAAAGCAAATAGTATTAAGAATAGTATTAAAATCAATAAACAAATTAATACAAAAAAAAATATTGGTACAAAATATATAATGTGGAACATATATTAAAAGAAGAAAAAAAAACTTTATTTATTGAACAAATATAATAATTATACTGTTTTATTTTTTGTTTTTAATTTTAGCTTCATTATATGAAATTGCCGTCCAATGTTAAAGATTATCAGGTTGTTTTGATGGTATGTAACTAGATAAAGAATTAGACACCACAGGCAATTTATAGAGATAAATTGACAATTGTAAAATGTATATACATATATAAAATCAAACAACCTAGGATGCTACCATAGGAACAGGTGCCGCAGGTCTAATGGCTGTGAGAGTTTTATTGGATCATGATGTACCAGAGGTAAATTATTAGAATTCAATTACACCAATTTTATTTTATTTTATTTAAAAAAAAGAATAGTAATAATATAAACAATACACATACACCAAACCCTGGGAAATAATACTAATATTATTATAATTATTATTTCTACTACTATCTTAGGAAAATATTATTTTCGTGTCTTTTTTGGCTGCTCCCGTTGGTCTTGGTGTGATCTCAAACGCTTTTCCACGCGTCAAGATCGTTACTTCCATGGTGGATCCTGGTCTTTCCAAGGATACTCTGTTTATTGAGCCTGGAATCGGCAATTTTGGGGGTAAGTTTCAAAGATCGCAATTAACAACAGAACGATGTTCTCGACGTTAAAGACCTTTTTGTTTATTCCCTAGATCGATACTTTGGTACTGAAGATGATTAAAAAAAATTAAAGCAAAACAAAATAAAAGACGAATAATTGCGTGATCTTTTGTGCTGGGGGATCGCGTACAATATTCCACCTCCTCATCAGGGTACCACAATAATCGATGATCAAAGCGTATGAGTTTTCCTTTATATAAATTTTATGTTTGTTTTATCGAGTTTACCGGTTAGATTTCTGTGTTTAAGATATAAGCTAATTGAACGAATTCCAAAAAAAGTAATAAAGAAAAGGAGCCAGGGAAAGAAGAAGAAGAAAGGTTAGATAGAAGGAAGAGGAGGGTGTGTGTTTATGTAAATATGGAAGAGTTTATTATATATATTATATACTAAAATGTGTATGAATATATCCTCTTCTTCTTCTTTTTTTTTTTTTTTTTTTTTTTGGGGGGGGATAAAAATATAAAGAGGAAGGGAGGGACTTGTGTGATAGAGTTTTATGTCCATAGTAAAGAAGTATCTTGGACCTTTTTTTTGGGGGTTTTTCTTTTGAAAGTTCAGATAATTACAATTTGGGAAAATATGGAATTGTTATCTGTTTTATATTTTTATTTCTCCCTCCTTTATTTTTGCATATACCTGATATCTTGTTTGTTATATCCCAAGACAAAACATAAAAGTGACAACGATGTCCTATTATATATTGAATTGAAGTAAAGTGAGTTGAAGGAGGAATGATTTTTAATAAGCTGTCGTTTTCCTTGACATATCAAGGTATAAAATAAGGGAGGCGATTTTGATGGCACAGTTAAAAGTCAAAGCCTCAAAAAGGAAACCAAACAATAGATTTTAATACATGGATAAAACAAATAAATAAATAGATATTATAGAGTGTTATTCAGGTTTTAAGATTAGACTATTTTGATTCAAATCACAATACCAACAATATATAAATAAAATAAAACAAAGCACCCCAGAATTGGTTTGCACTATCCACGACTACCATTGCTGGTAATAGGATGGATGAGGGAGAGGTTCAGGCGGACTTCTGTTATTCGACCACCCAAGCGAGTTGCCTTGGGAAATAGGGGCCGAGATACTACGGGCAAAAACGTGTTGATCAACCATCGGAGGCTCTTGAATTTGTCTTTTGCGATGTCGGATCTTCTTCACCACAATCACTGTCGCAGCTGCATACACAATCGCACCCACAGAAACGCAGATTCCAATGATACTTCCCTTGGATAGTCCAGACTTTTGCTGGTCAGGCTGGCTACTCGCTTCCGACGATTCGACACTGCCGCTGTTGGGATCAGACACGACAGGCGTATTAGCCGTAGAAGCAACTACACAAGAAACATCAGTATTACCGCCGTGAGTAAAATGTTTTGTCTTTGTTACACCCTATCAAGTTCAATAGAATAATAGGAGATCCACGTGCTTGCGGTCTTGTACAGACATACACACACGCAGAGAGAGAAAGAGATCGAAAGAAATATCGATTGATCTATAGATCTATAGATATCTATTTTTCAACTTACCACTAGAGCTCGTGATCTTATAAGAACTATCAATCAGACTGGCCAGCTGACCATTAGAAGCAGCATACAGAGAGCTGTCAGATGAAGCCACCAGGGTCTGGAGCTCAGTTACTTCAGTACTTGGAATTGCCATAGACACAATCACACCCGTGCTATCAGTAGTCTGTCGTTTCTTTTTGCCCGACTGTTGGGAACCACTGGTGATTGTGACAATAATCACATCGTCTTCAGAAATATCAAGCACCTTACTGATCAATACAGGAAGAGCTTGAACAAATTCGGCTGTCAGTAAAGCATCCTGAACCATTTGAGGATAAGACAAGTAATTAAACTTCATATTAACCAAATCACTGGTATCTAATTAAAAATTCAAAATCAAAACAAAACAATCGTTAGTTTTTTGATATATATATATATAAGCTGGTGGGATTTTTATTTGGTTTGTACAATACATACCTGGGATTTCAGCATTAATATTAGGCGCTATGTACTGTGGTAGATTGTCATCTGTCGTGTCTGTATCTGATGGTGAGCTACTGGGGTGCAACGTTTCGGAGGCTTTGTAGCTAGATTGACTAGAGGTGGGTTTTGATGTGGTTGTAGACAAGGCGATACTAAACGTGTTCGACAGCCAGCTGTACGTCTGGTAGTGATACGGAGACGGAGAGTGGGATTTTGTTTGAGTAATAGAAGTAGTTGGCTCTGATGTTGTTTCTACTGCGTCTGAAGTAGTCGTAGTAGTAGTAGCTGTTGTTGTTGTTGTGGTCGTGGTAGTTGTGAGTTCATTTGTGGTCTGAGGAGGTGTAGGTTTGCTGTGGCTGCTCGATTGCATTGAATGCGAGGGGGCACTAGTAGCACTACTAACATGGCTGCTCGTCTTTGACCCATGATGGGAATTAACTTTTGATCCCGAGACACTGGATATGACAGTCGTATGGGAAGAAGGACTGGCATTAGACAGATGAAGACTATTTGTGCCTTGAGGTACATGGGCAGAGATATGAGAGATAACTGCACGAGAACTTGAAGCATGAGAGCTAGATGCATGCGATCTTGAGACACGAGAGCTAGATGATACATGGGATCCAGAAGCATACGATGATCTGTGGGGTGGTGCATGCGACATGGTATGGGTATGGGTGCCTGTGGAACGAGTCGAAGAATACAGATCAGTTTCATGATGACTAGCACTGGTGTGCTTGGAGCTGCTGCTAATCGAAAAAGTCTTTGATCCGGCTGGATTGCGTGGTAAGGTAGCTGCAGGTGTGATAGTCGATCGGAAAATGGTCGAGGATGCTGGCTTTGTCGTGGCAGAGACCTTTCCGCTCACCGATTTGGTTGAATCAGGCTGATCTGCGGAAGTATCTGAGTGGTTGGAGGATGCTGATTCTGATGCTAATGCTGATGCTGATGACACTTTTGAAGTACTAGAATGATCTCCATTGACATCTTTTGTTGGTTCGTGGGATTCGGTTTCCAAAGAAGGGGAAGGGGAAACGGAAGCGGAAGGGGAAGCGGAAGAAGGGCGTGCATCTGTGTCAGTGTTTTTGGGTGTGGCGGAGGAAGAAAGTTCAGTTGTAGAGGTCGGTTTTGATACTGTCTCTCCACGGGAGGACATGGTGGCTGCTGTGGCTGATGGTTTTGCGGAGGAAATAATGGAGGTAAGTTTTTCCGTTGGTACATCCTTATTTTCAGAAATGGAATATTGATGGGACAGAATCTTTGTGGTTGACTCTTTATCAGTGGCTATGGCAACATTGGCACTATTGTGGACCGAAAGTGGGTATTCTGCAGACTGAGACTCACTTTGGTCTTTAGAAGGCTTGGATATGTCTTCATCGGGACTTGCATCTGTAATGTTTACTGTACTTGATCCAGCTGTGTTCTCAGGACTCGATTCCTTTGTACTAGAGAATTTAAACGAATGCGTCGAGCTGGTTCCGGTTGCACTAATATCTGCATTATCATTCTCACCAGTCGCAGATGTTGGGGTTACGTGAAGGTTATGGGTGCTCTGTGCTGAGTAGTTTCCGGATGTGATACCGGGAGTCTATTGATTGATTGTATTATTAATATTACAAACAATAAAACAATAGATGTACCGCAAATCATTACTATCATTGTATGCCTTTGATCTTCTCTCTCTCTCTCTCTCTCTCTCTTTCACTCATTCTTTCACACACACACACAATATTATTGAACTGTTTTTATGCTTTATATATAAAAATAAAAAAATAAAAAAGAGTTAATTAATTTATTCTAATACCTCTACGGCCTTTAGCCCGTCTTCGGCCGTCTTTCCAGTGTCCAAAGGAATTATTCCCAAGACAAGATTCAAATGAACATTCACAATGAGAAGAATGAATAGTAAGCTGAGGAAGCGTGTGGAGGCGCTACTGGCGTGGGGTTTCCTAGCTACCATCGCCCTGGGCGCAAATAAGTTAAAGGAAAGGTGAAGGTGTGAAAAGGAAGGAAAGTGGATCTTCTTGCCAAAGACAAAAAAAAAGATAGAGAGGGAGGGAGGGAGAAAGAGAGGGAGAAAGAAAGAGAGAGAGAGAGGACAAACTCAAGAAGTTCATAATTTGTTCGTGATACCTAGTTTGTTTGTGCTCTTATTTCCAACGTATCACTGAAAGAAGTGTTGTGGTCAGGTTCGGGCCAAACAGGGTTCCTGAACACGTTTTTTATTATTATTGATCACCACCCATTGTCTTCCTGCTTCCCGTTCTACTCGTCTCTGGAATCCACGCTAGAGGCTCTTTTACTCTCTGGTGCTGTCTCAATAGGCTCCTCTTCTAAAGGCGTTGCCTCCCTCACTAAATCCTCCTCTTCATCCCTCGGGCTTCTTGCCACAGGCGACTCTGATCGTCTTCTTGATCTGTCCTCCCTGCGATCTTCACGTGAGTGGCGCGATGGAGAGGGCGATCGAGAAACAGACCGCGATTTAGAGCGATCATGTCTTGATCTCCGGCGGGGAGATCTGCTACGGCTGCTGCTACGATTGCGGTGGCTACGGCTGCTGTTGCGGTGGCGGCTGGAGCTTCTGTCACGACGGCTTCGGCTGGGGCTGGAGCTTCTGTCACGGCGGCTGCGACTAGAGCTTCGGTTGCGACGACTACGGCTGGAGCTTCTATCACGACGGCTACGACTGCTACGGCTCTAAATAAAATTAAATACAGACACACAGACACACAAGCATAATCACACGCACATATATACACGTATGTATGTATGTATATATACATATACGTATACATACACACATGCGGACGGTTTTTATTTTTAGTGGTTATATACGCAATTAAAACAAGCGATGCCAAAATAAAATAAAGTAAGACAAGACAAAAACAGAATAAGAAAAAGACTTACGGGCTCATGGAGACTGATTCGCTGACCATTCAATCGGCCATCATCCAACTTTCTCAGTGCGTATTTCATATCCTCACGTTTAGAGAATTCAACGACACTAATACATACCATCGCCATCAACTTGCCATTTCAAAAAAAATCTTAGTCAGCAAAGCCATATCTTACCCTTCGCCGTTACGACCCTTGAGAACATCGGCAAATGCGACATGGCCAGCCTTCTTCATGTAGTCCTTGAGATCCTTCATACCATGAAACCCCAAGAAAAAGAAAATAGGAAGTGCGTTTAGTTTCCAGAACCGCCAAAGAAGTAGAAAGGGGGCTGTAGAAGTACGAGATGAAACTACACAACGATCTTTGCTTCATTTGCTCTCTTTCTTTCTTTCTTTTTTTCTTTTTCTCGCTTTAAGATAATTTCTTAAAGAAATATCAGCAAGCTAGACCATTGTGTAGTCCAAGTCGCACTTTTACAGATTCCCTATAGTCCATTCCCATTGTAGAGCCACGTGAGGGTGCCAGAAGAGAAAAGCCTAATAACCCGGAATCCAGGGGACATAGCCAAAAGAGCCAGAGCTGCCATAAACCAAAGGGAGACCGCGGATAGCCAGCCAAGAGGTAGAAAAAAGGCAGAAATGAAAGGGAAAAGAAAAGGGGAAGGGGAAAAAGGGGAAGGGAAAGGGGAAGGGAATGGCATCACCTCAGGCTGGGACGACAAGGAAGGATAAATGCTTTACCTGCCAGGTTGTCTTGGGAGGTATGTTCTTGACGATCACACGGTACACTTCTCTAAAGAAATTCCCGTAGGAGTATTAAAATAATTTTTCGTATATATATATGTGTGTGTGGGTGTGTGGGTGTGTGGGTGTGTGTCTATGTATGTATCTACTGACTACTGACTATAGAATTTATTTATTTTAATTGACTTGCCTATCACTACGACGATCGTCGCGGCGGTCATCGCGACGACGGTTCATAGCCAACTCAACGACGATTCTTTAATGTAATAAAAAAAGTAGTAGTAGAAGAAGAAAAACGCGCTTTTTAATTGATCATCTGTTTTTTTGATTGTTAAGATCATGAAGAAACTAACCTTTGGCCTAGGAAGCGAGTGTCGTTGATGTCGTGGACTGCATCTTCAGCATCGATCTTGTCGCTAAATTCGACAAAGCCAAAGCCAGTCTTCACAGTGACATCAAGCAACTTTCCATACTTCTTAAATAAGCCTTCCAAATCTTCTTTTGTGGCATCGTGCGAAAGACGTCCAACGTATACTCGATAACCCATTATATTTTAATAGCAAACAAATTTAAAATATTAATAATAAAAAAAAAAGGAAAAATAAAGTAAAGTAAAGTAAAATAAAATAAAAATAAAAAATAAATAAAAGGGGTGGGTGGAGAGGGGGGGGAGTTGAGCAAAAAGGGACTTTACAAAATGGAGACAGAATCTTGCAATTTCAAAAAAGTCGCCTGTCACAAAAAAAGGATATCTCTTTGGCCAGTCATTCTTTTTTTTTTTATTACATGTATATTTTATTTATATATATAAAAAATAATAGTATACGCACTTGCGCATCTCAAAAAAAAATTGAACGCTTTTAGTCTTTTTTTTTTTACTATTATTTTTCTTTTTGCCTGTGGACAGTCAAGAGAATCCAATCGGGACATTTCACACAACACCTGTTATATACATTTATACATATATTGTATAAGAAACATTATATTGATTTGTCAAGTATCAAGACGTACTTCCTAGAAAGGATAGATAAATATACGGGAATAATTGATGGCCACACAAGTACGTACCTATTTACCTACTTACCTACTTACCTACTTACCTACTTACCTACATACCTACGTATGTAAATAAGTATATATATATATGAGAAAAGGATAATATAAAGTATTAATGCTATTTAAAACAGAGAGGAAAATATGGAGCGGTAAGAAGAAGAGAAATGTAAAAGGAAGATTAGTGAAATACGACAAAAAATCCGTAAATTGTAAACATTTCTAACCATATCAACAAGTAACAAAGGCACTTGCAATGCCAATTGTAAGAATTACGGCAACTTGGAATCGACACGGCATTCTTTTTGTTTGATAGCCCGCTATTCTTTTTTCTTTCTTTCTTTCTTTTCTTTTTTGATGTTGTTGTATAATCAAACCTATTTGATTTCAAGCCTCTTTAATTATGGTTGATTCATTGATATTAATTATCAAGACAATTCAAAACATAAAGACCAAGTAGTTCTTACAGCTTTAGTATTTAAGGTTCTTGGTTTAATATGCTTCCAATGTTATATAACTGGCTAGGCCACACCTCTTTAATCTCAACTAATTTCAACGTATCAAATATCCAAGGCTAACCAGACTCAGATTTACGTTGGTACATGCATAATTACTACGCGTTCGCCATCATATGTATATAATGGAATGTAAGAGGAAGAAATTATGAATTATTATAATACGGAGAATAATGAATTATTTGTAATACACGTATTACAAAATCAAATCTTGTCTTTTTTGTTTATAAATTGAAATATATATATTAATTTTTAAGTTTTATCATTTTGTATTCATAAAAGGACCCCAGAAAATCAAAATTCTGGATACAAAATCAATATATCTTACTCCATATACAAATGGTTTGTACAGCAAAATCGACACTCATGAGCATAATATTTGTATAAAACCAAAGGCGATGATACCATGGTAATAGGTGGTCAATTTCAAGTTAATTGATTATTTTGTTAAGTTTTCTTTTTCTTTTATTTTCTTAAAAAAAAATAATGGTTTATATAATAAAGATTTACTTTTATAACGCAATATTTATACCAAATTTGGGCACTTGGAACCGAGACCAGTATGCGCAAAGCTGAAACAGACATGCAAGTACATAAGCAAGCACTAATATATGATGGCTTTCAAAATGCGAGATTAGTATTTTGAAAAGGTAATATAGCCTCCTGAAAGTAGATTGAAGAAGAAGTATATTTATACTACACAAAATAAATAGTGAGAATAAGAAGAATAGAATACATCAAATGAATATTCAAACAAATCAAAAAGGGGGAGGCTATGAAGTCAAGAGAATAGATAACACTCGAGGTTTTTCTTTTTGGTATTTTTATGATGATTATATTAATAGTTTTAGTGGCTACATTTACAGAAATAAAAAGGAGTACAGTCAAATGAATCGTGAAAATTACGATAAACTATTAAGAAATACATAATGAATAAATGAATGAATGAAAGAAAAGGCTGAGATCGACTGAGAAAATATATACCTCAAGACAATGTATTATAAGAAAATCATGAAAGGGAACAGCGGGGTAAAGGGTTATTAAAGATGAAAGATCCTACACGACATATATTATATAACGCGGGTTGCACGTCCAAGAAGCTTCCATTCCTTCAACAAGGTTCAAGGTACAATTATCAACCAGGAGACTTTAATAAAAGACTCTTGTTTTTTTTTGTCGATTTTATCGGTGATGTCGATTGATGATTCTCAATTGACCAAAAGGCTTTGGAATATATATTTATAGCTATCAACCGGCTACGATGATTTCTTCCCATCAACTCAACGCCTTTCAGGGACATATACATCTATAAATTTCCCAGAAGTAGTATATGGGGCCATGATCAGATTCTCTAATACACACTTTATAAACTTTGTTATATTTCTTGTCTTTAAAATAATAATAATATGTTAACATTTACTTATGATAAAGACAAGCTAGTCGTAAAATGTCTTGTAATTAATAGTCAAAAGTAATAGTACCAATACCAGTATTAAAATGAAATATCAATAAAAAAAAAAGAATGAAATCATCAAGTATTCAATTAAGCACTACATTTGATGCACAAAGCTTTGTCTATGTTTGCTAAAAGATGGTTTCAAGTACGCTGCTTTCATGGTAAAGTAGGCTTTTAGTTTTGGAAAACATATCACTTTGCTTTTTTCTTAAAAAATAAAATAAAATAAAATAAAATAAAGAACAAGGTATCAAGGCTGTACTTTTATGTTGAATTTTTCTTATAATACACAAATATCAAACGATAAAATATTACATAAGAAGAAGAGAAAGGTGGTATAATAGAGAAGACTTCTTCTTATCCAACAATGTCATTGCTGTTTTCAGCTACAGCCGGAAGAAAAGCCATAGTTTCTTGAGAACTGATACGACGGCCAGCTATTTGGCATTCCATTTTCCAGTCAACCAAAAACATAATCACACATGCTTCTCCGAAAGACTTTAATGCGCCGGCCATGACTACGCTTGACCACACGCCAATCAGACCCCAATCATAATAGAATGTCATGCAAAGTCCGAATGGCAGGCCAATCGCATAGTATGAGATTAGATTAAAGGAGGCTACGATGTGCTGTTTTCCAAAGGCGTTAAGAGTTCCAGACAAAATCGTACTGTTTCCCTAAGCACCCGTTTAGATAATGAACATAAAATAAAACAAACTAAAAAAAACAGGCACATGGTGTACTTACTGCTGCAAAGTGACTCAGGCTTGCAACACCCATCAGATCCACTACTGCTTCAATTACCATAGGGTCTTTTGTAAAATGATGAGCAATTTTATAACGGAAAAGATACATCATCAAGGCATTCAAGGTTACAATAGAGGAGCCCATACAGACGGATACCATAACGCAAAGGCGTGTCTTATCTGGACGATCTGCCCCCAGATGGTGCCCCAGACGCACGATCATAGCACTAGTCAATGCACTATAATATACTGTGTCAGCACCTTAACTCGCTATCATGTGTGTTTGTGTACATACGATGGTATCATGAGCAAAAGGGAGTTAATAGACAATACGATGGACTGAGCTGCCAAACTTGTCTGTCCAAGAACACCAGTTATTATGGCACATACTTCAAATGCCCATTCGGTTGACACACTCAGCATGCCAGGAATACCTAGAATTTAATGTGTTGAATAGTCAATTAAAAGCCAAAAGATTTTTTTATGTATATATAAAGGGGGGATTATTTACTCACCAAGTTTTAAGAATGTGTTCCATGTAGAAAATGCTTGCTTAGACCACCCAGGCCAGTAGTCTCTAAAACTTGTTCTAAACCAGAGAGATAGTATGTACAAAACCATGACAGAAAGATGGAACCAAACAATGTGGTAGGCTGCACCGTACAGCCCGAGTTGAAGATACTCCAAAAATATATAGTTGGATATCAAATTCAATGGGAACAGCAATGCGATAACATACATTGTAGCTCTCATTTGGCCTGAGAAAACACAAGTACAAGCAAATTATTAGCATTGCCAATGTCATTGTCATTGTCATTATCATCAATAAAATTAGAATGATAGCATGATAGCATGTTATAAACATCTAGATATCTTACCTAATCCCTGGAGAAATTTTCGTAAACATGTTGAGACAAAGATTGGAAATATGTTTGGAAGGCAAACAATGATGTACGATTGAGCAAGTCGTGCTAACTCTGGGTCTTGACCCATGTATACAAGTATGTGTTCAGCATTAATCCTTTGAGAGAGTGAAAACACGCACATTAGTCATTGAAGATGATACTGTATTTAATTACAAGGGCCAGCCTTAAGATGATTTTCTTCTTCTTTCTTATTATACTTTACCATATTACTGCTACGGGTATAGTAAATAAGGCAAGAATACAGAGGGCACGCTGTAATATGATTCCAAGGGTGTGAGGATGGTTTGCGCCAGTGAAGGCCTGTGCCACCAGTGTATCGATTGCTATTCAAGAAAAGAAAGAAACGAAGAAAAAAAAATCAACGTCCTTGCTCATTAAATGCTTGGTACATACCTGTTAGCATTCCAGATCCCATGGCCAGGCCGCCAACGGTACAGAACAGATTTCCCAGACTAACAGCAGCCATAACTGACATGAAAAACATTAGACAATTGAATTGGGGTTATTTGTATTCATGCTACTTACGCTGTGGGCCAAGTCGCCCAATGAACCAAACATCCACTACACGCATGCCTATTCCGAGTAAATAGGTTGCTAGAAGAGGCCAAGCAAATACCATGATGGCCTTGATTTCCTTTATGGACTCGCTCGTCCAAAACAAATCTTTTTCTGCTAGTCTTGGTGTGGAACCATCATAGAATCTTTGTGTCTTTGAGTCATTCTGTAGCAACAAAACACGCTCGTCCTCAAGTGAGTTGCCATGAGGATTGGAAATGTTTTCTGGCTGATAAGACCCTTTATTAGGCCTTCCAAACAAGCCTGAAAAACTAAACCCCATAACTAGAGAAGAGAAAGAGAGAAAGAGAAAGAAGAGGAGAAAGAAAGAAAGAGCAAAAGGAAGAAAGTAAGAAGGGAAGAGTACAAGAAGAATAAGAAAAAAAATATAGCAACAATAAAAAAAAAGACTGGCCGGTGCGCTGTTTTTATTTAATTTTATTCTAGTTGAAAGGTATTTTCATTGGACAATGAAGATGCTAGTATATATTATGCAGTGGTTAATACATTCGGCTAAAGTAAGATATGTTAATGATACATAATCTCCATTGTCAAGCGTGGGAAGTCGTATCCAAATATTACATTGATTCTGTTCCACTGTTCCACTGTTTCAGCTCAATCCTGGTATTGTATTCATGATTGCAATGCAAAAAAAATGTGTAATCTTGCCATCCTCCGTCAATGCGGGTAAGAGGTGTCCAGCAAAGGCTATAGAGTTTGATCTTTTGTACCATAGTTCTTGCCCTATTTTGGCTAATTTGTATTCATAATTTAATCTCGTCAATAAAGATAAACAAGATCAAATCAGTGCTAAATGATGCTTATATATATATATGTGTGTGTGGCCGTGTGTGTGTGTGGCCTCTTTTTATACCTACACTAGATATGAAATAATTTGATATAAATTAACAAACAGTGGACTAATTCACCTACCAACTAGTTTCTCTACTTGCAATTACTTTGATGATCAAAGTCATATTAGATGGGGACACTAACTGACGTGTTACCTCGGTTATCAAGCACAGCTCGTGTTACAACCGATCTTACTAAAAGTATTACCCTAAGACGGCGGTATAAAGCAATTCGCTATTACTACTATTATAATTATTACTTTTTTTATTTATTTATTTTTTTAAAAAAAAGGGGATTTTTGGACAGCCCTGCCTAATAATTAATAATGACATTCAAAAGAAATAACAAAAAGAAAAAAATGGTCGATCGCTTTATAGTTGACTCAAACTACGGGTGATATTTTTACTTCAATACAGGTACATACTTTGTTTATTATTATTATTATTATTAAATTACTAAAATCTTATTCTTTACTCGAAAGGACAAATCTTTGCACCACACATGTGAACCATACATATTGAAGACACAAAGCCTTTCTAAATATTTCTTATCAAGTTTGTTTTTTTTTTTTAAAAAAAAAAATGAATATTCTGTATTTGTAGACATTTGTTTTGCTACTTCTACCTTTGTTTAATTTCCACACAAAATATATAACACTATTATCATCCTCAATAACAACAACAAAAGCAACAAAATAGAAAGACCGGGAAAAGAGCGTGTAAATATCTTGGTCATTAATTGTACTCTAGGAATTTAATGATCTGAGTACGTCTGTTTCAATCAAAGTAATATGTATATGTATGTGTATGTGTATGTATGTATATGTATATGTATATATATATATATGTGTGTGTGTGTGTGTGTAGTGGCGTATACGTTTGAAATGGGCGTGTAACCGACTCATCGGAACACCAGCGTGACTCGTTACAGCAGCCACCTTTTGAAAAAAAAAACCCCCCCAAAGAAAAGGAAAGGAAAAAGACAGACCACCTTACTGTGAATCGCTTTCTTTTCTCGAGAAATACCTTGTCAAAGCTTTAATTTGACTTGACTAATTACTGCAACACCAAAATTGTACGAAAATATATAAATACAGAAAAAGAAAAAAGAGAATTCGACAAATGAACGATGAAAACCTGACCATGGCAATGCGTCCGCGACCTGCTTTCGACGTAAGAGAGACGTGATCACGGTTGTGTACGCTTGACCAATATGTTCCCCCTTCTCAATAATAAAATATGTATATATATACATATATACACACATAGTACACGTCAGAGTTATGCTTTTACTGCTATAAGAGCCAGGGCTTTGGTGAGAAAAAAGAGCCGCTCACTCTAAAGTGTGTCGATTGTCATCGCAACGGTCGGTAAATCAACGGGATAAGGCGTTGTCATAGTGTGTGGGATAAAAAAAAAGTTGTAGAAAATGGTTAATATCCAAGAGATGATTGACGTGTTTATTGTAAATATATTTGTATATATGTATATATATATATCTACACACACACACACACATACATATGTGCATATATTATTTGGTTCGTAGCTCATGGAGAGTGTTCTGGATTAAACGTGGATTCGATAACAGTAGCATTGTCCTACGATTGGCAATGTAATGATTGCAAGAGCTGTATGGTCTGTTTTTGCAAACATGATGAGGTAGCGTTTATGTAGGAGTCCTTGTTGACTAGTATATTAGACTCCTAAAAAAAGCCGTTATTTTGTTGCAGGAAGAAATCTTAATCTGCGCTTCGTGCGACCGAGGATGCCATACATTCTGCTGTGATCCGCAAGTCGCTAATATACCCGAACGTAAAGCATGGGCATAGTCTTACAATTGCTTCAAATGAGGCTGATTTATAACTTCTTTTTTTTTTAAAAAACAAAAACAAAAACAAAAACAAAATCTTTGTAGATGACTGGAACTGCAGTATATGTTCTAGCATGCCTTCCCCATCCTCCATCAGCGCCCTTCATTCTCAACCTTCGTCTCCTGTCACACGCACCTTCACATCATCCAAAAAACGTAGGCGGTTGTCTGACAGCCAAGACTATACCCACAAAAAACTCACTACAGACCTGCCTATCTTCCTCATCAGCACACCACGCACATCACCATCTCCTCCGCTGATGGTCACCCGGAAGCGAGGTCGCCCTCCTTTGAAATCATTAGAAACAAAGTCTCGACCTATTATCGAAACTCACATTGTACGATCAAGTAGGATTGCGGCCAGAAAAGCAACACGCGAAGCACAACGCTCAGCTGAAGAAGCACAAACCCAAACGGATAAAGATAGTCTCACCTCCGCCGAGAATACCTCCGCAAAACTCCCCGTACGTCTACGACTCACCGTTAAAGAACACACAAACTCTGATGGACAACTGCAGCGCAATCGTCCAAAGAAAGAACGGCCTGGGCGGCTCCGCTCAAAGATTGTAGTCGATGCAGAAAACAGTTTTTACGAGACATTTGGCCACAAACTCACAATGGCCGAGGCAGATACTAAGAGGGGAACACCTACCGAGCTCGACTACAAAAGATTCGAAATGGCGAAACAGATATCAAAGGTAATATAGACTTTATCAAATATGAAATATACACAAAAGATCTTTAATTATTTAATTAAATATTTAAATATTTAAATATTTGGTTATTAATATATATATATATGCATATACATATACGTACATCTATATATTAATTTATCTATTTATTTAATTATGGATTAAAGGAGAAAACAGATATTGATAGATCGATAGTAGAGTCGTCATTATCACCGTCTACATATCCTACAGATGGTCTTCAAAAGCAAAACTGGATGCCAGCACTTGAAGTCCCAAAAATCACAAAAATACAATTCGGAGACTATTTTATCGATACGTGGTATGTTGCACCTTATCCAGAAGAGTACAGTAGCCATCCGTTGCTCTATATATGTGAATTTTGTATGAAGTACATGAAGAGTAGCTATGTCGCTGGACGACACAAAGTAAGTGGTTTAAGAAGTCCTGTTCCAGCTAAACAGATGTGGCTGTAGATGAAGTGCCCCATAAAACACCCTCCAGGAGATGAGATCTATCGAGATGGAAAGATATCAATATTCGAGGTTGACGGACGTAAAAACAAGGTATTTGAATATTCCAGATTCTTGTTTGGACTATCGGGCTAATACATGTTCTGTAGATCTATTGTCAAAACCTGTGCCTTTTGGCAAAAATGTTTCTTGATCACAAAACACTCTACTATGATGTCGAACCATTCCTGTTTTACATCATGACCGAGGTTGACCAAGCAGGATGCCATTTTGTAGGATACTTTTCAAAGGTACCTTTGATCTCACTACTTGAAAACTAGACACTTATTGTGCGTGTATGTGGATTAGGAAAAACATTCGGCAATGGACTACAATGTATCTTGTATCTTGACCATGCCTGTTCATCAACGAAAGGGCTATGGGCAATATTTGATTGATTTCAGTAAGTCGACCACAAAAAACGGGGTTTCTTTGTACAAAAAAAGAGAGAGAAGAAGATACGGGTACTCAAAGTCTTTGATGGGGACTTTCTTAGGTTACCTTTTAACAAAGAAAGAACACAGAATTGGATCACCCGAACGACCGCTGTCGGACCTTGGTTTGTTGAGTTACCGTAGTTACTGGAAAACGGCATTATATTATGAGCTTCGAGACCAAAAGGAGCCAATAAGTATACAAGGCAAGTGATTATCAGTTTTTGTCAATTGGAAGCAGAGAAACAGTATCATTGAACCTGTCGAGTAGACTTAATGAATCGGACGAGTATGACTGCTGATGATATTGTCTCCACGCTCCAACTGAACCACATGCTACGTCGTGACCCCGATACAGATAGCTACATAATTGAAATCAACAAAGCCACCATTGAAGAACATCTAAACAGAATAGAAAAAAAGCGGTTGCCAAAGGTTGATCCTTCAAAACTGACCTGGGCACCTTTCTTACTCACACGCGATCGACTAGCGACTCTCCCTGGCCCTCAACTAACAGACAAAGACGGGGACGAAGACAAAGATGTTGATGTATTAGGAGACAATGCTAGTAATGATGATGAGATATGAATGTTATTTTCACTTAATTTAATTATTTGTTTTGAAATTACTAAAAAAAAAATGAAAAGGAAAAAAGGCTATAATTCGTATAATTTTTTTTTCAATCAAACATGCACGATATATGTACATTCGCTGTAATATTATTGCTGATCACTGTATTTGTATACAATGACTTTCAAATAAATGAAAACAAACTCTACGATATTTGGAAAGTGGTTCTTACAAGAAAGAGTTCAATATCAATAAATATCTATGTGGGGTCTTGATGAGTAAAATAATGCTTATTAAAGCAATGTAGGTCAAGAGAGAAAGAGCGGGCGTAGAAAGAGATTGGAATGTGGGGACAGCTCACTTTTACTGTTTGTACACTCTTTCTGGAAATTATTGGTACACAAATAGTTGTGAAAATTAGTGCACTTTTATACTGTTTTTTTTCTTTTCAAAAAAAAAAGTTTAACTCTTTTTTGTTTGTATTCTTTAATGGTTATTGCAGACGCAGTTGCATGAAGCTAATGAAAAATAATATATATGTGCCATACATTAAGAGAGAAAGAGAGCTACTCATATCTGGAGTGGAATTAAGCGAAAGGATTGACTATCCAGACAGGTTGCCAAAGAATAAAATTTAAAGTAAAATAAAAGCTATTGAGGAGAGAAAAGCAAAAGAAACCGATAAAATTTGTGAAGAGGATAAGCTACTCTCAATAGTTGATGCCATAAAAGGTTTTTGCATAAATTGTCTATTGACTGTGCGCAGTATTTCCATAATGGAATTATATTTTTCTTACTTTTTTTTGATGCGCTTTTTCCAGTAGAGCCAACTTGCCTGGCTTGAAAAAAAAAAGAGTTTCGCTTCTGTGAATTTTAATGGTGAGAAATAAATGTGGCTTGGATAATATCGGCCTAAATCTGAATTTTGATCTTTTGTGTGATAAAAACCAAAAATAAAGAATCTCATCATTGAAAATCATATATTTCAATTTTATTTTCATTTGTTTAATTATAAAAAAAAATATGAGGGTGGTACAATGAAGGAGAGTAGTCTCCATTGAGTTATCCCAAAGACAAAAAAGATTGCCCAGGGCACCTGCAATGACTGTTGTTATAGCAAGAAAATGTGACTGCCCCAGAGCTCCCCAGACTCAGCTTTGCCAGAAAGGAAGATAGAACAGCAAGCCATAAAAATGGCCCATCCGGCACTCTTTACAAGTGCCACCCAATAAAGGGATATTGCTTGGAGAGTTTCCCTAACGCATTAAATGAGTAGCTAATAAAAGCCACCCCGTATGTGTGTCGCGTCGAATGCAGATCTTCCCCATTGTACAAAGAGCAAACAAGTGAGCGAAAACCACTGCCTTTATATAATAATTTGTACCGGAGAATGAAATACCGTTTGTGACTGTTATAAAGTTTTTAGCTACAGCTATAGCAATGATTGTAGATTTAAATCCCAGCGTGGTAAACGCATAACGAGTGACTTCTTACAGTGAGCTTCAGATTTGGTGTACAAATTTTTATCTTTGCTCTCTCGCTTCCTACTTTATCAAGTGGTGTATTATGTATTATTTTAAATAAAGATAAAGGCCAAGTACCTTGTTTGCCACACATAGAACTAGTCAAATGATTTAATTGTAGCATAAAAAAATGACAAAAAGATGTATATATATATATATATGTGCTTATATTATATTATTCCACTATGTCTTGGCAATAGAGATACAGCCAACCAAAGCACTTTTTGGAGGGAGTTTATCAAGTATATACACACATATTTTGGTTTGGACCACATTAATTGGCTGGTACCTTTTGTTCAAAGCTATAGACGAATAAAAGTATAAAGCTTTTGGCATCTATTTTTATTGTATTTTTCGATTTCTTAGATGAGATATTTCTCTACAGTTCCTTTAATGAATAAATAAATAAATAAAATATTATTTATATAGATTTTGTATATGTTTTAGGATCAAAAGTTCTATCAATGAAGTATTCGGAGATTCTGTATATCTCACAGAAATCCTAAAAAAAAAACAATTCCAAATTGAACAACGCTTGATCCGAACTTGTGGTACTTTATATATATATATATATAAGTAATTATTTGCCCAGACTTGGTAGCTTTACACTTTTAATTACACCCTACAAAAGGTGATAACGCGGAACATTGAATTCAATTGAATTGAATACAATTCCCAGAATGGCGATTTATCCCTTTAGTGATTTATCAAGTCTTTTCCTTTTCTTTACAACACTGTGTTCTATGGATAACAATAAGATATTTTGTAGTAGGATAGATACCGGATAATTTGAAAAAGCAACCGTAAATGAGCTAAACTTTATTTTCTTCTACCCAGTTTCAATATAAAAAAATCATTCTTATCAATAAATCTTTTTGGTCTTAATGATTATTAAAGTAACAAATCTATTCCAACATCTTTACCTTTTCTTCTTCTTCTTCTTTCTTTAGTTATATATCTTATTCGGGATTCTCAGGGTGTTGTACAGTATGATAAGAAGCAGAATATATTCCGTATTACCATTTTTATGTTCATATATATATATATATATACAATATATACCACCTGGTGTACATTGAATCAATTTACACCAATTATCATTCAAATATTTCCGGAGAATATACAGGTTGTTTAGGTTTATGTGAGCTATATTTTCATATTATACTAATATATATATATATATTATATTTAACCATTACTTGTTAGATACAATATATATTTTGCTTAATGGCACTTTATTTAATTAAAACCATGCCCAATAATAACAATAGTTAAAACAAAGTGGCAACCTTGAAAAATGATAAACATTTGACAACTAGAACAAAAGAAATTAAATTAATCTGATCCAGTGTCACCATGAGCTTACAAGGGAATGAAGTTTAATATATGATATATAAATTGGAATTTAGAATAGCCTACACTGTGAGGATCAGAAATCCATTACTGACATGTGGTTTGATCTTTGGCTATAATATTAGCGCACCAATCTTCTCTCTCTCTCTTTTGGCTTGGCCCCTGTTCATCTTGTGAATTGTCTTGGGGATTCTCTATTGGATAAATCATGTAGGAGAATTTATTTTATCTTGCATAGATATTGTTAGAGCTACTTCAATCATACGAGATAATTGGCCGATGATCAATTGGCGTTTCTATCCAGACTGCTTCTAATGTATCTTTTCTCCACAGAATATAGAGGTTTGAGTGTACATCTTGGCTGTTTTAGTATATTAACAAAAAACAAAAAAACAAAAAGACATTGGCTAAAGAAATGAAAGTATTGGTGTTCGGCATTGTAAATGGTTCAAGGTTTTGTAGTTCATTGCCAGTCACATGGGGTTATACGAGCGATGTATTGGAGAATCAGGATATCCTATCATGTTTCGCACATGCACTGCTTTTTATATGTCTAGCAAAATAATAGGATACTATAAGGTGAGTAGGAGGTTTTGTCTCTTGGTTTAGCGCTCAAGGCCATTTTTTTTCCAATGAGACAAAGGCATTCATTGATTTAGTACTAGCCTTCGCACGTGTTGGTCTTAGATGTCCTTGACTGTCAGAATCTTCCCTCGGCAACAAGTAGAAAGATTCAATCAAACCTCTCTGCACAACATAGTACATAATAATATATCTGTCATTATTCGGCTCCTTAGATCCTCCTATAAGAAACCTATAGTCAATCCATCAGGCTCAAAATTTTATCCTAATTGGGGAAAATTATTTTATATGCACACACATATATATATATTTTTGTTTTAATAGTCGTACCAAACCATTACATCTACAAAAAATACACACACACACACGCCCTCACGCCCTCACGCACGCAAGTCATGCTAGCTTTTTTTTTTCTAGAACCTAATAAATAGTTTCGATCTAGATTCTTTTTCTGATCTCTTTACCTGCTTTCTTACCTTTACATGGCATCTCTTCACAATGAGCCCTCGGGTTCTTCGATAAAGCAACGTTTCCCAAACGACGAGTCTGCCATAGACCGAATGATTGGGAAGGATATTGATATCGCTCAATCAACATCCTCTATTGAAGATGCTCCAGTAAAGCCCAAGACCAAGACAACGTCCTATTTCAACGTTCTATTCAGTGGATTTGCTTTACTCTCGGATGGTTACCAGTCTGGTGTCATCAGTTTTATCAACTTGGTTCTCAAGAAGATTTATGGCACAGAAATCTTTAATTCCACAATGTCTTCGCGTCTGTCTTACTCTATGTTTGTTGGCGCAGTCATCGGTCAACTAAGTAAGCATTATTATTACTACTATCTCTTAAAATAAAATATATTATATTATAAAATAATACAATATAATATATAAAGTCACCAAATAGGGTGCCACCAAATCCATTTATTTTAACGTGACCTAGATATCAGTCTAATTTGAACCTCTTGTGTTTCATCTTCTTTATATATATATATATATTTAAAAAAAAGGTTTTGGCTTGATTGTCGATCGGTTGGGTCGTAAGATCGGTTTGGTGTCTACCACTGCCCTTGTAATCATTGGTGCTGCCCTATCAGCAGCTTCGAGCGGAAGCACACCTACAAATCTACTCTGGATGATGGTAGTCGCTCGTGGTGTAATGGGCGTAGGCGTTGGAGGAGAATACCCCTGTAGTTCTGTTGCCGCAGGAGAGGCTGCAGATGAAGTCGCACCGGGCCGACGAGGAGCTCTATTTGTATTTGTGACCAACTTTGTTATCGATCTCGGCTACGTTATTTCTGCTGTTATACCTGTTATTCTGCTAGCTATCTTTAAAGACAACCTTGAGCCGGTTTGGCGTCTGTCCTTTGGCTTGGGTATAATTCCACCTCTGTCAGTTCTGTACTGTAAGTAAAACCAGAAATAATATCTTTTTTTTTAAAAAAAAAAAAAAAGTCAATCAGTTACCTTGGATACTAATGGTTGTGCTATAGTCCGTCTGAAGATGGCTGATTCTAAGCAATATACCAAAAACGCTATGAAGGTCAGGGTCCCTTACAGATTAATTTTCAAACGCTATTGGTTCAGACTCTTGATTGCCTCTGGTCTTTGGTTTATCTATGACTTTATTTCCTTCCCAAACGGTATCTTCTCTTCTGTGATTATCGATACCGTGGCAACAGGCGATTCCATGATCGAAACAATGGGATGGAATGTTCTTCTTTATGCATTCTACCTTCCTGGCTGTATCGCTGGTGCATTTTCAGTAGACAAGATTGGACGTAGAAGAACACTGGCAATTGGATTGCTCGCTCAGGGTGTAGTTGGTATGATCATTGGCGGTGTTTATGAACCATTAACAAAGAACTGCTTCCCAATGTTTGTGGTAAGTTGTGAGTCTAGTTTGATTGGCTTCAATAATTCACTCACAAGCTCTGGTAGATTATGTACGGTCTTTTCCTTGCTTTGGGCGAATACGGCCCTGGTGACTGTATGGGATTAAACGCAATGGAGTTGTTCCCTACACCTATTCGTGGTACTGGTTATGGTATTGCTGCTGCTGTTGGTAAAGTTGGAGCTACGGTTGGTACGTTAGCATTTGTGCCTATGCAAGAGGCTATGGGTGGTATTCGAGGACCTTTCTTGGTGGGTAGCGGCATTGCTATTGGAGCAAGCATAGTCGCTTGGTTCTTTGTGCCTGAAATCGGGCCTAGAGGTTTGATTGAGGAGGATGAAGCCTTTTTGGCTTATCTGACTGAAAATGGCTATGACATTTCTCAGTTGGGTACAGCAGCAGTACCAACCCAAGAACGAAATGTAAACGAAACCTCTTGAAGGTTTTCTTCTTTCTAAGGGAGAAGTATGCATGGATTGTTTTCTTTGTACACTATTTTTATTTATTTATTTATTTTCATTTGTGGCCAAAAGGGAAAAGATGCCCTTTTAATTTCCTCTTTTGCTACAGTTTCCATTTTAAGAATAGCCTTTTCTTGTATTAACATCGTACTCACTTGTTGCTTTTTTTTTACTCTATATAACCTCACTATTTAATAATAATAATATTCAATTTTTGCTCCTTCTTCTTTTTCAATAATAAAACATACAATTATAACAGCTATTTTGAATAATACATAATTCTCTTATTTGATTTAAATTAAAGGAAGGAAAAGAATCCCGAGTTTTCCCAACACATCTTATATTAACTGAAGTAAGCAGAAATGGGATTTTCTTGTACAAGTGCTACAAAGCGGGGAGATGATAATCTTTTTATCGGAGCACAAGCCATAATATTAAAAATGTCAGGCAAAGCATATTCTAGAATTCATATTGACCTCAGGTACGTACGACTGTTACTGAGATAATTGTGGATAAGCCGTAGGTACCACGACTGCTGAAGAGTCTACAATATTTACCCAAGGAAAATGACCGGCAGATCCCAAGACAGAAGGTCGTTGTGATTGTTAAACAGAAGATCATCTGTGAACCAATATGTGGCACAATGGCAATCTGAGCGCGGAAAGAAAAAAAAAAGAAAAAGAAAAAAAGGGGGGAGGTAAAAATGACAAAGTGGGTTTTGTAGACCTCAACTTGTCTCACGCATTCTCTTCTTTCTTCTCTTCTCAAAACATGGCATTTTCTCTATTCTCAACCAGTTCAGCCGAGTGTGGCTCTGTAAACCCATTAGCTGGTCTTATAAAACATTTTCACAGCGATCATTCATTCCAAAAGGTTCCCGCATAATTCCAGACAAGTCATTGTAGTGCAAGATCCAAGTGTACTCATTGCAGATTCAACATTTAACATTAGGATCGGAATGTTCATTCAGTTCAAAGCAACAGAAAGGTATAGCTTCAAATGACGTAGTAAACTAGTACCTAATGACTTCATATGTATTTTGTGTGTGTGTGCGTGTGAAATTAGAGTGGCTTTCGATCACATGTATCTGCTCAAACCAGTTCGGAAAATGATGTATGGCAATTGATATAGTAGTAGTAGTAGTCTCTTGAATAGAATGTTAAGAATTGTACTATATATTCTAGTTTGTAGACGCGTTTCTCCAGCAAGAAAACACAAATGCATATACACCAATATCAACACAATTTAGAGTCTATCCAGAGCCAATGAAAGGGTCTGATTGGACACACGAGTTCATGAAAAATCCAACCTTTCAGAAACCATTGGTTAACAATAGAGAGAAAATGGTACTACAAGGTAAATGCTATATACATATTAAAAAGAAGAATAGTAAATTCCTTGAGCTTTGGGGCTATAGTGCAAGAGAAGTTATTTCTTGAGGTCAGAATGGCAAATATGCATTAACTATCACTTAAAATGTAGAAAATAACTGGTTTCAAGAGTTTGCAAAATTTCAACAGACGCAAACTCTACAGACTTCAAAGTACAATGATGAGCTTGAGCGGGCATTTGAAGAGGTTAGCAAAGGTAAAAATTGTAATAAAGAGAATTTGAATCATTTCTAATACTGATGGCCCTTTTCAAAAATAAAATAAAATAAACAAATGAAATGAAATGAAATTAAATTAAATAAAATTAATAAATATATGCATACATATCAAAGAAGTTGACCGAGATTGGAAAATGTCTTTTGCACTACAAGAGTCTCAGAATGGATCACAACAAATGACTTGCAACTATCCTTTGGATTTAGATGTACAAGTGCAACCTATGACATGTACAAACATTGATACTAGCCCGCTTGATGCGACAAACCAAAAATCAAAAACACGATCAACATTTGACAGTAGTATGTTTGAGAATCAACCAAAAGCAGGATTTTGTTTATTCTCTCCAGAATCCATGGAACTGTATCAGCCTTTTTATCAACCACCCCAGGACTCATTTTTGGATATTTCCGAGAAAGCTCAGCAAGAAAAGGACGAGAAGAGTGCAGAAACTTGGTATCAGCTGGGCTGTAGATACCAAGAAAATGAATATGGAAAAGCTGCAATTAATGCATTTGATAAGAGTGTTCAGAGAGATCCAAGCTTAACAGATGCATGGCTTGGATTAGCAGTGAGCTACACAAATGAAAAGTGCCCTGATAAAGTATACGATAGTCTGGAGAAATGGATTGAAAACCACCCCAATTACCAATACCTCGCAAAACATTATGAATATATGGATAATGAGCGACACGATATCATCACCTCTCTCTTTCTTGATGCAGCAAGGTCTTCTCCGGGAGAAGGAATGGATCCAGATATTCAAATATGTCTTGGTATTCTGTTCACATTATCTGGCGAGCATGATAAAGTAATAGATTGTTTCAAAGCCGCGCTGGCGAGCAAACCAGAGGTAAAGATAATGATTTGTCATATTAAAATGATATATTTGGCTAATGATTTGTGTAAAAAAAATAAAAATAAAGGACTTTCTTTTGTGGAACAAACTAGGCGCAACCCTAGCCCATTCGCAAGACATGGAAGGTGCTCTTGAGATATACTTCCATGCTCTCGAACTTAATCCAAATAGCGTCCGAGTACGCTACAATATAGCCTTTAGCTGTATGCGACTGGGCCAACACAAAGAAGCAGTCGAGCACTTGCTTATAGCTCTCACTCTTCGCCAACGAAATATTGCAAAAATTCACCCAAAAATCCCTGTAACTCAAGATTCTTTGTGGAATACTCTAAAGATGCTTATGTATATGTAAGATTGGTTGGTATGATCTCTAAGCAGACCACAATAACTTACAGAACCCTTCTTCTTTTTTATAGATTGAATAACGATGAGTTGGCTATTCATTGTGACACCCAAAACTTGGATGCCTTTAGAGTAAAATATGAGTTTTAAAGAAAAACAATAAATAAGCATTACAATGAATAAATGTAGATATAAATAGAATATGTAGATATATATATATATATGAATAGGCATACTACTAAGGATATCGTTTGAAGAAAACAGTATACATGTCAAAGACTTTAGTTTCTCTATACTTGATAGGACCAAGTGTGGTTTTTAATAAAAGCCTCGAAATTCTTGAAAAATACTCTATATTTTATTCATTTCTATCAAAAAAGCAACTATGATTTACAAGTATACACAATCTTTTCGTAAATTAACCGAACATATTTTTGGAATTGTAATATATATATATAAATGTTTGTACCAAGCAACTGTCCGAATAGTAAACGAAAAAAAAAGAGTGTGTATATTAAAAGCTCTTATTAACGACGTTTAGATTGTATGCTTTTAATAAAGTTTGCTCTGTTCTTTTTCTAAATTAGAAGAAGTATTCATCATGATCTGTACGCAGGGCCTTTATAAAATAATAATGTAAGAACGAATAAAGTGAAAAGAGTTTTGTGGTAAAAAAAAACGGGTAATGTGTATGTATATGATTAATTTCTCGTACACTTCAAAATCGAGATATAAAAATGGGTGCGCATAATTTTGTTATTTTTAATAATCTCTTGACAAAATGGGAACCCGAATGGTAAGTTGAGTAATGTGTATAAAGTGGTAATTTTCTAATGTAATGCATCTATCCACACTAGACAAAGAAAAAGCAAGCAGCAATCGCAAGAGCAAGTTTTATGTACCCTGTCCTTGAATATGATGATGTACGAACGCCATGAGCAACAATAAGAACTTGATTGACATTTATTGCTTCGCCACAGTTATCCATTTCAGAATTTGAAAGTGACAGTGATGACACAACCTCAAACATGAATCATGTAAAGAAGAATATTCAAGAAACAATATTACCCGAAGAAATTGTAGAAGGCTATAGTGACTCAGAGTCTGTTGATCAACTTGCCCACAAAAAGCAACCACCAAGCGGAAGCAGTGTTCGCAAAAGGGAAATGAAAGACAGCGGAATACACACTTCTAAGCGTCCTCACTATAATGAAGATATACCCACTGAAACAGAACATGTATTACAAGAATTAAGAAATGTTGGCGATGAGCAGGAAGTCCAGATCGAAGCAGTCTCTGTTGATCTTCACGCAACATCTGCTGACGATATATCAGAGTTTTCAGATACAAATATACTTGATGATTTAGATGATTGGAGGCCCACTCCATCCACGCATCAACATCTATCTCAAACTAGATCTCTAATGAGCATCCAAAGTTTTGATAGCGATGTTGATCGAGAAGAAGAGATTTTAGAAGAAAAAGAGCGTAAAGCACTCGTTTCAGTCAGACACCATATTCCTGATCTACCCTTTGATATCACCCCGACTGCTTTTCGACCTGTCTATCCACATCCCATTACTGACAGACAAGTTCGACATATCAAAGAAATTAAGCCACTCACTTTAGAAGCGTACGCACTATGATAGTAGATTCTTCTTGATTATGTATCTAATGCTCGGTATCTTATAGAAGTGGTTTAGCTAATCAAGCAAGAGAAGTGGCTCTGGATGAAACAAAAGATTTTATGAAATGGGAGAGATCCGTCAAAGCCACTAGTAAGTCTGAACAAAAGAATGAAGAAGAAGAAATTTGGCTTGGAGTTCCTTTTTTTTAACTGTGTGCTTTAATAAGTGGCTCATCACGGCTCAGTGACCTGGGCAGTATTCCACTCAAAGGAAGCAAGATTGTTCCGGATGACAGACACTTGGTCTGAAAACGGGGTTATTTTTTCTTGGTGTGTACCTGTTACAGACGAAGAACAAGAAACCTTAAAGTCTTCAACTCAAAGTCAACAAGATGATGATAGTGTTAAAGATATATTTTCACAGCCCCATGTCTTGCCATCCTACGTTCCCAACGAAAATGACGACAAATACCTCTTTGGTTTCTTCTTTCTTCATTCAAACATAACATCTACAACAGAAAAAGACTTTATGAAAGAAACACTTGTCGGAATATGGCCACCATGGACACATTATACTGACAAGTTATCTGGTTCGGAAAAGAAGGAGGTATTTATGGCTACACGATTTATGGCCAATTGTATGCACTAGCAAGTGTCTACTTAGATCTTGTTAATTGTGCATTATAAATTGATTATATTACTTATTTCTACCATTTGTCCGTACAAACGGGTTTTGACTACATTCAAGCGAGTTTCCACACTTTTATGATGATGTCTCTGGTATTAGAATGAAGAAGAGAGATAGAGAGATAAATCTTTATTTAGGGCAATTATAGGATATTCAGAATACCTTGTATATATGTGAACAAGAGCAATATGATAGATATCGTTAATTGACCGTGGATTGAGTTTATCCGACTGATTTAGCATAATCTGTCAAAATTTCAAGTATCTACAAAGGGGTATTTTATTAGCAATGAATACTCTCCACGTGACTATACCATGATATGGTGCCTGGTTTGCTGGTCATAATGGGCTTGTCCACTTTTTCATCATGGCAAAGGATGGTTCCTTGTTTGTCAGATTCCGACAATTTGATGCCTATGCTAAAACACTCGATGACTTTCGCGTAAAGACACTAACAGGCGCCTCTGGTAAGCAAAAATAAGACAGTGATATTAGAATAGATTTGTATTAACTCCATTTCTCTTTTTCTTATATATTAAATACAGTAACCGTCATTAGTGCGATCATCATCATCTTCCTTGTTTTATCTGAATTGATTGCATACCGCACTCCAACATGGGTGCCTGAGCTGATTGTAGACAAGGGTAGAAAAGAAAAGATGACCATCAACTTTAACATCACCTTTCCAAAAATGCCGTGTCACAGTAAGTAAACTAAAGGATTGACTATGAATTTTAAAGAAAAGGCTAATAAGAGAGAATACTATAGTGTTAAGCCTAGATATAATGGATGATTCAGGAGAACACATCACAGGATATAGTCATGATGTATACAAGGTACGCCTGGATTTAATGGGAGTTCAGATCAAGTCAGAAAAGGAGCAAAGTAAGTAAATAGATTTTTCACAGCCAAATCATATGTATTTACACGGATAAACAGAGCTTGGAGACAACACAAAGGCTGCAGAAAAAGCTTTGCTAGCTCCAGATTCATGTGGTAGTTGTTACGGCGCAGTTTCTTCCCGTGAAGACAAATGCTGCAATACATGTGAAGATGTCCGAGAAGCATACGTAAACATGGGATGGGGCCTTGGGGATACTGATAAGATTGAACAATGCTTAAGAGAGGGCTGGCGTGAACGTATTGAGACTCAATCCAACGAAGGTTGTAATGTTCATGGGCATCTATCAGTGAATAAAGTCCGTGGAAATTTCCACATCGCACCTGGTCAAGCGTTTCAACAGTCTAGTATGCACGTCCACGACCTCAATAACTTTATCGCAGGTGCTCCTGATGGGCACTCATTTGATCTTTCACACAATATCCATCGTCTCAAATTTGGTCCTGATACTAATGATGAGAACGAGGCGATCATGGCCATTACCAACTCACTTGCTGGAACAAACAAAGTGACAGATAAAAGTAGGTGAAAATAGCAAGAAGAAGGATAAATAAAAATGTGAAAAGTTAATTGTTCTATCATCAGCGCGTGTTGTATATCAATATTTCTTGAAGATTGTTTCGACTGAACTGAGACCTTTGTCTGGGAATCCTATTTATACAAACCAATATGCATACACCCAGAATGAACGTGTGTTACAGGAAGGAAACAACGGTCTTCCAGGTTAGTGCTTCACGGCATAAAAGTCATACTAAAATATAAGAATAAGTTAAATAACCAAGTATCTATCTGTTCTAGGCGTCTTCTTTAATATGGATATTTCCCCGATGATGATCATCTACCGTGAAACACGTCCTTCTTTTACCAGTTTTATCACTGGTGTCTTTGCTATCGTAGGTGGTATATTTACAGTTGCAGGGCTTTTGGACCGTGTCATGTATCGTGCAGAACGAACGATCAAAAAGATGGATTCTGGAAAGGGGCTTTGATTTCCTTTCTTAACGAGGTGCAAATATACAGAGCCTCATCAAAACGTAGATCATATAATATAATTTAAAGAAAAAATGAATTTATCTTGCTGCTTCATAAACCTCGTGTATTTTCTGCGCAAACGTATCTTTATTTATTTTAAACAGAATATATTATGACAGACACATTATTAAATGACTTATATAAATAAAATAAAAGAAGTTTCCTGTATGAAAAAACAAAAAACTAAAAGTAGAAATCTTAACCCTTCTAATAATTTGCCTTTAATATTAAGATTTCTATATTTTAAGGAATATGTGCTTTTTTATTCGTAAACAAGAAATAGAAAGTTTGTAGTTAAAGGGTATATAATAACGATGATGATGTTATTTTTCTTTTAAAAAACAGGTACAACCAATTCTTCAAAAGTATTCCTTGTTTTTTTGTTTACATTTCGGCGCCTGTTTCGGTTGCAAATGCCCATGCTTACGGGCTACACATTGTTTAATTCTGTAACCCTTGGGGCTTTTATCGGGAGTGTACATTGCTTTGGGTCTAGGCTTAGAACGATGGGTATTCTTGTTCATATAACTGTGTAGACATCCGAGTTTAAAATAAGCACACTCAGGACTGTCTCGGTCGAAAGCGCATGGTCCATGAGAGGCACACTTTTTGGCGATACATGTACCATCTCCTCCGTCTATTGTAGGTGTTGGAGTTGGGAAACATATGCTTCTATCTGTTTCAGTAACGGTCACTGAAACAGTTACTGTAGGTGTGTGTGTATTTGTGGGGGTACTGGTAAAAGCTGGAAATGTAGTAATAGCTACACTGGTACCGTCTATATAAGTATACGTGACAGTTTTGTGATCAGGCAAGGATACGGTAATATCTTCAGTTTCTGTAGGTATGACTGGTCTTGTAATTGTGCTCGTAATTATATCAGTGCCTTCAACGACTGTCAAAACTACTGTTTCATGGGAAAATAGAGAAGTAAAGTCTGTTGAAATTACTGGTTTTTGAATCGTAGTCGTCCTTGTCTGAGATCCATCTACAACCGTCAAAGTAACTGTTTCATGTAAAGTGCTAAACGGGGTTTTTGTAATGATCACATCTTCTATCAGAGTAGTAGCGATTGTTTGGGTACCATCTATGTAAGTCAGAGTCACTGTATCGCGGGAGGTGATGCGTGTAACATCTGTAATTAATATCAGGTGTGTAATAGTAGTGGTGAGTATGTCATTCTCATCAATGTAAGTCAAAACCACTGTCTCAAATGTTTTGGTTTCACGGGAGACAGTATTAGTGACTAGGACCGTAACAGCTGCAGTTATCGTCTGACTTCCTGTGACATAAGTTAAAGGAACCGTTTGAAAAGTAGCAGAAAGGCCGGTTTTAATAACTGTCACTGGTTTCAATAAAGTTGTTGTAAGAGCCTGTCCTTGATCGACGTAGGTCAAAGTAAGAGTTTCGCGCTCTATTACTGAAGTGGTGTCAGTGACTATAATTGATACAGAAACAGTGACGGTTGATATTTCATTTCCGTCGATATATGTCAAAGTTGGTTTCTCTTGGGATGTAACAAATCCTGTGTCGGTTATTCTTGCTACTTTGGGTGTTGCAGTAATAGTGTTTGTGCAATCTAGATAAGTTATAGTGCTAGTTTCAACAATAGTTTCGGTCCAAGCTTCTGTGGAAGATACTGTCACAGTTACTCCTTCATCAACCACCGTGATAGTAGTAGTTTCAAGTTGAAGAACTGGTAAAGTAAACGTGGTAGTACTTAGTTGTATAGTCCCTGAGATGATTGTTGATGCTGTATCAGTATTAGATATAAACCCCGTTTCTGTAGCTGTGGTAATATATGGTATGGGAGTCCCAGTTGGACTCGCAACTAGGAAGGTAAATAGTGTTCGATGAGGCATTATATCTGGATATTGGAGCTCTCCATTAGGGATCGTATGGCATGTGTACCCAAGAGCTTCGCTATCGTGAATCTCAACACCATTTGGATACTTCCACGTATAATCAAGCCCGATTAATCTACCCGGAGAAAGCACCGGTAGACCCACCAACAATATGCCCTTTGAACGTTTTCATTAGTAATCATAATAAAGCATGCTTTAAATATGTTCTTACCCAGAGGAGCAAGAGTCAGACCACCAAATGGACCACCCGTCTCACGAACTAGGGTGAATGTTCCAACTGCATCATAACTACCGTCATCTTTGACCGGATAGAAGTTAAATAATGTACGGCAGGGATCGAGACCAATGGTAGGAATATTTCTAGAAAGCCTAAAAGTGGATCCACTAGCAATATGAACCTGTAAAATACCAATGAGTAAAATAGAGAAATCACTCTCAATTGTGTTCAATTTACATTGAAGACTGTTATCCCAGATGGGGGCCAAGGTAGTATTTGGGGACCATTCCAGTTCCCTTGACCTTGAAGCATTGAATTAGGGTAGGAAAGAAGCCCATTCCATATAATACAGTTTTTGTTGCTGCAAACATTGAACGTCAAAACATTGAATTGTGTAGAATTTCCCGAGCTAGATATAATTTTGGTCAAATCACCATTTGAGTGGAGTATCATGGTGGGTCGCGTAAGGGACAATACATAATTCGAATATACTGCACCAATACCAATATCATAAAAATTAACTTCTCCAGTCCCTTCACCGACAACAAAAGCGCAAGCTTGGTTCAGTTGTTGGACCTGATTCACAGTTCCTCCTTTCCCAAGATACACAGAGCCGTGAACATGGGTATCGACTGTATTAACACTTCCTCCCACGACAAACCCATATGTATTCAGACTTGTAGGCGTATTAACACAGCCATAGTAGTTGTTTGAATTGATGGTATAGTGGGCCAGTAAAATCTCCACCAACTGCCAAGGGACCTAATATATCTTGGCCACCTTTAGAAATAAAATTTCCGAAAAATATGCCATTGAAATGGTACATCTAAAAGGATTATGTTTAATACTGGCAAAAACATCTATATTTTAACAAGTTCATAAAAATATTATGGACTAACCGCTCGTTCAGCAGGTGTTGATTGACCCCATAGATTAAAGCTCGAAGCTGCAACCGATATCGATCAAAGAAGTACTAAAGTAACAGAAATTTTTAAACGCATATCAGTTTATTAAAATGATAAATAATTTTACTTCAAAGCAATTATATGGTAAACACTAGAGTATATATATACAAATGTACAATCTATCGAAAAAAGTTCTCGTGACTTTAAAGTCTGCTTACTCTCTTTTTTATCTGCAACCTCAATTCACACTTACGTTAACATATAACCTTATAAACATGACTCCTGTACATTTAAAACAGGATAAAAACAACCTCCCGAATAAACTTAAGAGGTTCTCAAATACTGAGAAGTCTGCCATGGTTGGGATGCACGAAGCTGGAATGTCCATTCCAAAAATCTCCCGCTGCAAAGACATACCTATAGAATGAATTTGCAGTATAATATAAAGGTATAATGAAATTGGCTTTGTAGAAGATAAGTCTCGTTCAGGAAGACCAAAGCTTCTTAATTCTAGAGACAAGCATCATTTGGATAGACTTATAAGAAGCGACAGACACCAGTCTTTATTAGACATCACAAGAGGTGTTGGAAATCTCACCGGTCATTAAGTCTCTGAGAATACAGTCAGCAAAGAACTGCATAATCTGGGTATATACTCTTGTGTTGCAGCACAGAAGTCTTGACTAACCAAAAAAAGACATGGCAATTTGCCGTAAATAGGTGCAAAAAAGGATGAACTGGAAATAAGAGCGAAAAACGATCATATGAAGTGATGAATCGAACTTTTCTCTTTTCAGAGTAAATGGAAAAGTTTGTTCGTAGAGAAAGGCTGACGAGAAGCTTTTCACAGACTGTGTTAGCAAAGAGTACAAAGAAATGAAGGATCTGTGATGGTATGGGAGTGTATTACTGCTGAAGAAGTTAGATAACCTGCAGCTGTTAAGGGCACCATAAATTCAAAAGTTTATGTGGATATTATGGAAAGCATTTTAAGCCATACTATCATGACCTATCAAACAACGACATTAAGAAGTATATCTTTCAAGAAGATAACATGTCGTCCCATACTTCAAATATGTTAAAGAAATGCAGAAAATATCTTGGTCTAAATACTTTTGACTGGCCATCAAGAAGTCTAGATTTAAGTCCCATCGAAAACATCTAGAATATTTTGGATGACCATATTTGTGAGAGGGGTTTCCCACCCATGAATATGAGAGAGTTGGAAGTAGCTCGGCAAGAAAAGTGGGAAGGAATAAATAGAAAAAACATGTACAGATTTATGTCTCAAAATTCATAACAGATTGGTAGCTGTTAAAAGAACAAAGATGGGTATATCTCATATTAAATAAATTAATTATATTTATTTCATATAGAGCTCATTCTAAGCTTTACTATAGTTATGTTCTAATCGCATTTATTACATATGTAAAGAATAAGAGAAATATGAAGATAGACCTTTGGACTTCTATCCTTTGCTAAGTTTAAAGTCATGAGGACCCTTTTTGATAGATTGTATGAATGCTGACGTAAATGAGAGAAAACATATAAGCCAAGAGACATTAATGGTACTCAACAGTTTTTTTTGATATTGATTATTATTGGCTAGTGTTTAAAATACTGTTCCATCCAACAGTCAAGCATCCAGAACTGGTGAAACCACCTATTATTTAGTATTGACTATTGGTAAAAATCAAAGAAATGTTGGTAGTTTTGATTACTATATAACTTGTGATGATATCATAAATTGAAAATACTATTTTGTCTATTTATCTGCTGCTAAGGTCACCACCTTATTTCACAGGAGTATATAAAAGATGAATAAGCCACATATATATATTTAACCATAGCTTTATGAGCATTTTATACAATATGCACTTTAGCAAATAAAATTCCCATAGTATGAAACTTAAATATTAAATATAAACTGTGATTATATAATACTGTACTCAGAATATGCATATTTCATTTCAAAGATTTGCTGATTTTGTTAAGGAAGTATAGAAACCTATCCATAATATTAACTAAGAAAAAAAAAGACGAAGAAGGAGAAGGAGAAAGAAAAACAATATTATGCTAGTAATCTAGCCTTACCACCTTTATGCAAAGCATCTCATACCATACAAACGTTGAGTTACCAAGAAAACGTCAAAACTCATTATATCTTGTTATCCATAAATAGTCACTTTATTGGAATGGTACTTGTAACCACAGCAATATAAAGAACAGCTACAGAAAGAAGAAACTTAGTTGTTACCATATTTCTGTCAAAATTTTTGTGATATATAAGTATAAACCACATTCTACATATAAGCTATAATTGCCATTCCTATCGATTAGACATCCTTACAAATGAAATGTTCTATAGTACTTGTTTATCAGTTTCATCTTCTCTTTCTTTTTCTCCTTATTTAAAGATCAAGGAGCCAGAGAACATATATCTTTGGATTTAGCACGTCATTTTTTTTTAAAAAATAATATGTATTTGATATATTGACCATATACCTATGCATAGGATATAAGGTTTACCAGATAACATACTTAAAGCTGTATGTCATACATATATCCCTTTTGAACTCAATATAACATTAACTATTATATATAATATAAGAGCAAGCTAGAAGCAAAATCCTCTATTTGGAAAGGTGAATATAATAATAAAATATACTGAGGTTAATAAGATACAGAATTTAGAATATTACAAAGAATATATGCCTTATTACAGAATTAATGAAAAAAATTTATAGAGTGGTAGTACGTATGACCTAAAACATAATATTGAAACCAAGAGAATATTATGCATACAAGGCACAAAACACTTAAACAGCATGTATTGTCTACATACAAGAGTATAAGTAAAGGTACAAACAAGAAATATGCTTGTTTTGTGGTAAGAAGTAATCATTACTACCCAAGGGTACAATCAAGAAACTATAATTTTGACCACAACCTTTTATTATTGCTAGTCCAAAATAAAAGAATCACATACACTTGTTTGTGACTATACATACAAAGAATGCGAAGGAAAGAGGAACCAAGACAGACTTTAAGATACTTGTAATTCAGAAAGGTACATTGGATAATTACCAGATTTGCGTATGTGGTTTAGATCGAGGCTATTCTCCAACAATTTTTATTATGAAACAATTTCAATAACTATATAGATCGAACACCCCGGAAACAAATATTCCAATTAATTTTAAATAGCCATCAACTGAAAAAGGACGTAGTTTGCATAATAGCAATTGGTATTCTAGGGTTTATGGTATATGTTGTAGCAAGATATAAATCCATTGGTGTAAATAGCTTAAAAAAGAGTATTATATACAAGATTTGGACATATATTGAAATTTACACTCGATATAAATTACAGATATATAAAATATATTTCAATACTTCATTGAAGTATATTTTATACGAAAAGGATTGTCATTAATTAAACCTGCTCGTTCCAAAGGTTCATCTTTAGATATTGGTCGAGATTTAGACATTTTTTTTATCATTTAAGTTTTATAATAATGAAAATTATTTATTAAAGAAAATAGTGCTCAATCGATGAGATACGCTATGGTAGAAAGTGATGATATAAAGGGTATATCAAGAAGGAGAATTACTAATTAAAGGGTATAGAACAAGGGATTAAAGAGAGGCAGACTATTCAATATGATTTTTTATACTTTGGCTTGCACTTGGATGCTGGCTTTTTACCCGAATGTCCGTGATTGTGAGCTTTGGAGTGCTTATTTTTGTGCATCTGATGCATATTATGCATCTGATGCATTGGATGAATTGTCTTAACTTTGCATCGATATTTCTTTGGGCTAAAAACAGGTGGAATCGGTGCAGGGATGACGCCAGTAGGGACTGGAATTACTGCTGGCGGAATAGGGATTATAGGTGTGGGAATAGGGACTACAAGACCAAGTAAATTCAAGACATCTTGGGGTAAGGGAAGGTTTGACGGGTATGCAATGAATGCATTGGTCAAAGGTGAACAAGTGGCACCAATAGAGCTGAAATCATTAATCTGAGGACCAAAAGTCTCCTCCCACTTGTAGGAAAGACCGATAAGTTGACCACCAAAGGATCCAGTAGGACCATCAATAATACGGCCTATCAAATATTATAATCAGCAATGATATATATATATATAAAGAAATAAAGAAATATACCTTGAGGAGCGAAAATGCGACCATTGAATGCATCTTTGGTGTCACGTTCAAGGGTAAATGTTCCTTTTGGATCATATTTTCCATCTGAGGTAACTGGGTAGAAGTTAAAAATGGTATTGCAAGGATCAAGACCAGCAGTAGCAAGTTGACCATCAAGCTCAAATTTGCTTCCACTATAAACAGGGACCTAAACGAATCATAATTAATTAGGAATAGAACAAGTGAAGATGCACAACTAAGCACCCAAAATTTCAAGCTTTACTTACATTGAACACATTTACACCTGCTGGCCAAGTTCCGCCGACAGGGCCATTCCAGAATCCATCACCTTCTAGCATAGCCTTAGGGTACGAGTAGATATCAGAAAGAATATTGCATTGATCATTGAAACACGGGTCAAACGTAAAGACATTGAATGGTGATTGTGTATTGCCAAATCTAGTAACAACATTGTTCGAGTCAAGCTTAGCATTAGGTGCCATCGAAGCCAAGGCAAACGAGGTGTATACGGAATTAACCCCAAGATCTGCGATATTAACTCCACCAGTTCCCCGATTAGCAAAAACAGGGCAAGTTGGATCAACCGGCCTGACTAGGTTTGAGCCTAATCCCTGAGAAATAAACGAAGCACCGTTAACACTAATTCCAGATGCAGGTGCAATGTTTCCGGCGACAAGTCCATAATCGGTCAAATTGGCCAGTGGCTTTCTGCAGGTAGTTGGGTTATTAGAATTTATGAATGCACCTGGAGCGTTGACTGTTCCGCCAACTGCCAATGGACCTTTAACAACTTGGCCGTTATTAGCCGCAAAGTCATTGAAGAAAATAGCGCCAAAATGCGAAAACTAAAAAAAAAATTAGTAAAGATATTACTAGTAAAAACGTCTAAATTACTATGTACTAACCTCTTGCTCAAGATATGAT